ATTCCTTGCCCGACAGCTATATCTGCCGGCATGTCGCGCCTGAACACTGTCAATGCTGAGCACACTGTTCCGCTTGCCGCCCTTTATGACATTTATGCCGGAGTAGGAACTGATGCCATAGTCATTGAACAGCCACTCTATGTCGATAGGCGAATCTCCAGTTGATATTTGACACATAATCGACACCGAATCCTCGACATTCGCTGGCTCGTCGCCAAAGTCAAAGGGCGTAATTTTGGGTGGAACTTATGGGATAAGGTCAGGTTGCGTGGATAACATTAGAAACAAAATCAAAAATACAGCAAGTCACGGACAAAAGATTCAATTATATAACAACCATTCACAATTAGGGCAGCCGAATATTCGCTGCTGGCCGCCCTATTCTTTGCCTTGCAACTGTAGTTGCCCGCATGACCCGCATGTACAGAGTCTATGGTCAAGACGCTGGTTCTCTTGCCCCCGCGTAGGACCGCAATACCCGAGGCAAAGCTTATGGGCTGGCCGTTAAATAGCCACTCGATATCGATGGGCAGGTCACCAGAGGAAACCAAGCAATTAACAGAAACCGAGTCCTCAAAGTTAGCTGGCTCATCGCCGAAATCAAAGGGCGCTAATTTGGGAGGAACTAGAGGAATTTCATGAATGTAAATATATTAAAAATAAGTCTGGGGTTTTGAGGAGAACTTAGGATAAAACTAAAATTGAAATTGTACGTTTTATTTCCTAAATTAAGGCTAACACCTTTGATATACCATTCACTATCAACTCTGTTGTATGATTGACGGCAGCCGCATGATTCCTGGCCAGGCAGCTGTACTTGCCAGCATGACGAGCACTTACATTGTCTATGGTCAACATGCTCGTCCGTTTGCCGCCCTTCATGACCGTAACGCCAGAATACGAGCTGATGCCGTAGTCATTGAATAACCATTCAATATCGATCGGTAGGTCCCCGCTAGAGATTAGACAAGTGACCGATACGGAATCTTCGACGTTTGTGGGTTCCTCCCCAAAGTTAAAGGGCGTGATTTTGGGAGGGACTTCAGGGTAATATCAATATCAACAAAACAAAATGTTAATCAGGCTTAAATAAGAAATCAAATCTATATGCAATATATTTTCATTATCAACTATGCGAATACCATTCACAGTGAGCTCAGCTGTATAATTAACGGCAGCCGCATGATTCTTGGCCCGGCAACTGTACGTCCCAGCGTGGCGGGCCTGTACATTGTCGATACCCAGGACACTGCTGCGCTTGCCGCCCTTGACAACAGTTATGCCCGAATAGGAGCTGATGCTGTAGTCGTTGAATAACCACTCAATTTCAATGGGCAGGTCGCCACTGGAGATGAGACACGTTACGGACACGGAGTCCTCCACATTAGTGGGCTCCTCTCCGAAATCAAAGGGCGTTATCTTGGGCGGTACTTTAAGCAAAGAGTCGGGTGTGTCGTAAGAATGTGTCGGGGGCAAGGAGTTTTAACCAAATCAAACCAAACTGAATACAAATATCAAAATGAATTTCCACTTAATATTCCAATATACCATTCACAATCAACTCTGTAGTATAATTAACTGCGGCCGCGTGATTTTTAGCCCTGCAGCTATATTTTCCGGCATGTCGAGCCTGGACATTATCAATGCTCAACATACTGTTACGCTTGCCGCCCTTCACTACGTTTATGCCCGAGTACGAGCTGATGCCATAGTCATTGAAAAACCATTCGATATCGATCGGTAAGTCGCCGCTGGAGATCAGGCACGTTACCGACACAGAATCCTCAACATTTGTAGGCTCCTCTCCGAAAGTAAAGGGCGAGATTTTGGGCGGTGCTTTGGTTACCAAAATAATTCAAATGTGCGTTATAACAAAAAGATATTTTCAACGGAATAGTAGTAAAAAACATAAATTAAAAATAGGTCTCCGTAGTTTAGTACCATTCACTATCAGTTCGGTTGTATAATTGACGGCTGCAGCCTGGTTCCTGGCACGACAAGTGTAATTTCCCACATGGCTGGCATGCACATTGTCGATGCTCAGGACGCTGTTCCGCTTGCCGCCTTTCATGACCATTATGCCCGAGTACGAACTGATGCCGTAGTGATTGAACAACCATTCGATGTCGATGGGTAAGTCCCCGCTCGAGATCAAACATGTCACCGAGACAGAGTCCTCAACATTTGCGGGCTCTTCGCCGAAGCTAAAGGGTGTTATTTTGGGTGGTACTTGGGAGCAGCAGAAAGGATAAAGGGATATCCAACAATAGTAAAAATTAAGTCGTAAATCAAACGGATGTCTTATAAAAGATTTAGATATAATAGATGTCATGCTCTTGCCAACCATTGACAATGAGGGCTGCTGAGAATTCGCTGCTGGCGGCCTTATTCTTCGCCTTGCAGCTGTAGTTGCCCGCATGTCCTGCATGCACCGAGTCGATAGTCAGGAGGCTTGTACGCTTGCCACCTTTGAGCACCGAAATACCGGCAGCGTAGTTGACCGGTAAGCCCTCGAACAACCATTCAATTTCAATGGGCAAGTCACCTGAGGTCACCAAGCAATTGACAGAGACCGAATCCTCAAAGTTAGCCGGTGCTCCGCCGAAATCAAATGGCGCTATTTTGGGCGGAGCTGTGGGTAGAATCGTGTGTGTTACGGAACGAAAATCATAGCAAAAGTCAAAGAAAAATCATAGATCATGCAATTGATGCCCACACATATATTACTGCGTATACCATTCACAATCAACTCGGCCGTGTATTCCGCCGAGTCCGCATCGTTGCGCGCTTTGCAAGTGTAGTTGCCTGCATGACCCGCATGCACCGAATCTATGGTGAGGATGCTCGCCTTCTTGCCTCCCTTGACTATGGACACGCCTGTGTAGGCTTGAATGTGCGCACCGTTAAAAAGCCAAGTGATATCCATGGGCAGGTCGCCCAAGTAGATGAGACAATTAACCGACACCGACTCCTCAAAGTTTATGGCATGATCGCCAAAGTCAAAAGGTGCAATCTTGGGGGGTACTTGATTTGGAAGGGTTGGTTCGGGTAATGGGCAACAAAATAAGAAGTAGAAAAAAAAAAAACAGAAAATAATTCAGTTGACAGTAGAAAGGCTTTCTGTACCATTCACCACCAGCTCGGCGGTGTAGTTCACTGAAGTGGCCCTATTGACGGCCACGCAGGTGTAGTTGCCCGCGTGATGATCGCGCACAAAGTCAATGGAGAGTGCGCTGATTTTCTTGCCTAATTTTACCATCGACACGTCGTAGACATTCTCACTGATTTCGCGTCCATTGAAGAGCCAAGCGAAACTAACAGGAAAGTCGCCCGAAGTGACCAGACACTGCACGCTCGCCGACTCGCCAAAGTTTGAGGGATCCTCCCCAAAGTTGAATGGGGCAATTTTGGGCGCAACTTAAGATGAAGATTGAGTAACAAAGGTGGGGTCAGGATTAAATAAAATAAAACCAAAATAATTATTCTACAAGTTCAAGTAACGCAGTGTATTAACCGTTCACTTTTAGTTCGGCCGTGTGGTTAACACGACCCGCTCGATTCTCGGCTATGCAGGAATAGTTGCCCGCATGCTTGGCCGAGACCGCCTCGATGGTCAGCTCGTTGATGCGTTTGCCTCGCTTGGTTGTCAGTATTTCTAGGTAATCCTCAAAGGGCTTGCCATTTAGCGTCCAGGTAATGTTTACGGGCAAATCACCGCCCGATATAGTGCACTGTACATTCACAAATTCGCCATAGCTCATAGATTCATCCCCAAATGAGAACGGGCTTATGCGGGCTACAGCTATATAGGAGTTTCTCATATAACGTATCATTTGCGATTAGATCAAAAGAGAGCTTGATTCTCTGATAAATACGACACATATAACAACAACACACAACACTGCAGAATATAGTATGTAAGTAAGGGGACATGAAAGGATAGCAATTAGAACAACTACAGTTTGATTCCTCGGTGCACCGAAGCGAAGGGTATACCCTTGCAGCTGCGAAACTGCGACACTGCAAGGGTATAGAAAGAGTCTCCAAATAGGCGTTTTTATACTCGTAGCTCTATGAATTTTATGGCCACGCACCGTTGACAATGAGCTCAGCTGAATGCTCAGCACGACCCGCTGAATTGCTGGCAATGCACGTATAATTGCCCGCGTGCTTCGCCTCAATGGCATCGATCATTAGGTTGTGTATGCGCTGGCCACGTTTTTCTGTGAATATCTCCAGTTCCGGCAGTAGCGGATGGCGATTCAATGTCCAGATGACCGAAACGGGCAAATCGCCGCCCGAGATGGTGCAATGCACCGATACAGGCTCACCGAAATTCATGGGCTCCGTGCCAAAGGAGAAGGGTGTTATCTTGGGAGGCACTGGACATGTGTGGGAATTCAACAAAATTAAACCAAAAACATAAATGCAAATCAGGCAAATCAATTAAGTTAAGTAGATGCTCATTCTGTCGGCTGACAAACCATTCACAATCAGACGCGCCGAGTGGGCTGTCAAGCCTGCCTTGTTCTGGGCATGACAGGAGTAGAGGCCGGCATGGTGAGCGGCCACCGACTCGATGGACAGCACATTGATCCGTTTGCCAATGCGAGAGAAGGAAATGTCATGGTAGCTATCAATGGTGGCATTGTTTAGAAGCCAGGTAACATTAATGGGCAGATCCCCGCCAAGAATGGTGCATTGCACCGAGGCGGGCTCCCCGTAGTTCAGTGGCTCCTCGCCAAAGTCGAAGGGTGCGATCTTGGGCGACACTTAAGAGCAGTTGGAGTCATTGTTAGCAAAGTTGTAGATAGGCAGGTTAAGAAGTATGTATGTAGATAGATGTAAGTATTTCCATTACGCTGGATTAGCTGGATTAGTATCAATTCAAACAGGGTCTGTTAGGCAACGAAGTTAGCTCGTTAAACGTAACCACAACCAACTCCCGAAGGTGACACTAGACTACCCCATTAATCGAATCGAAACGAAGCGAAGAATACCATTGACAGTCAGGTTCACGCCGTATCTGGTCGTGCCCGCCGCATTGCTGGCGATGCATGTATAGGTGCCCGTATGGGCTGGACTAGCGCTCTGTATGGACAACATGCTGGTCTTGCTGCTGATGCGATTGGTGCGCATTTGCGGCTGGAGCATATCGCTGTCGCTGGCATCGCTGTCGCTGGCACTGCGCTCAAAGCTCCAGTGCACCTTTATGGGACGATCTCCTTTTTGAATTTGGCAAAACAAGTCAATGGAGTCGCCGGTATTGATCACATCCTCGTATGGAAATGGCACTATCTGCGGCAGCACTGGGTTCAATGTATGAGAGAGTGTAAAGTGTTAGGCGGGAGTTACGAACCAAAACGATTGTACAAATAAAATATCCTAAAATGCTGCATAAATGTTAGATGCACCATTAACAAACAACTCCGCGGCGTAGCTGTTGTTCCCTGCTGAGTTGCTCGCCACGCAGCTGTAGTTGCCCGAGTGCAGCGCCTTGACGGTCTCGACGGTCAGAAGGCTAATGCGTTCGCCTATTTTGCTGGCCATCACGCCCAGATGTGGGAACAGAGGCAAACCGTTGTGGGTCCAGCGTATTCTCAACGGCAGATCGCCCTTGGCCACATGGCAGGTCAACTGCACGCTGTCGCCCTCATTGGCGTCGGCGTCAAAACTAAATGGATGTATGCTGGGCAGCACTGCCAGAGGAGTTGGGTCAGGATTGGGAGTGGACATGGCAAAACAAACGGAATTACAAAAAAAAACCAAGAAAAGAAATTTTAATAATTTTTGTCTAATAGAATGTGCACAGGGTCACCGTTGACTTTCAGCTCGGCACTGTAGCTGCTTTCGCCAGCTTGATTACGAGCTCGACAGGTGTAGATGCCCCGATGCTCGGCAGCTATATAATCAATATTAAGTGTGCTCGATTTGCTGGACATGCGACCAATAACCACGTCCCAGTCACCACTTGTAAGCGCCTGATTGTTCAGCGACCAGCTGATCTCAATGGGCAGATCCCCCTTGATGACGGTGCATTGTATGCCCATGGTCTCGCCAGAGTTGGATGCCTCATCGCCAAAGTCGAAGGGTCTAATTTGCGGGGGTACTGTGGGATGTGGGGATCAAAGTGTCAAGGTATAAACCAAAAACTTAAACTACGAATCAGAACGTTAAATATAGTTCGAACCATTAACAACTAGTTCGGCTGTTTGCTCAGCGCTGCCCGCCGCATTGCTGGCAATGCATTTAAAGAGCCCGCGATGATGACCATTGATGGAGTCGATGCTCAATGAACTCAGTTTCGGTGACATTTTTATAATTCGTATGCCCACATTCTCGTTCGTTATGGGCTGTCCATTCAGGGTCCAGTGCAGCTGCAGCGGTGTATCCCCCTTGAACACCATGCACTGGACGGCGGTGCTGTCTCCGTAGTTGGAGGGCTCATCACCAAACACAAAGGGCATTATTTGAGGCGGAACTGGGCGAAATATAGAAAAGCTCGAAACTAGACAAAACAGCTCGATAACTACAAAAAACACAACAACAATGCATGGCTATTCAACAGTCTTAAATGCTTTTTAGAAAGCTTCAAGTAAATTCATGGCTCCAACCAGAAATTTCGAACTCAGCAGTTAAAATTAAGTGCTAGCTACTTAAGCATAGTTTGGTATGTTGACTAATTTAGTATTTTATCTGCGCAAACAAACCATTGACTTGCAATTCAGCAACAGATTCGCTGCTTCCAGCCTCATTGCTGGCCGTGCACCTGTAAACACCGCGATGGAACGCATTCAGCGAATCGATATTCAGCATGCTCGTTCGCTGATTCCAGCGCACTAAGTTAAAGCCGTTCTCGCCATTAATGATGGGCGCTGAGTTTAGGGACCAGCGTATATCCAAGGGTGAATCCCCCTTGGGCACCACACAATTCGCGCTGGCGATGTCGCCCACGTCGGCTGCCGCCTCGCCAAAACTAAAGGGCAGCACTTGCGGCGGCACTTGAAGGGGTTATTTGTGGGGTTAGTTCAGACAAATCAAACAAATCGAACAACATAAAATAATCAAAATGTATATGAGCTAGGTGCGTTATGATCCCAATAAGTCCCACAACTTCCGCACAAACCATTCACATGTAATTCAGCGCTATATTCGGCGCTGCCCGCCTTGTTTGTGGCTATGCATTTGTACAGTCCGCGATGTCGAGCCTCCAGGGCGTCAATGCTCAGCGAGCTGGTGCGTGGGTTCAGGCGCGACAAGGAGAAGCCATGCTCGCCCGTTATAATGGGAGCAGAGTTCAGGGTCCAGCGCATTTCCATGGGCAAATCACCCTTTGGCACCATACAAAATATACCAGCTATTTCGCCCGTGTTGGCGGGCTCGATGCCAAAGTCAAATGGTTGTATTTGTGGGGGCACTTTTTTGATGGGGGTCGGGACAACAAAAGAGTTGAGTATCAAATAAAAACAGCCAATAATAAACTATAACTTAAATCAATTTCTATCAACATGACGAACCATTCACTTCTAATATGGCAACATATTCAGCATAGCCAGCCGAATTGTTGGCTATGCACTTATAACTTCCCCGATGAGCGGCCTCCAAGGAGTCCACGTTCAACGAACTGGTGCGCTTGTTGAGTCGCACAATGGTGAACCCGAGCTCACCATTGACTATCAGAGCCGAATTTAGAGTCCAGTATATATCCAGGGGCAAGTCGCCCTTCGGCACCACACAAGTAACACTGGCCACCTCACCGCGATTTAGTGGCTCATCCCCAAAGGAAAACGAACTTATCTGTGGTGCAACTGAGTTTAAAAAAAAAATATGTTTATAGTTTCTCCACTTCGACTTCGACTAGGTTAGCCCTATTCAGCACACACGGTTTGGCTCAGTACCACCGAATAAACCAGAATGTTGTTAATAAGTAGGAAAGCAATAGAAGCAGGCGGCTGGGAGAAAAGAATACTTTGAAGCTATTGAACGACCCACCATTAACTTGCAAATCAGCGGCATATATAGCCCGACCCGCCTGATTCTGGGCGATGCAGCTGTAAGCCCCACGATGCTTGGCCTCGAGGGTATCCACACTGAGATAACTGGTACGACTGTTGAGCTGCATGACAGTAAAGCCATCCTGTCCCGATTCAATGGTCTCATTATTCAGACTCCAATATATTTCCAAAGGCAAATCGCCCTTTAGCACGACACAATTAATACCCAAAACGTCACCCATGTTGAAGACCTCACTGCCGAAGCTAAAGGGCAGGACATGAGGTGGCACTGTGTGAATAATGTATCAAATTATAAATGAAGAACTTAAAAGGGGTTAACTAATTTATAAAGCTAACAGCCGATATCAGTTATAGGATCACAATATGCTGCCATATACCATTGACTTTCAGTTCGGATGTGGTATAGCTAGATCCTGCCACATTCTCGGCTATGCACTTGAATATGCCCCGATGGTACTGCTCAACGGCGGCTATATTGAGGACACTAGTCTTTGGTGATAGCTTCAGTATGGTAATGCCCTCTTCGCCGTTGATAATGGGTCGCGAGTTGAGTGTCCATTTGATGGTTATGGGTACATCGCCCTTTTGCACCATGCACTGAACGCCAGCATTTTCGCCAGTGTTTACGGGATCGTCGCCGAACGAGAAGGGTGCAATTGATGGTGGCACTGACAAATAAATAATAGCGGATCGGGTTGGGGGACAGAACTGAACATAAAGTAAAGATTAAACTGGAGCTACTGCAAGCAGAACTAAAGCTTAACCATTGACTGCCAGCAATGCAGACTGCCTGGTTTCTCCGGCAATGTTTGTGGCTACACAGGAGTAGTTGCCCGCGTGGCGAGCTCGCACGGATTCAATGCTTAGGACGCTGATGCGCTGGCTGTTGCGGGTGACAACAACGCCATCGTTGGTGAAGACCCGCCCGCCGTTCTTGGTCCAAGCAATGTCTAGTGGCAGATCGCCCTTGTTGACTGTGCAGTAGGCTGAGACCATGTCCAATTCATTGATGCTCTCCTCCCCAAAGTCAAAGGGCATCACTTGGGGCAGAACTGTATGGGTGGTTGGGATTTTTGATCAAGTAAAAGCAAACAAAAGCAACGAAAGTAGAATGTAAGCAACGTGAGACTAAAGGATTAACCATTGACCGCCAGCATGGCCGATTGCCTGGTGGCCCCGGCGTTATTGGTGGCCACGCAGGAATAGTTGCCCGCGTGGCGAGCTCGCACGGATTCGATGCTAAGGACACTCAGTCGCTGGCTGTTTCTGTTGACCAGCAGGCCATCGTTGGTATAGAGGCGTCCTCCGTTCTTGGTCCAGTATATATCCACGGGCAGGTCGCCCTTGTTGACAGTACACGAAACTGATACCATGTCCAGCTCATTGATGCTTTCATCGCCAAAGTCAAAGGGCACTATCTGAGGCAAGACTGATTGGGTTTTGGGAAGAACAAAATCAAAGCAAATGAAACGCTAAAGTTGCTAAACGTGAACAAGCGAACTAATAAAACTCTTAACCATTGACGGCCAGGATGGCCCAATGTCTGCTCTCGCCCGCATTGTTGGTGGCCACGCAGGAGTAGTTGCCCGCGTGGCGAGCTCGTACGGATTCAATGCTTAGTACGCTCATGCGTGTGCTGGTTTTGGTGACCACAATGCCATCGTTGGTATAGACACGACCGCCGTTCTTGGTCCAAGCCACATCGATGGGCAGATCGCCCTTGTTGACTGTGCAGGAGGCGGACACCATGTCCAGCTCATTGACGCTCTCCTCACCGAACTCAAAGGGCACTATCTGAGGCAGTACTTGGATTGGTTGGAGGGTTTAACAAATCATAACGTTAGACTACTCGTAACAATCGGTCTAGAACAATGCACAACTACTAAGCGGATCGAGAGAGAGAGGGAGAGAGAGAGAGTGGAAGAGAGAGAAGCATCACCATTGACACGCAGCTCTGCCGTGTGATAGACAATGCCGGCAGCATTGCGAGCCACGCAGGTATAGTTGGCTCTGTGGCGGGCATGGACCGACTCAATGCTCAGCATGCTGATGCGCTGCGTTGTCTTGGTAATCAATATGCCATCGTTCGACATGAGACGCGCCACGCCGAGCTTCGGTTCCGGTGCTGTAGTCCAATACACTTCGAGCGGTGTATCACCCTTGTTGACCGTGCAGGTGGCCGACACCATATCGTTCATATTGATGGCCTCCTCGGCAAAGTCAAAGGGCACTATTTGTGGCGGCACTAAAGTTTGACGAATAATTTATTCAAGTGAAAAGAGCGACCAGCGTTGCAGGGTTTCGCGATTCTGAAAATTCAACCCGCCCAAGAAGATAGGCTGGCGCGCAACTTCCTTGAGAGAAGTTGGCGCAGTAATCAAAATTCTTAACTTACCCATGACTTGCACCTCCAGTGAACCACGAGCCGAATAACCCTCCTGATTCTTTGCCACACACGTGTACGTTGCCTGATCCGAATTGCGCTCCACGTTCTCAATAATAAGTGTGCCATTAGGGAAGACCTTCTGCTTGCGGTTGATGGGCAGAGGGCGATTATCTGAGCAAATATGTGTGTTAATAACCGATATATATTGAAAACGCCATCTCGTCACTTACCGCGCTCCCAGACAATGGAATCAATGGGGTAACCCGCCACGGGGCATGTGACTATTAGGGTCTCGCCAGCAACAATAGCCTTCTTCTCCATCTGACGAATGTAGGGTAAGCCGTAGACATTTAGTTTGGCGGAGTGCTCAGCCACGCCCACTTTGGATTTGGCAATGCATTTGTAGAGGCCACCATCGTTGGCATGTACGGAGGTAATATTCAAATAGGAGACCACATCGCCATTGACAGTGACATATTGGCCCACTTGATATCTGTCGTTGTTGGCAATCTTCTTGCCATCCAATTCCCAGGAGATCTCGGGTGTGGGATTGCCACCAGCTACGCACTTTAGGAATACACTTGGACCTGGCTCCATGGTCTCTTCTTGGAAAGCCTGGCGGATGACGGGCGGATCGAAGCGGCCGCCAAGTTTTAGCTCGGCGCTAGCCTCGGCGGATTCCTGATCGTTGCGCACAAAGCATTGATACATGCCCTTGTCCTCTTTCTTGACCGATTCGATGCGCAGAACTGGCTCACTGTGTCCAATGGCCTTGCCGTCCTTCATCCAGCTAACGGTCTTAATCGGATTGCCGGTGTACTGGCAGGTGAACACGGCGGGACGTCCAAAGTCAATAGTTTGTGTGGGAGGATCGATCTTAGCCGAAAGTGGCGCAGTCACGGTCAGAACAGTCTCAACGCTTTCGCCACCCACCGAATTGTTCACAACACACAAATATTTGCCCGAATCCTCGACAACGGCGTCCTTGATGATGAGTGTGCCCGAAACCTGTTTGACGCGATCGTTCAGCACCACAGCCTGTTTACGGGTGGTTCCTTCAATGAATTTGTACCATCTGAAACGAGAGGCGCATATTAGTGGATGCGATTCAAGCGCTTCAAGTTGGCAGCGGGAGAGCGGGCACAAAACGAGCAAACGTCACACAGAGCTTTAGGGAAGCGCACAACATCCACAGCTTGGAGCTTGAACTGAGATACTTACATGAATTTTGACCCTGTCAAATGTACCGAAAATACTTACCTTTGCGGTGAGTTGTGCTCGGAACATTTGCTTGTTCTGTGCGCCACTTTAGGGATTGGGGGAAAAGTTCCTGACAGATAGACAAACGCCCTACGAAATAATCATCTACCTATAAATGGGCACTGGATAGCCTTGCCCCGGACAATGGCCTACAAATGTTTCACTCAAGGGAACCTCATTGATTTCTATGCTCTTGACAGCAATGCGCGGCTTAACATGGCCAATGGGCTCTGCAAAGTTGACAAGTCCAAAATGTTACTGCGAAATTTCTATAAACTGCCTGAACTATAAGTCTAAAGCATTCGAATGGAGGGATGAGTACCTAAAAGCGGGCATGGGATATGCTTGTCCCTGGCATAATATGGAAAAGCTAGAACCCGTCCTGCGGGTTAGCTCCTGCAAACGATCACCCGATATAGTGGGCGCTACGCTACCAATGGGCTCTGAAATAGATCACATCTGGCTTAATGGCAGAAATAACCACAAAAACTGCCTGAATATCGTCGAGACTCTACAAATATTACCTAAATGCTGGTGTTGGATAGGATTGACCTAGGCACAAAATGGCCAAATCGTTGGCAGCTGCTATCGTTATTTCCTGTAAACGACCACCGGAAATTTTAGGTGCCACACTGCCCACAGGCTCTGCAAAGCATCATTGACAGTCGATCAGGATTATGGAATACTAATTGAAAACTGCCAGATCTGATATACTATAAAACTAACCGTATGATGGGTACGGGAAACGCTTGAGCCTGACAGAGTAAGGCAAAGCTGGTCGAGATCTCCTTGACAAATGTAAAGCTTTTCGATTCGCCAGAGAAACTGGGCACCCTTGCCCCAATGGGCTCTACAAGAGATTATAAAAAGTTAATGGGCTACAAGATAATAGTCTAAAACTGGCTGAACTGGTTGATGAATACTTAGAGCTATGTTAAGGCTACCTTATCAGGGGAACAGGATACGCCTGAGCCGGACAAAGAAGTGCGAAACTTTGCCCATATTGACGCACAAATGTATAGCTTTTCATATCGGTTGCAAAAGTGGGGCCTTTGGCGCTGACAGGTTCTAAAAATACACGGCCAAAGTAAACGATTATTTCCGGAATACGGATTCAAACAGAAAGCCAGCTGGCAGTGCTAATAATTGTGGGATTAATCGAAAACTGTCTTAACTTTTACCTAATAAACGGCACCGGATATGCCTGGGCCTGGCAGAGCAAGACAATATCGCTTGAGCTAGGACCGAGAAGAGAGGAGATTTTTGAAGCGCTTGCAAATGTTGGAGCCTTCGCGCCGACAGGTTCTGGAAATTGCGAAATTTATGCGGTCAGGATATGGACTAAAATAGGTTGACTATTGAAAACTGCCTGATAGTTTCGAGAAGTGCTAAATACTGAGACTAGTACCTCATGGCAGGCACAGGATACGCTTGAGCCTGACAAAGCAGCGCAAAGCTTTGACCCACGCCTCGGGTATATGAGAACGAATTGGAATCAGTTGAAAAGGTTGGCGCTCTAGCCCCAATGGGTTCTGTAAATGACATTGATAAACATAAATAGACGCTAAATAGAATGCGAAAACTGCCTGAATTACTTTAAAGCAAACATTGACTTGAGTCTACCTCATGGCGGGTACTGGATATGCCTGAGCCTGACACAGCAAGGCGAAACTTTGACCCACGGCGCGAGCATAGGAAAAAGAGTTGTAGTCCGTCGAAAACGTGGGAGCCCTAGAGCCAATGGGTTCTGCAAAGTTATGGCATGATAAATATATTTGTTCCTCAAATACAAAAGAAAACTGCCTGATAGTAAAGATAACTCGTTAAACTTGCCTAATGATGGGCACGGGAAAGGCTTGCGCCTGGCACAACAGGGCAAAACTAGCATTAATGGAACGCTCAAATATGCTGCCCTTGGAGTCGCTCGAAAATGTGGGTGCCTTTGCGCCAACAGGCTCTAAAATAAAAATAAGCAATGCCATGATTAAAGTGCTCCCAATAGAACCATTTGACAAGCGTTGTTCCAAGTCCCCGACTAAGACAACAGTTTTATGATGAGTTTTTTGCTGCAATTACCTAAATACTGGCACCGGATATGCCTGACCTTCACAGGTCAAAGCCAAGCTGTTATGCTGGGGAGCATGTATGGTAAAAGTTGAGGCAACGCTGGGAAAACTGGGCGCCTTGAAGCCAACAGGTTCTTCAGATATATCAGACAAGTCGTTATTATGTGTTAAGAATAGGAGGAAGTAACTGACTGAATGTTGGGTTAGTGCTCGGATTACCTAAAAACAGGCACTGGAAATGCCTGAGCCTGGCAGAGCATCGCAAAGCTGAAGCCCAATGGAACATGTTGCTGGAATGTCTGCACGCCCGTGGGCACAGCCGGCGCCTTTGAACCAATAGGCTCTAAGAAAATAAAGCTTATAAATTTAACAATTAAACCATATCATCTGTGCAGAACTTTCGTCTGCTTTGGCTTGAGCATTGGGCATTAGTCATTGTTATGAATACATTAAATTTGTACTGAATGTGAGAACACCTGAAGGGCTATATGTCAGGTATCTCGAGCAATAACTACATTTGACATTGAGTTATTATTTGAGAGAGTTTAAGCGTGGCTTGCGAAAAGTATCTCAATGAATGCAACTGGCGCCCTTTAACCGTTGCACCTCACTCAAAATGAAAAAGTGAAATTGTGGCCAAGTATTCCCAACAGGTGTTGTAAGACACTAAAAGCCGGTGGTATAAAAAGTCAGACAAAAGTCGCACGCAAGCAGCAAAAATAATGAATTTGCTAACTTCAGACATAAAAAAAAAACCCTTCAACTTTGACCTCATTTGTACGTACGTGCACTTTGCACGTGACCTGTTGACACAGACGGCATAAGCTAACGCAACCCCCAAAGGCGCTGAACTTTTCAGACATAAACTCGAAAAGTAATAGAAGAAGAGGGAAAGCCGGCAACAACAGACGCGCACAATGCATATTTAATTGGGGTCAATGTTAAGCTTAAGGTTAACGAAATACCGACTACAATAACAACAGCTAACGCGCCCCGTTGGGGCATGCGCACCTTGTGTGTGTGTGTGCGGCAACAGGTGGGCGGGCAAGAGCCGAGCCAAAGACAGCAAGCGAAAGTTGACCCAGAAACGTGCGTTCATTCAATAAACCGGTGTGCGAGCGAGACGCATGCAGTCCACACAATCCACACAAACAAACAGCGCGCGCATGTAGGGGTAATTGTTTGGGAAATTTCGTGTGGATCACGAGCATGCGCATTGGCAAAGAGAATGCGGGAGAGCGGGAGAGAGCGCACACAAGTCGCATCAGCTGTTGTTTACAAACACAAACACGCACACAAGCGCAAAGCCATCGACACACACAAGTGTATGGGTAAGGGGGGCGGCAGCTGCATTTGATTGCCTTTTGCGGTGCTTTTCTATGATTTCTCCCGCTGCCACCGGCTACGATTTGTTTATTTAGCTTACTTTTTATGAGTGTGTGCGCGCCTATTTGACGCATGTCTGTGTTTGTGCACATTTTATGAATGAAGCAGCGTTTGGCCCCTCGCTCGGGGTTAAAGTTCACACGCCTCATGCATAAATAAAGGCACGCATTGTGCCCCGATTGGGTTGAGCGTTTCTGACTAACCTGCTGATAGGAACAGGAAATGCCTGCGCCGGGCACAGCAGCACAATGTCTATGCCGCGCTGCCGCTCAATCCCAGACCATTTCGTGTCAATGGAGAGAGTGGGACCCTTGGCCGAAACGGGTTCTGTGTGGGAACATCAATTTAGGAACTATCTAGCAGAAGCCTTTGAATGTTGACATAGGGCATAGCAGACAATTATTTTACCCAAAAATTGGCGCTGGATAACCCTGAGCCGGGCAAAGCAGCGATATATCTGTGCCTCTTTGCAGCTCATAGGGTTTACTCATTATCGAAGGTATTCGCGGTGCCGTGCTTGAAACTGGCTCTGCAAAAAAAAAAAACCAGAAAAGAAATCGACTGAAATCCCTCAAAGGTTGATCGCAATTGCTTCCTCTCAGTTTTTCCTTAACTATTCTAACCTGAATGCGGGCACCGGATAAGCCTGAGCGGGACAAAAAAGCGCCAAATTGGTGGACAGCATGCGTTCGATCCAAGAGCGTTTGATGTCGTTGGACAGCAGGGTGGGTGCCTTACCGCCCACGGGCTCTAAATGGTCAAGAGAAATCGTGTACAACGGCAAAAAACTACAACCTAACTGAATGTTGGGTGCCTGACAGTTTCGGCTTACCGAAAGCTAGGCGCTGGATAACCCTGTGCTGGACATAGCAATGATATCGAATAGTTCTGATGCAGCTCGAGAGGTTTCTGGACAAGGGCTGGTGTTCGTGGGGCTGTGCTTGAAATGGGTTCTGTGAATTGTTCGAGAAAAATAATAAAATAAACATAATCTCTGGCCTGATGTTGGTTTAGAATAACAACCGCACTTAGTATATATGAACGCACCTAAAACTAGGAGCTGGATAACCTTGCGCGGGACAAAGAATTGCAGTAGCAGAATGGAATTGAACAATGTTGGGCTTATACGTCAGTGCATTTATCTTCGGCGGGCTGCTGGCAATGGGCTCTGGAAATGCCAACGAAATTATGTTATGATTTGGACAAAACCTGACCTAAGCTTAATATAGACTGAATGTTGGTGAAAAGAGCTGGACAAATAAAAAAAAGCTTACCGAAAACCTGGCGCTGGATAGCCCTGAGCTGGGCACAATATGGAAATGCTGGAGTGACCAGCCACAATTAAGGGACGTGACTGAAGTGGCGGCACTTTTGGAGCAGTGCTCGAGACAGGCTCTGGAAAATTGCATCAAACTTAACATAGAACTAAGAACCTGAACCACCTGAAATGTTGGGCACTAGAGCATGAGTTTTTACCTATAGACTGGTACTGGATAACCTTGAGCAGGGCACAGTAGGGACAAGGTGCTTGAGCCAGCGTAAGTTTTCATATCAAATTTGGCCAGGGAAACAACTTTGGGCACAGCGCTGCTAATGGGCTCTAAAGAAAAAAATCATTTACATTTTATAAATACCCAAAGAAAAACTGAAATCTGCCTGATTAGCTGCAGAAGGGTACTTTGACTGTAACCTTACCTAAAAGCAGGCACTGGATAACCCTGTGCTGGACAAACTATGGCCACTGTATCTTGCACAGAAACATATTCCAGATTGTTTTTCTGTATCAGGGCGACCCGAGGAGCTGCGCCGCTAATGGGCTCTGAAAATTATAGGGGATCGTATGATGAGAAAACTACATAGGGTTTAATCGAAAACTGCCTGAATGCCTGTCGAAGTTGGTTTTGTTTGAGTTTTACCTAAAAAACGGCACTGGATAGGCCTGAGCGGGACAGAGCAGAGTAAAGCTGTCTGTTAAAGAAACATCCACATTGCGAGTCTTATCGCCTGAGGTTAGCCGTGGACCCACAGTGCCTACAGGTTCTAAAGATATCGAATTGAAATATAAGCATTAAGGATGAAAGGTAAACGTCTTAAGCACTAACTGCCTGAACTATGGATTTACCTAAAAAATGGCATTGGATAAGCCTGACCAGGACAAAAGAGTGTAAAGCTGCCGCCTAAATGAGCTTCGGCGTTTTTGAGACGATTTTCAACACTGATTTTAGGCGGTACGCTGCCAACGGGTTCTAAGAAAACATAAACGTTAAGCTGGTTGTCATTTATAAATTAAATTGAAAAACTGCCTGAATATTATGGAGATAAAGAAGCCAAAACAGGCATTTACCTAAAGGCCGGCACTGGATAGGATTGTGCTGGGCAAAAGAGCGTAAACGTAGAGCCGAGTTGGGCTGCCGCATCTTTGAGACGTTCACCAACACTTATTTTGGGCCCAACAGAGCCAACGGGTTCTATTAAAACCAGTTTCGTATTTTGATTAGTGATTAAAATATACTACTCCTATGTACTAAATGAAAACTGCCTTTATTTCCGGCCTGGGCACCTTCTTACCTATAGGCTGGCACTGGATAGGACTGTGCTGGACAAAAGATGCTCAGATCTCCCTTCAAGGGCACCTCGGCATCCTTGCGTCGCTCCCCGATGCTAATTTTGGGCGGCACGCTGCCAACGGGCTCTTAAATTGAACAACTTATTAAAGTTAAACAACAACAAAACAGGATCAAGTTGCGAACTTTGAAAACTGCTTAAATGGGTTCGGCAAGGGCCATAGAAATTTGTTGTCAAGTTTTTGGGAGGGGTGCGGAAACAATTTCGGGACTCAAGCCATCACAACTATTGCGTGTCATTGTTTGACCAGCCCGTTATGAATGGGCTTAATCATGCGACTCTGAGAGTGGGATGGGAGCTGAAGGCTTATGGCTAATTACAATTTGTAGTCAATGATGCTTGAAGACTTTGCTATGCCTGAGCTATAATTGGAGAACTTTGGACGCACAATTACCTATAGAAGGGCACTGGATAGGCCTGCGCGGGACAAAAGATGGCAACGGTTTGGCCAAGTCGAATACTGTCGCGTGTCAGACCATCTTGCTTATTGACACGTGGTGCCACGCTGCCCACAGGCTCTGCAAGAGGAGGTACAAGATGAAAATCGTGTAAAGGACCACAGACTAAACACACGGAGTAGCTCTTAACAACTAGAACTGCAAGGCAAAGGATACTCGACTCGATTTACCTATAGGCTGGCACAGGATACGATTGGGCAGGACATTGTATGGCTATAGCCTGTGTGCTGCTTATGCGATCATGATTGAACTCATCCTTGCGATTTACTCGAGGCGCAACACTGCCTATCGGCTCTGTAAACGATATTGACTTTACTTAAATATACGCTGAAACTACATAACAGCCTGAATGCAAATGGGCGATATGCGACCAAAGACTAGCTTAAGGCCTTACCTAAAGGCTGGCATGGGATAGGACTGAGCCGGACATAACAGAGCCATAGATTTGTTGGATTTGGCCAGAAAAATGCCCAATTTATCTTTGATTTCTACTTTGGGCGCTACGCTGCCCACAGGCTCTGCAAAGATACGTTATTACGGCATTTATATAAGCTACTCCCAAATCTGAAGCTGCCTTAATATTGGGCTGGTAAACATCGGGCGCTACAACAGGCCAATGGACATCCAGTTTTTCTAGACCTCATGATTCTTAAAGCTAAGGCATTACCTATAAGCGGGCATTGGGTATGACTGCGCGGGACAGAGCAAGGCTAAAGAGTTTTCAGAACTGGCTAAAAATATGCCAGCTTTATCCTTAATTTCTACTTTGGGCGCGACTGAGCCAATTGGTTCTGCAAATATTCAAAAGAAAATTGTTCGTCTGTTCAGAACATCCTAAAAACTTAGACTGCATCGGCTCAAAGGTACTCGACTGTGCATTACCTAAACGCCGGCATTGGGTAACCCTGAGCTGGGCATACCAAACTTAAGGAGTTATTCGACCTGATGATGGCCATTTTGACTTTATCATTAATATCGACTTTCGGTGCCACAGAGCCAACGGGTTCTGAAAGGGAGAGTGGCAAGGACATCCTGCATTTAATGAATTTGATGGCATAGTACTTCTAAATGGGAACTGCCTGAATGTCATTCTCACCTAAATGAGGGCATTGGATAGCCTTGAGCTGGACACAAAATGCTTAGCGACGCATTTAAAGATTTCGAAGAGAACTTCAGCTTATCGTTCATGTCCACTTTAGGTGCAACAGATCCCACAGGCTCTATTGGGGGATAAATAATATATTCCTGAGACTGCCTGTTGCTGGTTTAGAGCATCCTTACCTAAATGCTGGCATAGGGTAGCCTTGCGCAGGACAAATTAAACTCAGTTGAAGCCCAAGATTTGCAACAGATATTGCAACTTTATCTTTCAAATCAACTTTTGGCCCCACAGTGCCAATAGGTTCTACAACAATAAAAGCAGCATGTGAATCGAGTGTAAAGGACACAACTGCCTGAACAGGATTAGGGCGTTATTTAATGTACCTAAAGGCTGGCATAGGATAGCCTTGAGCTTTGCAGAACAGATTCAATGAAGTATTTGAACTTTTTATGGCAAAATCCATTTTATCGTGCATGTCAACCTTAGGTGCCACACTCCCGACGGGTTCTGAAACAGTTTGATTGGGCAAGCGACTTTAATGGATCGAATTGGAGTAAAGGTAACTTTTAGAAAACTGCCTAAATATGCCTGTGAATCGTACCTGTATGCAGGCATGGGATACGACTGCGCGGGGCAAAGCAAGTTTAGGGCTTGCCCCGTAGGCTTATCAAGCCATGTTATACGATCCTTAACATCCACCTTCGGCGCCACACTACCAACAGGTTCTGCAAGCAATTTCGAAATCTTTAACTACAGCAGCCAATGCTCTAATGGAAACTGCCTGAACATTTTGATGATGGCGAATCTTACCGGGCAACGGGCGTTGGATACGACTGTGCTGGACAAAGTAAGCTCAGGGATATACCCTTTGGTTTATCAACCCATTTAATGCGATCATTAGCATCAACTTTTGGTGCAACACTGCCCACGGGTTCTGAAATATGCCAGAACCTCAACAAAATGGCTAGGACGTTTCGAAGTAAACTGCCTGAATGCTGAGCGGGGCTTACCTAAAGGTCGGAACCGGATAGGATTGAGCTGGACAAACTATGGCCAGACTCTGATTCAAGGCAGCACGAGCATAGTTAATCTCATCTTTGATATCAACTTTAGGGGCTACGCTCCCGACAGGTTCTGTGAGCACAAATAAATAGTTTGTAAATAGACCTATACAGGAATGTGGCCTGAACGTTGGGCTGAGCAAATTACCTAAACGATGGCATAGGGTACGATTGGGCTGGGCAAATGATCGCCTTGGATAAACCAAGCTGAGTTCGCGCAAATGTAAACTCATCCCGAGTATCGACTTTAGGTGCCACAGAGCCCACGGGTTCTACAAGAAAAGTTACATAAGTACTTATGCTTAAATATCTAAATCTCAACTGTTGAACTGAATGTGGTCGAGGGGTTTTTTGAACTAACCTAACTAAGGGCACGGGATATGCCTGACCTGGACATTGCATAGCATAATCCTCGGACAACTTCACCTGCAGCACTTGAAACTTGTCGTGAAGACTTGTGATTTTTGGCGGCACAGATCCTATCGGTTCTATAAAAAAATAATTACATGTGAAATAATAAATAAAACTAACCGAACTATGGGTACAGGGTATGCTTGACCGGGACACTGCATAGAATAATCCTCATTCAAATTCACTTGCACAAACTGAAACTTGTCATGCAGATTCGTAATTTTGGGTGGCACCGAACCAATGGGTTCTAGTATAAGAAAATAGAACAAGGTTATTTAACTCAGACAGCAGGCGAAGCCCGAAATGTTGGTTAAGTCTTTTAAGGTCTCTTATGCTATGGAAAATTAAACTAACCGAACTACTGGCACTGGATATGCCTGACCGGGACACTGCATAGCGAAATTGGATTCCAGCTTAACTTGCATCAATTGAAATTTATCATTTATGTTATTGATTTTCGGCGGAACAGATCCGATGGGTTCTGAAATTGTATACTACACTAAAGCCTTGCCGTAGGAATGCAGATGCACATTTGAAAGCTGCCTGAAGTTGAGAACGAATTGGTTTACCTGTTGGTGGGTACTGGAAACGCTTGACCCGGGCACTGCATGGCATATTTAGAGCCCGAAAGTATTTCCATAGTGCGCACTCGCTCGAGCAGATTAAGTTTGGGTGGGACAGAGGCAACAGGCTCTAAAGGGGATAAAGACTTACTTTCAGGCTTGGGTCTTGACAACTACTTGAATGTTGAATTGGATTGGGAAAACATACCTATATGCTGGTATGGGATACGATTGTGCAGGGCACTTAAGACTCAAACTGCTTGCTACAAACGCGCGAGCAGTGGCCACTTCATCGTCTATGCTAACTTTGGGTGGCACGCTACCAATTGGTTCTGAAAGGAACACAAAATGTTGACATGCCTTTAACTAGCCTTTTATAGCCCACGAAAGCCGCCTGAATGCTTACTGGCTCCGACAAAAGTCCTACCTATATGCTGGTATGGGATACGATTGCGCAGGACACTTCAGGCTAAATCTGGCACCTTGCACGGTTCTTGTATTGGACAATTCATCAGCTATGCCAACCTTTGGCGGAACACTGCCTATCGGCTCTGTAAACATTGCGAACGTTACACGGTGTCTCAAATTATTTGAAAACTGCCTGCTAGAAATGAGGAAATTGGTCTAACAAAATAATCACTTAAATTATATTGTCTGCCCCTTGGTCAACCTGTCATAAATTGGGCTATTTGCGGAATTTAAGCCTCACAAAATGGCTTCAGGACATGCAGTACAATTTTAATGGGAGTACCTAAAGGCAGGCATGGGATATGATTGCGCCGGGCAGAGCAGTGCAAATCCAGCCTGCTCGGCTATCTCGCGTGTCTGTAGTTTGTCCTGGACGTTTATTTTGGGCTTGACCGAGCCAACGGGTTCTACAATAAAAAATTTGAATTTCTTTGGTTCAGGACATGCACTAGAAAACTGTCTGCCGTTGGTCAGGCGAGGTAACGACTTGTTGTTATTTTTAAACCCACCTAAAAGCGGGCGTTGGATAGGATTGTGCCAAGCAGAGGAGCGAATAACTATTGCTTAGTTCCACGTCTATAAACTGATGTTTGTCTTGGGCGTTGACTTTCGGACGCACACTGCCGACGGGCTCTAGAAAGCGTAGTTAACTTTAATATCAACATTTGGGGGCTAACTGAATGTTGGTCTGGAAAAGGGTTGTCGACTAGTCTTACTTGAAAACGGGCATTGGATACGATTGCACCGGACATTGTATGTTGAAACTGGTGCCGCCCTGAATTTGCATCATTCTGAAGCGTTCGAGAAAGTTCAATTTGGGTGCTACACTTCCAACGGGCTCTGAAATTCGAATGGGATAAAATACCCGATAAGAGAAAACTTTCCAATTGCATCTATAAATCAGCTGAGATGTTGTGCTAGTTCAGTAAGCTTTTCATATACAACATTACCTATAAGCCGGCTGTGGATAGCCTTGAGCGGGACACAAGAGGCTCAGGCTATGCAAGTTCTTGATCTTAACATGTTTCAGATCATCAGCATTCGATATTTTAGGACTTACACTGCCAATGGGCTCTGTAATTGACAAATGCAACCTTTTATAGAGGACTTATCAATGTCTAACTGTTGAAAACTGCCCTAGTTCGCTTAGGGATAATCAAGCTGTCTATATTACCTATAGAATGGCTGTGGATATGCCTGAGCGGGGCACAACAAGCTCAAGTCTAGAGCGCTCCTGCCCTTAATGTGATTGTAATCTTCACCTGTGTTAATTTTGGGGCTAACACTGCCAACTGGCTCTGCAAATGTTAAAGCCAAGGTAAGGGAAATATGATAAGAGAATAAACAAACTGCCTGAATTCGAGAAGGGGATCTTGCTTACCTATAGAAAGGCACTGGAAAAGCCTGAGCGGGACAGAGCAAAGTAATGCTGTTAGAGAGCTGAACTTTGGTTGTACGTGAATCATCACCAGAGGTAAGCCTTGGACCGACGCTGCCAACAGGCTCTTTAGAAGAGCAATGCAAAATGAATATGACTTGTATGGTTGAAATTTAAGCCTTATGTTGGGATATAGAGCATTACCTAAAGAAAGGCACAGGATAGGCCTGAGCTGGGCACATTAAAGAAACGCTATGATTTAGCGGAACACGGGTAAGAGTTATGTGCTCCTGATTGCCATTGCCATTGAGCTGTGGACTAACGCTCCCAACGGGTTCTAGATCGGATTGGAAATACACATGTGAGATACTAAATGTTGAGATGCCTAAATGTTGGGCTAGTTTACCTATAAAAGGGCACCGGGTAGGCTTGAGCTGGGCACATAAGCGCAGCGCTCTGACCCCGTAATACTTTCGGAATTTTGATGGCATCGTCGCCGGCTGTAACTTTTGGACTAACGCTTGCCACCGGTTCTTTAGAGGATAAAATAAAACGTGATTTGTTTGCTAGTCTATGTCTAAAAAGCCTAAATGTTGGGCTAGTTTACCTAAAGAATGGCACTGGATATGCCTGAGCTGGACATAAGAGCGTGGCGCTCTGCTCCATGTTCACCTTGAGGATGCGAGACTCATCGCCACTCGTGAGGCGCGGTCCCACACTACCAACCGGCTCTGGTGAGGAAGATATCTTGTTTACAGATTGGCAAAGCTTGGCCTGCCTTAAGTTGGGATAAGTCTTACCTAAAGAGGGGCACAGGGTACGATTGTGCCGGGCACAGCAAAGTTATGGGACTCTCTGCAGCGTATTGCACAACTTTAATATCATTGCCAGAAAGCAGACGAGGACCAACGCTTGCAATGGGTTCTTGAAAATGGAAAAACATTCAGTCTGTGCAAGAAAAGGAAAACTAGCCAAAGTTGGGTCTGAGTTAACTGAGCTGTCATTGGCTGGCCCACCTAGATAATGGCGCCGGAAATGCCTGAGCGGGACACAGCAAAGTGAGGCTGTTATTGGCCGCGCTCGTAAAGCTGCTACTTGTCAGTGTGGTTGGGAACTTGGGCGAAACCCTGCCGACTGGTTCTGTGAATGAATCGAAACGGAAAATGAAGTTTTAGATTTGCATTTAATTTCGGTTAAATTAATTACTATAGCTATGTACTGGTTGTTGGCACTTACCTTGGGCACATTGATACAAATTTTGGGAAAGTTGAAATTCAATTATAATGCCCTGGTAAGGCGCTGGTAAGCCAAGCTCTTTATTCAAACGGACCAATTAAATTTTCCTCTCTCTTAGCTTTATTTCAAGCTCATAGCATTGTCGAGTACCCTATCCCAACATTCAGGCAGTTTTCAATTTAGTACAGAGCAACAATTTTCTGATCGTATTGCGCAGACATTATGAGATTTGGGCATACATTGATTCAATTTTGATGTTCGATAAACACGCTTTTTCCTCACAAAGAAAGAGATTTTAAGCAAAAAATCTTTTTGATTGAATATTGGATATCAGTTTTTATCAGAATATTGTTGCTCTAAAATATATTTTTATATATTATAAATAATGTAAATTACTGAACTATTAAAATCTCAGTAATTCACAGGCGAAGCAAGGAAAATGCCAATGGATATTTAAATTTATGTCATAAAGCATTTTCCCTGTAACGCTTTCTATACTTGGAATATATTTCAACTTTAGTATATGGAAAAAGCAGAGATTTTTGTAATTGAATAATTAAAATCTTTAAAAAAGTCATAATTTTAATTTTTTAAATTTACTTTAACATACTTTTGAATATTCCAAATATATTTCAAAAAGTCACAACCCAAAATTGTTAGCTTAATACTTAACATTTAGGGGCTGAGACTTTTATTTATACACTAAGTAAACTTCACACAGTTAAAATATATTTTAAATTAGAAAAATCATTTTTCATTTTAAATATACTACTGTGTGAAATTAACTTAAAGCTATGAACCCTCAGTTATCCATCTGGTGGCAAGTATTTATTTATTTATTTTCCATGCACATTTATTGAAAAAGTTGGCTTAATGGATTAATATAAAACTTAAATTAAATTCAAGAGACATTCTTTGAAAATAATAAATTATTGTTTATTTTAATTATTTTGATTGGTTCAAAAAATATTTCAAAAACATTTTCTAGCTTGCAACTGTTTTAAGCTTTTGGCATTGCATGCAATAAAAATAGAATAAATTTAATGGATTCGATTTTTCTTGTGTAAAATTAAAAGTAATTTGATAATACCAGGCTTAATCCAAAACATATACGAATCGAATCTTAGGGCAAGGCATTGTTTTGAACCATAAACCGAACCGCCTTTGGTTTTTGTATTATTTTAGCAAGCTTTTGTGTTCACATTTCAGACAGTTTTGATATTTCTAAAACAACTGCCACAAGAACGGATAACTGAGTGCCTCACAATAGAATTATAATTGGCAAACAAGGCCGACTTACCTGTGATGACCAAACGTCCTTTGGTCGCACTCAGACGCGTCTCTCCAGTCAAACGATGCTTGGTGCGGCATTGATAGCTCTTGTATCCGTCTTCGGGTCCGACTTCACGAATGTGTAGCTCGCCGGAGGGCAGAACGAGGTATTTGCCGTCTAATATTTATTGTTGTGAGTTGAAAAGTAATTCATAAAAATATATTAGTGATGACGTTACCGGGCTTAACTTAAGCTATCATACAACAAAGCTACATTTTAGACAATTAACAAAAAACTCAATTAAAATCGATGCTTTAATTGAATTTTTCGCTTCGCAATCGAAAGCCACATGCCACAGAAATATTAATAAACCGTTAGATCTTAACGCTTTGTGCAATTTAATAATTATGTCAATTGTTAGTATCATGCAATGTGGCTTGCCAATGCGAATTGTGTATTAAAGTATTGCTAGAGTCCATTGCTAGTCCATTTACATTTGGATATGCTTATGTAAGGCTGAAAATAGTATTTTAGCTTTTTTACAAGAATTTGATTTAAATATTTACTTTGATTTTCAGTCTTACAACAACAAGCAACATTGCGCTCAGACAATAATTTATTGCATTTTTTGTGTAATACAATAAATTAGTCTAAAATAATTAATTGACTTATAACTAACTATACACCATGACAAGCAGGCTTCATATCGAAAAGAAATTGTAGATAGTTTAATCAAAGTTGTAATATATATTATTTATTAAAATATTCTGAGCAAGGCTGCAAACCGGGCTTAAACGAATTCCTAAAACGAATCACAAATTTCAAAAATAAATTGTAAAATATATATATATATATATATTATTGTTATCGCAACATTTATTACTTGAAATTATTATTTTAATTGTTTTATTGCAAGTTATAAAAAATGTGAACAACTAAGGTTCGAGGTGAAACCTAGGTTCATAAATGTGGAAAACTAGTTTGACAAACCAAACCTTAAAGCAAAGCATTAGCTCAAACTGTGAACTGAGCTGATGAATATTATTCCCGAGTTTGCAGTCTCAATTTTCACTAATACAATTGATTGGTTCGGTAAATAGTTCTTAAAAAAGTATAAATATTTCCACAATTTCTTTTCGTTATGATATTCATGCTACAACAAAAATGCCAATATTTTTAGCTGATGTGGATTATCAAATGATGATTTTTGTTAAACAGCCTTTGGGTTATGATATATGGTACATGTTTATATATCTGTACATATGCGCAGAATCGATGATATAATTATTAGCATTTTTGTTCATACATATTTACAGTAAAAGTATTTACACTAGGCTACAAAACAACGCTACTTTCAACTACATGAAGGGGTAGGTTCTTGTGAATGGTTTTGGGCAAGTCAGGAGTGACTCTTGGAGTTTGTTTGGAGAGGGAAAGGATGTGAAAATAAAAAGAATAGATTTGGAGTTTGGGCGAAAAATGAAAATAATAAAAAAGATAGAGAAATTGAAATTGAAAGTAAACCAAAAGTAATCGAATGCCTAACAGCGCAGTAGTTCGGGGCCTGTTAGAGAATGTCTGGGACCAAGGCACTGAATGATCGTTCAACAAGCTGGCATTGAAATTTGAAATTTGAATTGGACGGGATTTGTTTTGTGTGAGTGTGGCACTAGAAGCAAGGCTAAGAAAACTTTGAAAACTTAAAGCTAGTGGTTTACCGCTAGCTGTGACATCGGCCTGCGGATATATTTCACGCTCCTCGTCCTCAACCCACGAGTCGACCACAATAAAATCGGCAACAAAACTGGGTATATGACATTTAAGGATTGCGCTGTTGCCGCGCAGAATGGACTCATCCATGACATTGACGCTGTAGGATTGTGGCACAACTGCAAAGTGAACGAGACAGAGAGATAGGAAGATGGGCTTCCATGAAATAGGCTGATATCAGATAAACGAGGATAAATCATAAGGTAATGTTGGATGGTTGGCCCCTTCATGTTTCTACAATGGCAATAAGATACGCAAAGGTGCTGTACCCGTTATGTTCTTGGTATAGACACCGCCCTCGGTATCAATCCAATCGGTTATGTCGATGTGATCGGCCACAAACGACGGCGTCTGACATTTGAATATAGCTGCATTGCCCTTGATGACGTACTCATCGTATACTTGCGACTCAAAGAACTGTTTGACCACTGAAATGGCAATAATGCGGGTGCGAAACATAAGCAGGGCATGATTCGAAAAAGCAAAGATAATGTTGGAGTGTAGGTTAACAGGGAAAAAGAGTTCTGGCTACAAAACTAGACTAAGGCCTAACTTAATCGATTAAAAGCTGCATTTAATGCTATACCCATGGACTCGTCGGGCAGTGGGCGTATTATTTCCACGCCCTCCTCATCTAACCAAGCCTCAACGTCTATGAAGTCGGCCACAAATGAGGGCACCAGACACTTGAGCGTGGCAGAGTTTCCGCGCAGCACAAATTCATCGATGACGCGTGTCTGATAGAACTGATGCACAACTAGGAGGGAAACGAAGAGTTGGGCGCATAAAAATGATTAAAGAATTTGGGAAATAAATAAATTAAGGGAAACTTTGTGGACACAATACATTTGGGATTGGCGCCCATACGAATATTAATTAGAAATAAAATCGATTGTAGTACCCGTCTCCTCGACATTGTTGGGATAATAATTGCGACCCTCTGAGTCCAGCCAGAGATCGACGAAAACAAAATCCGCCACATACGAGGGTATCTCACACTTCATAACTACAGAGTTGCCACGAATAACATACTCATTGTCGGCCTCCGATTCATAGGATTGTATGACAACTGAAGCAAATGATTTTCACAAAGAAAATTAAAGTTGAAAAGTTCAAATGATGGATGTAAGTGTGGGAACATTTGTTAAGAACTAAGTGTTTATATCTAATAAGTATATATAGAATTTGATTGGACTGTACCATAGGCGCCAGTTGAATTATCCCGCCACAATTCGACCCCCTGATCATCCACCCAGGCCTCAACTTGCACAAAATCGGCTACAAACGAGGGTATCTTACACTTGACCACCGCCGCGTTGCCCTTAATGACATACTCATTCTCGGCCTCGGTTATATAGAACTGTGAGACGACTGCGTGAAACGGGTGTTAAATAAAAGAAACGCAAATTAACTTGTAAAGCTTGGAATTGGTTGGGATGGGTGCTAATTTAAATTAAGGATTGCAAATCAATACGAGGCACACCATAATTATCGGAGAAAGACAAGACATTGCCCTCCTCATCAATCCAAGACTCGACACGCACAAAATCAGCAACAAACGATGGAATCGAACACTTTAAGACGGCAGCATTGCCTTTTATAACATATTCGGTCATAATTTCGGCCTCATAGAACTGATTGACCACTGAAAATGTTTTGAAATAAGCGGAAAGTAAGAAATTATAAGTAAGTTGGAAAGTGTTTGGATAGTGAAACCCCGTGTTAAATTAGTTAAAACTAAACTAGCTTATTTGTTGCGCTTAGCCAATACCATAATTATCAGAGTGGCGCAGTTCGGTGCCCTCCTCATCGATCCAAGACTCAACCCGAACAAAATCAGCCACAAACGAGGGTATGGAACATTTAAGTACTGCTGCATTGCCTTTGATGACATACTCCATTAATATATCGGCGCCATAAAACTGATTAACGACTGGACAACAGATGGAAATTTAAGCCAAAAGTTATAGCATTTAAATGAAATTAGAGTAAATAGAATCGGGAATTGGAGTGGGATGCCGCTGCTTAAATATAACAACCACAATATCTGAAGAATCTACCAAAATCATCCTGCGGTATATACTCCGTGCCATCGCTGGCTACCCAGGCCTCAACGCGTAAAAAGTCAGCCACAAAACTTGGTATGGTGCACTTCAAAACTGCCGTATTCCCCTTGATAACATACTCCGAAACAACTTCAGCTTCGTAGTATTGGTTGACGACTGCAAAATGTTGAGAAAGTATTATGAAACAACGAACAGGCTAAAGTAAAGAAAACCACGCACTGTAGAATGAAGATGTAAAATGAAAAGAATACAGCAAATAGGGGGTTATGAGGAAAACAGGAACTGCTAGTTTTCAATATTATCTGATCTTATAAACTGTGGAATCGCTTAGCTAAGTAGTTTATATACCCATGCCCTGTTGGTCCTCGAGTGTTCCATAGAGTTCGCCCTCTTCGTCTTGCCAGGAAACCACCTGCACAAAGTCCGCCACAAAAGATGGTATGGAACACTTGAGAACTGCCGAATTGCCGCGTATGACATACTCATTGTTAACCTCCGACTCGTAGAACTGTTGCACAACTGCCGGGGGGGGATTGAGGGGAAAATGAAAATGATTTTGTGTTGAGAGTGCAAGCGGGGTGGGGGAATGGGGCAACACCTTGCGTGTTACGGGCGTGTGAAACTCTTCAGCAGCCTAATTGAAACAAGAGAGGTTCAGCTTTTAAGCGACAAGAGTAGCAGGCGCATTTAATGGACCTTAATGCGCAATTTGATGAGATGTACATAAATATTTAGTTATGCGCCGCGCAACTTCCCTGAGAAAGTCCACAGGTTAATAATAGTTTAAGAACATGGCTCATAGACACGCACTGAGAAAATTAGCCAGCATACATTTTGTAATAAGGATGAATGCAAGACAAGAAAACAAAAGAAAAGAAAAGTTAATGAAAATATGGTTTGGGGAGGAGCACTTAAAATTCTATGATGCTGGTCAAGCACAACTGTACATGACTCTCTCCAAAAATAACCTCAAAATTCACAAACCATATTCGGTGCCTGGTAAAAAGTCCTCATTCTGATCCGTGTGCCAGGACACAACGCTAACAAAATCAGCCACAAACGAGGGTATCTCACACTTCAGAACCGCAGCATTTCCGCGTATGACATAAGCCTTATTTACATCAGTATCGTAGTATTGGGCAACGACTAAAGTAAAGCCACAAAGCAAAATAAGAATCATAGTTAAGCTAAGACAAAAAAAAAAGTAAATTAACTAAAGTATTTGCATATTCAATAACAAATCATCAAACAAAAGTGGAGACACTTGACGAAGCTTGGAGAATAGTTCTATTTGTTGGTAACCTGACCAGTGTTGGTTAATTGAGTTAGCTAATTGCAATAATACACCTGTGTCGCTCGTATTTTACAGTTATTAGTGAAGCAGTTTGGTGTTGGTTGTTGGTGGGTGTTTCTAGTACTTAGTACTTTAGTGTTGGTTAACTGTACTTGCACTTTACACGAGTATTCTGTGGGCATATGCTGTGTTGTTCTGTGTTGGTTGTGTGTGAGAGTGTTGTTGTTGTTGTTGTTGTTGTTGGGGGTATAGTTTGCAGAAGTAGTTAAAGTAGTGCTGTTTTGCAACACACGCACAAACACTCACAGACAGAAGCACACACCGACACACACACACAGAAAGAGAGAGAGGCAGAGAGCCAAAATCACACACCATATTCAGTGTCTGGATAGAAATTCTCTTCCTGATCGGTATGCCAGGAAATGACATTTACAAAATCAGCTACAAACGATGGTATATCACACTTCAATATGGCCGAATTGCCGCGTATGACAAACGCCTTGTGTATATCCTCTTCATAGTGTTGCGAAACGACTAAACGTATAGAAGAAACAAAATAAATCTTTATAAAGTAAGATGGGAAAATAGATCGTGAATGGAATGATGGAATTTTCTTATTGTTGCTGTGGCCATGCGATTTTAGTACACCTAAGCCTAAGAATGTAGTGCAAAGTGCTATGCTAGACTTTTTTGTATAGTTGTTGTTCTATTGGGAGCAGCGCACCATATTCTGTGCCCGGAAAATAGTTCTCCTCCTGATCGGTATGCCAGGAGACAGCCTCAACGAAATCGGCCACAAATGAGGGTATCAAGCACTTGATAACCGCCGAATTGCCGCGAATCACATGCTCCTTGTTCACATCGGCCTCGTAGTATTGGGCAACAACTGGAAAGTGGTGTGGTATGAAGTGCGTTTAGTGATGATGTATTCCATGAAACTCTACGATAAGGTCAAGCAATTCTCACGCTCGAAACACCTGTGCAAACATGACAACTTTTTCGACTTTGGTTCCTGGAAACAATTTGCGCATTTCCTGTTTGTCGGAAAACAATTAAACGGCCAATTAAGTGGAAAGTGCGAAAAAAAAAAAACATAATCACAACCAGGCTCAGTCCAAGCGCTTTATTAATTAAAGCCATTTAATTCAAGCAAAATTTCGAGGTGTAGCCCGTGCTCCAGCCATATTTCATGTCGAGCAGCTACATGGCTGGCCATCATTATCATCGGTCTCCACTTTAAACATATTTTTGGCAGTAAGCCAACATGATAAATTCACTTAGTTAATAGGAACAGAGACGAGTTTATGCTAAGCAAAGCCAAACGACAATAATGAGCTTGAGCTGAGAGCTATGGAGCAGGGGAATAGCTGAGGTTGGGTTAGGTCTCATGGCGTGAGCTAATTGCTGACTAACACGTCGAGCGACGAGCGACGAGAGAAGCCCGATGACTAAGCCAGGTGGCAATCCTAGGGGTTGCTCATATATGATGGTAACATAATTAGGTAAAAGTCATTAACTTTCGGCCTATTTGGACCTGGTTTATGCAAGCGGAAGTAATGGATATTTCCACAGCGATTTGGCTGACAGTATAGACAGGGTGTGTATAAATAGGTTCGCGGAGCACTGGGGCACCCAACACATGACTCTGGCGAGTTGCAGCTGTAAACTCTGGCTCCAGCTTCAAGACAGGCAAGTGGTGTGACAATTACATCATCGGCATCATCAGCACTGCCAAACAGCTTGCACAACGATTAATTGCAGTGAAATTGCATAGACGACAGGCCAGACATATGGCAAATCCCTCGTTGCATTGCCAGGTGGAGATGGTCCAAACAAGGCAACTTTATCGACAAAATCAGACAATAACATTTGAACGCGCGAAGCTTAGCGCGAACATAGCCTATTGCTGCAATCCGGAAAAGCACAGATTTAACCTATTAAAGGGATTTGCATAAGCGAAGAACTTGACAGGCCTAAAAACAACGTAGACAGCCGAAAAAGTTCACCAACGCCGATTTCCTTCTTCTGAAATTTGCTGTAAAACTGGAAAGAATATTTGTTTGAGTGCAGTGCAAGCATTGGATGTGGTTAACATTATAAATCGACTTTTGACTATTAATGACATAATTGTGAATAGTTCAGTAAAACATCGGACAATATTGTTTTTCTTTGGAAATTTATATTACTTCCGCATTGAATTACAAACAGCTCTATCTTTTGAAAGCCATAACAAGAAGTTATTGAAGCTCTTTAATAAAAACCTATGCTTAAAATGGTTTTGTTTTATCGATCGATTAGTCGAATTTATCGATCGCTGAAAACTAAGGTAACCAACATCCATTGACGTGCTCTGCACTCTGTAGTCTCCAACACGCTCCACTTACCTGCTCGCACATGCACGTCCCGGGATATGATTGAGCCAAACTGGTTGCGTGCCAGACAGGCGTAGACCTGGGCATGCACTTCCTGACGATAATCCTCGGCGCGGAAGGGCGGGAAAACCAGCTTGCCATCCGACGAGATCTGACGCAGGCCGGGCACGTCACCCACGGCGGTGCCATCGCTACGGACCCAAATGATTTCGGGCATGGGATTACCACTGGATTTGCATTCGATTTCGGCGCCCGTGGAGTTTGAGAAGTCAATGCGATTGGTGGGTTCTTTGAGAAAAACGGGTCCCTTTTGGTCAGCATCCGGTGGATTGGCAGCTAAAGTGCTGCTAACAGTGGCTACGAGGGGAAAAAGCGAGAATGGTCAAGAATTAGTACAAATAACAATTAAAAACTCATAAAGCAGCTTAAATATTCAGGGCAACACAGCGGAAGTTGTGTATACACATATACTCCAACATAAATATGCACAGCTCCGAGTCCGTATATATAAATATATATATATATATATATATATATATATATATATATTTGTCATCATATTTGTCAGTCGACATGTCAAGTCAATTGTCAACAGCTTGGCTTTTGTTCCATTGCTGTCGTGCTTGCTGCTGCTCAACAATTGAATGCTATGGATCAGTGACTGTCGCTATTGCTGCCCAGCGGCAAGCCCGTATGTGCTGAAGTGTGACGGTGTTGCTCTGGCAACAGCCACATCGAGAAAGAGTGCTCTTTTATCGGGGTTGCCCGACAAGAAAATACGCTGAGCCGACGTTTCAAAAATTGGAACACTTTTCTTTGCATACTCAAGTACACAAGACAAGCACGCAGGGGAAATGCATTCCTAAGTAACTTTGGGGTTTGCAGTTCAATTTTCTTAAAGTTTCAGTATTTACCAAAGCACAAAGTATTAAGTGGGTAAGGAAATTTAATGAAAAGCAATTTATATTAAGAACCTGCATCGGAAATATGCTTAAGTCTTTTTTGAAAATCGTTATGATGGAAGCAATCGGAAGAATCTACAAAAATATGCTTTCTGCGTATGATACACGTCTCTAGTTTTAATAGCTGGCTAGATCAACTCTGCCCATCGTCTTTATCGAGAATATATATGTATTCTTTATAAGTGCAGCGAAGTTTCTTTCTCTTTGTCACATACATTTGCACAAAAACATGATACCCCTTTTAATCCATACTCAATTGGTTCAGGGTATTTTAGCTACAGCAATAACAAAAGCAAAACTATTAAAACTGGTCGCTCTTTCACTTCCTCTGCGCACAAAAGGCAGCAGGGTAAAAAATCGTTCGTTGACACTTTGGAGGCTGCCGCACGACAAAAGCCGCCAGAGATCAGCTCATAGACCTGGCCGAGAGGAGTGTTGAGCTGATAGAGGCGAAAAGAACCATCCGCCCTCAGCTGGGCTTGTCACTTTTGCATTGGCAAGCAATTTCATATTCAATTTTATGCACCGGCATGGTCGCGACCCGCCCCTTCTGCCCCTGAAGCCGCTGCACAGGTGTTTGTAATAACAACAAATCAGAGCATTGCAGTCGGCTGCAACTGACTGCTTAATACTCTTTCACAGTTACAAAATAAAACTGATATGCCGCACTTCCAGTTTAAATCTCAATAGGAGTTAATCGGTAGTATTCATTTATAATTTGTTAACTCTAACGCTAAGTCGGTGGGAGATAGACTTTCGATTCGCCAGGCCCCCCTGGAGTCATTATAGGTATACGCAAGTGTAGGATGGATGCGAAAGAAGCCCGAACGAAAATACTCTTTTGGCTTGGGGAACGAATGAAAACTATTCTAAAGGCTTGCTGCAATATGACAAATGACGATAGCCCAAAGTTCTCTTTCAAATCCATGTAATCAGCTCTAAGGATAGAACGATATGGACAGAATATGGATGTGTATTCTGTATTCTTACATTTTAATTAAGTTTTTAATTTGCTGAAATTTAAACATGTTTCTATCGTTCTGCTTTACTGTAACGACTATTTCGCATGTCCTTCAACCGCGCGTTGTTGAATTTTTGGGTCATGTGGGCACTTGTCTCTAATTTATCATTTCCATTCTCGCATTAATTAATGCTCAGCTCGCCTTTCAAAACAAACAGCACGAGCAGCAACAAATTAGCTGCGAAATAATTAAAAAGAGGGCGCGAGCAATGGGCAAGACGCACATTACTGTTCCACTCTCCAGAAAACACTGTACAGACAGTGTTGAAAAACGCTTTTAAACTCACTTTCATAATGTAAAAAATTAAGATATTTTAAAAATATTCATTATTTTTTATATTTGAATATTTTCAGTGTAATCATATAGATTACAGCTAATAATTTAATGCATTTTTGCAATGCTAATTTTATTTTAATTGTACAAAGAACAAAACATTAATTTGGTTAGGAACGTACGGATATTCATAGTCTTTTGCCTAGGGCACAAGTTTACCACATGCGGCGTGTTACCCTGACATTTCAAATGAAAACGAATTAATTAGCCTTACAAAAACAACAACAACAACAGAATTACAACAAATTTGGAATGAGTGACAAATTGAGGCTTGAGTGTGTCGCCCTTATATAATATTTACATATTCTGCCAAGTGTTGGAACTTTTCATTTTCGGTTGACGTATTGGATATCTATTGTTGGACAGTTTTAGGCATCGCAGCTTACGACAATTCCTTAGCTTTAAAATGCAGGAAATGCGCAGACGACGCGAAGCGCATTCGAAAACCAATTCCTTTTAAATTATTAAAATGCGCAACAGCGAACATATGGCAGCCATATGAACATCGCAGGGTCTGTTGGCAAGTGGGCACGTGAGTCTTTAATCAACATACATATATGAGTGGTAAACATTTACATATGATTATATATATGTATCTATATACACGTCTGCATGCGTCGCAAAATGGCAAAATAAAAGATAAAGACGACAATGAGGGACGAACTTTGCGAATCAAATTATATCTTACAGCTGTTACACATATGCTTTTCACTTTTGAAATTACGGAAACGATTAGAGGAAAAGGCTACCCAAAAATAATGAACGAGAGAAGATGGCTTCTTCAATGTTTGACTTCCTTTATAAGTACGGGTATGAAGAGTAGAGAGCAAAATATTTCTGCTTAAATCTTTTAAAATATATTTTTTTAATATTTTTTTGCTTACGAGTGCATTATAAAGTAAGAGTCACAATTTTTATTATATATTTAATCTTTGCCCTTGTTGTTTTCCTTGCTTTGCGACTTCTTCTTTCCGTTGCACTGTTTGCCTCGACCTTTTGGAATCTTCGGTTTGTTTTGTTTTCTTTTTTTTGCAAATCTTTTCGGCAGGTGTTTTTTTGAATGGTCGTATCAAAGTGGCTCGGTCAGTTTCTACCCTAACTTGAAGTTTTGGCAAATCGCAAGCTTAATAAACAAACCAACGAAACCGGTTCCATGCCGGCAATGTCTTTCCAGATGCTGGTGACGACAGCAGCTGCTCGGCGAATGCGATTTATCCCAGAATAAACTCGGCAACAACAACTAAACGCAAGTTTATTACGTCTCTCAATTGTGTCGCGCAATTTTCCAATTACATACATAAATACACATGAATCAACAGAGAGTACACACAAAGCTAGACTAAAACATGTTCGACTCCAAGTGCACTAAGTAACACAATTATGGCAGTGGCAAAATGATTAAAACGAAGGGAGAATCCAAGTGGCATTAATGTCAGCTAAGGTCATGCTTTGCAGTTGCCGACCCGTGCCACATGCGGCAAGCACAACGTGGGAGCTGCCGCAACGAGTCTCCAGTCCAGAATCAAACAAACGGCCAGTACCATGCCAAGTGGCGCCACAGTAAACAAACAGTAGCACGAACGCCAGTCGCAAGCAAATTCTAATTTAAATAAACAAATAAGTAAGCACATGTACATAAATGTATATGTGTGCAAGGATGACGCATAGCAAAAAAAATGCCAAGCAAAGTAGAAAAGGCTCATCAAAATCAGAGAAAGGTATTTGTGAATATTATTGTTGAGCGCTGTCATAGTAAATAATTTGCAGAGTTGCTTCCTATTTTAGATATCGCTTTTATTATTCATTGTCGTTTGTAATTAAGGTAGAAAAGGAATACACTTAATGCATGTCACGCCTTATCATAACTATGTGTCTGTTTACGCCCGTCCAATGCCTACCTCCCCTAATTAGCCCATTCCCAGTTACATTCAAAGTCCAAAACAACAGGCAATTACGTCCACCTATGATTTCGGCCGTGAAAGGAAATAAGAAATTAATAACTTCCTGCCAAACATAAACAAAGCGCCGAAGTTCAATAGGCACACGTATGACACTGACGCGCCCAACACAGTCCGCCCCAAACATACAATTCAACACGCACAGGTCAGAGGTCAGCTTAGAGGCCTGCTTACCACACGAACTGACACGCAATCCATTCGATATTTCTATCAACAATGGAACAAGTCTATGAGTTATTGACCGAGCCCCTCTCATTACAGGCTGAGTTTCTTATAGTCCATAAAGTATTTGTGTAGACGAAAGTGCTGATGCGTATTATTCAGTGGACATTATATATAAAAACAAGAAAGAACAGGTTTTAACGGCACACCGATAATCAAATAGAATTGTTATTAATTATTAATTAGAAATGGTTGTGCCAGCGAGTCTATTTATATAGCAACTAATTATGTCAAGCTTAGTCAAAGTATCTTTGAAACCCGATCTTGGTCCGATCCGGCCGCAACGTCTCAAAGCCTCTGTCTAGAAGCATACTCGGCTGTTGATACCGATGAAGAATATATATATATCTTGTGGGATCCGTGACTTAATTATAAGTCTCTTTGCACTAACTCTGCGATTGTAAGTTTTGCGAGTCGAAAGAAACATCTGCCAACGAGCTGAAAACCTGTTCGCCAGCTGTTCGAGAATCGCCAAACATTTTGAAAAGGTCTGGCAGCTTGAGTTTAGCCCACTCATTCATTAGATTCGTTTCGCGGCTAAGACCCACACAGAGTCACGTTTGCAGCAACTGTTTAGGCTACAAGCAACTTTAATAAGTGTTTGGCCAAAATGCAATTAGTTAATGTTTTCCGATGCCTACGCGAAACCGGCCAAAACGCAACTCTAACAACCCACCGACAGGCCAGCATTCAATTGAAGTCAGCGACAAGTCGGACGACAACTGAAACCACAACCTGTCCACCTTGTGGTCAACGACGCGCTGCTGATGGAGAGGTGAGAAGCTGGATTGACAGATACAAATACACATATGCCCTGTATCTGGACCGAGCTGGCGCACGTGAGAAGCCGTTAAGCTGACAGGAGGTAAAGTGGACCAGCGCTTTACTGTGGGTAGTCGCAGAGAGAATAAAATAAGAGAGAGAGAGAGAGAAAGAGAGAGAGAACGAGAAAGGGAGAAGTCACGTTGTGCACCTACCGAATGGCTGATTGCGGTAGCAGACGTCGGGGCTGTGGCACAGTGTGGCAAAATTTGTCATATCTTATTCAGCATTATGCTTATCTATAATAAACTGACTGATTGACTGACTGACTGCTGACCAACACACAGCCTTAAGCCCTTGTGTAAATGCACTCTAAGATGAGGTCTTGAAAAATTTGAGATGTAATGCCTAAAAACATATGTGAGACTTGGTTCACACGCTTCTGAAAATCTAACCGCTGAATGGAAAATTAGGGTCTAAGGCTGTACGGATGAAAGTTCCTAGTTTAGCTCGACTGGCTTGTTTATCAAAAAATGTATATATATTTCATAACACAGTACACAAAGCTGCGATGACGACAACGACTGCAAATGTCAGTCAGAGAGGCAAATACTGAAGTTGACGGGCGCCGCAAACATTTACGGCTACTTGCGGACAGGGGTAGAGGGTGTGCCACCGCACAGTCCCAGACAGAGAGAGGGTGGTTTCGCCCCAGATTCGCTAAACAGAGTCTACACACGTGGGCGAGCATTTGAATGGGCTGGTGGTTGTGCATGGGAATGTGTCAAGAGCCTGCGGAAGGCGAACCAAGCGGGCTGCCAACTCGCCGGACGAAGAACAACAAACACGACGAGGGCCCGACGAGAAGCTGCTCAAAAGGCGGGCCAGACGCGCTTTGCATATTAAAAGCGAAGTGTTGTTGGCATCGCATTAATTAAGGCCTCAAGATACAGCCAAAATGGAGAATAAACACGCGTGCAATGGAACTTTAAATAACTTTAACATTAAATAAAAGAATTGTTTGTCATTGTTGCTGTCTGTCGCTCGTTAGCCAGATTACAGAGCCGCGATAAAACGCGACGAGTTGGCAGCTCCCAAAAAACGTGACTCAGTTTACACACACACACATGCTTATAATATAAACACGAACGTATAGGGTGTATGCGGGGGGAGCTCTTGGCATGCCGAGTCGTACGCGACATATAGATGATGTCTGCCTGATAAATGTCACCTGGTTGAGACTCTGCTGGGCGAGGCAATCAAATATATTTACAAATTATGGCTTGATTCTTTTTATAGGGGCGCCAAAATTATGTTAATATTCCCTCTGTCTCCTTTTCTACTTTGTCTTATTGTTAAGATTGAAGATTTCAGATCAACTTGCCTCAGTTTAGAGATAGCCTTTTTTAATTTAACGCCACATAATTCAACGCCATTCTGACCTGTTCATGGGACTGCTTAAAATTGAATTCATATTTAGTGTGTGTTGGGCCCAAGCGCTGATGTGTATCATTTCTTGAACATTTTGTATATTTTTAAAGAACTGTTACGCTTCTTTACTCGTTTGTTTATAAGACTTTGCTGTTGACACAATCAATTTAAAGAGGTAGCAAAATATACATTGGCACACGCTTCGGGATACCATTAAAAAGAGAGAGTATCTACTTAATATCCACTTTACCTGCGTATACATAACTCGCACACACACACCCACTCGCACACGGCAAATCACCCACCCTGTGGAAAAATGAGCGGAAGCTCCGCACTCAGTTTCTCGTCCTCGTCCTAGTCCAAATCCAGGGGGCTTGCTGAGTGAAATGCGGCAACAGCCCGCGGCTCTAAATGATTTTGAACGCGCCGACAACCAGAGACACAAAATGAGTATTATAATTTGTGGGCAAGTTCTTTTTTTCTCCGGCCAAGTGTTGATGATGATGATGCTTCCAGACGGGGGGAAAATAATTATTATAGAGCAGCTCTGGTGCTCGGGGAATGGACGAGAGAATGCGTGCCCCTGCACAAACACTTTGTTATTATTGCCGCTCTGAGATAAATGAATTCAGGCGAATTTTTCAATCTACTCAAATCAAATTTCCAAACTGTTCTAACAATGACTTTCTTAGTTCTCAGTCGAAGATTAAAGCCATATTTTTCACGATTGCCCTAAGAAAGCCAAACCGGCTTGGTAAAGGCAATGTAGTGTAACAAAGCCCTTTGATGGCTATTCAAATTTTGAATCGCAAAGTCGTAACAAATAAAAATTGTAATTTATATGTTTTTTAATCAGCTTTACAGTAGGCCATGCAATTACTTGACACGCTCTTAACTTAAGTGCTAGAAATCGTTCTCTATCTAAATTTTCTAGGCCTGCAGACACATAAATTGCCAGCGATGCATTTTCAGTTGCAGCTCGTAAAATATTTTCGGCTGCCGGCTGTTTTCAATATACTCGCATGTGCATATCTATATGTATATATATATATATATATACGCAGATATAAAGATACACAAGACATATCTGGGTTGCCTATAGAAATACTTAAAAGTCTTTTGGACTTGTTAAATGAGCTTAAACAAAATGTATGACAAATGTTTTAAATGGCCCACGGCATGCGAGACTGTGACTCTTTGATGCTTGAGCTGACTGCTGTCGAGAGGATTTCCAAGGAATTTATAAAGCACAAATAAATAGATTTTCCCATATTACACAGGAAAACTTTCTGTTGTTTTCGACCTCTATATAAATAGGCTTTACTGGCTCTGCTCCTTTGTTTCGTATGCGATTCGACGCACAACTTTGAAATAATCACATAAAATTGCTGCGCCAATGAAATGCACTAAAACTTGGCCCATAAATGTGCAACTGCATGATGGTGTCGCAGCCAGATCCCTAGCTCCATTTACCCCAAACAAAGGCGCTCCGGCAAACAAAATGCGGCATTCCTGCGGCTGTGTCGACAACTCCTCTGCACCCGGGCACAAACTGTAATAACTAATAATAAACCGAACATGCACACAGAGACACGTTTCGAGAGAACCATTAAAAATAAATCATGTATAGAAACAAGTCGGGAGATTCAGAGAAGGAGATACCCTATGCATAAATTATAACCTTCCCATATATTCATATTTAAGTTGTGAAATATTCTGAATCTGTGTAACCAGTTCTTATAGTCCTTGAGATATGACCAACAAAAAGAGAAATATTGAAACAAAATTATATACCTATATCGACAGACAGAAGGACAAACGAAATCCATGTCGAGTGAAGTTATCATCCCGATCAACTAAATATATATGTTTTATGGGATCAGTTCTTCTGCCTCACATATACACAAAATTAGCATACCCTACCATACCCATTTAAATACATACAGGGTATATAAATCTATGGCACCAAAAGCTGCAGCAGCTGCTCCTCTTCCACGCTGAAGTGTCTTCCGATCCCTTCGCCTAATGCCTTTCTGCTGCTTTTGTTGTTTGGACAAGCGCCGCGTGTGATATGCCTCCATCGTCGGCGTCTCATAAGAGGGGCCAGATTCCATCAGCATCCCGCGCCTCTCGGTACCTCGGCTAGTGCACATCAATCATTTGTAATTACACGCTCCTCTCCTTGCGTCTTCACTCTCCACTTTGCTCTCTTTTTGTCTGGTGGCCTAACGGAAATGGCTTTTATTTTGGCAGCCCAGTTCAGTGATCCGATCTTGGTGCGTGTGGAGCATCATCTCACTGGCATCGCGCACTTGAGGCCTGTCATTTCACTCGAGACAATTTATATGCCTTAAGTAATGTGTAGCATGAGATATACAGTTGCAAAGATCGGTAAATTCCACAACTGATGATGGAAAACCTAGAAACCAAGTACCTGGAAAAGATCCTAAGTACTGCGAATAATCTTTCTACTAAGATCATTACCCTGTTCTCCGAATGATCACACACTTTAATAATTTTGAGATTCTACAACTCTGTCAGTTACTGTCAAGCAGTCAATCTCAAACTGCAGCAGTTATTGGATTTGTCGATTTGTGTGGATGGGTTCGGGCCTGGTTACACACTCGCATATTCTTAATGTCTCCAGTCCTAATATCGAAGACGTGACTCAAACAGAGAAAAGAACAATAAAATGTGCACTTGATCCTTTTTTTTTGGAAGCAGAGTATAACAGTATATAAGAAGGTAGAATGTGTCTTATAAGACTACTTCCAATACTGATAAATAGATAGATTTACGAACAGCCGGTAAACAAAATCAACATACGCTTTTCGGCTTCAGGCCCACTGTGAAAACCCAACGTTATTAAAATTTCTTTAAAATCAAAGAATCTAAGAAGTTAATGGGGCTAACGAGCTTATAATTCTTGTTTTTTCCTTTTCCACTTGTTGCCTACTGCAATTTAAGAAATGAAAACTGAAAGAATAAAATGTCAACCTTATCTTAACAGTTATCAAAGTAAACATTAGTTTTCTTCTGATTATAACAAGCATTTAATTACCCAACATTTGGGCAAATTGTCTACAAGACCGCTGGACAATTTTCCGACTATACTCAAACAAAGTTAACAACAACTTTAACATGTTGTTTCTGTGGTGTTCATCTTTATATTTAATGCAGGCATTTGAATACCCTTGTGCAGATTATTAAAACTTTTCTTGGGCGTTTTGAAGATAGACATTTTTCTTGTTACTAATTAATTCAAATAATATTAATTTTCCAGGCGACATACAATATAACTATTATTCAATTGAATTTAAATGAAACAGAAGGAAACTGAAGTTAGCTGCAGCTTTCCAGGAAGAAGAAAGCGATTCGCCGCCTATGTAAGTATTTATATAAGCTCATTTAAAGGCATATTCGAGATAAACCCGAATATAATAAATGTTTCTATTCATTTTATACGCGCTGTATGCTCAATTGTTCGCTTCCTGTTGTTATTATGATTTGCAGCGTGTATCTGTGAGTTGAATTTCAAACCAATTGAATTAAATGCGAATTAAATGCGTTGCTGCTGCCAGCGAAGATAAAAGATGCATTTTAGCTTACAATATATATTTATATGTGTGCTTGTGTGTGTGTGTGTGTGTGTGTGCTTGTGTGTGCATGGATAAAAGCTTGTTTACATTTTTTCTGTACACACATCTGTGCAAACGAAAATTGGCGCAAAATGTTTTTAATCAATTTAAATTGAATGATGACCCGCACAATCAGCGCAAGATGCGCGCCAGCTGCCCGAGAGAATTAATTTTGGCATTGTATCTTTTACTTGGCCACTTGCAGCCCAAAGTATCTTGTGCGCTGCTTTTGAGACTATTTCAGTAAAAATTGTTATACATTTGTTATTTTTAATGTCTGAGCCTGTTTGACTTGACATAATTGTTTAATACTCGTATTCTATTTCATTTTTTTCCTTTCTTTTCTTTTGGACTTCTAAACCGGTTTCAATTTCATTTAATTGTTTTAAATTCCACGCATGTGAAATCACATAACTATTAATGTGCACGAACTCGATATTTTTATCCACTACCCGACAGAAATATTTAATTTTTTGTGCCGGTTTTCTTGTCTGCTTTTTTCGCGCCAATTTATTTATAGTTTCCTCGCAAATTGGGGGCTTGATCTACTTCATGTTTTTAATGTAATGAAAATTATGCATACGCCACGTGGGTCGCAACAAATACGTTTCTTCGCTTCGCACATGAATTTATGATAAGGCCATATGCCCTTAAATGCGCTGCAGACATTTCCATATAAATTTATAAATTAAATATAACTCGTTTATGGCAAAAGCACAATTAAAGCCATTGTGTTCGCCAGAATGATATCGGAACGGGTCAAGTGTTTGCCCTACTCAATTGCGTCCCGCAGAGGTGAGCGTAATAAAAGAAAATGATACAAATATGAGTACAGCCTTTTATAAAACATCCACAATAACACGGCAAGCTTCGCACTTTATGCTACGGCTGTCTTCTATCGTTTTCTTATAGCTGCACCCAACCCATATACCCCTCTTACCCATTTTAATGGGTAGAGGACATAATCAGACACAGTTACATCAACAGATGTATCTAAAAATGCATTTTATATGCAAAAGGCGAGTAATTATCAAAAAGCAAACACTCGGAAAAGCCAAAGTGAAATAAAAGTGAAGTAAGCGCAATTAAATATTCATAGAATTTATCCAAGTCGAGCGGACTTTTCAAGCGTTTGTGTCAACAAGATAAAACCGGGCCACAGAGCAGAGAAAAGTAAAAGTGTAAACTCATAAACAGAGACAAGAATTGGTAGAGGGAAACATTGCACAATTCCACCAAAATGTATCTGTTCGACTATTTGTTGTTCTAACATTCTATTTTTATACCCTATACCAAGACGAAAGAGTTGCTGGAGTTCTTCTGAAGCAGAGTTATAGCTGAATATTTGACAGCTCCGGAATGTATAGTAAATGCAGTCTATAGAATATGTGTATTATTTGTTTTTCCTTAATATGAGCTCTCTACATAAAATAAAGCCCGTGGGAAATGAGTATCTGGACGTCCGCTGTGTTATTACAACTTTTATTTATCATTTGATTCAGAATCTTTAGTTTTGACGCATTGTTTTCCATGAGATTTCGATGGCGTCTCAAGTGCTATCTCAATTGAACAATTGTTAAACATTTTCCACTGAAATAATATGAGAAATATGTACAAAAATAAAATAAAATTACTCACCAAGAACAGCAACAGCTGCGCACAGCGTTAGCCATTTGAGGCGTTCGTTGGGCATCATATAGGCCATTTTGTAGTCCACTCCGGATTATGAGTTTTCCGCTCGGGGTTGGTCTCTTGGCTGTATCGATTAAATGCAAAACAGACACCCTTTCTAGGCACACACGAACGCGACGATAGTGAGAAGGTGAGGAGTAGACCCGGTGACTCAGCTGCTGCAACCAGAAACAAAATATTGTGAAGGTTAGTAGTAGTTATGAAATGAACTCAACTTCCGGTTTGCAAATAATATGAATGCTCAGGCATCAAAGTATGTGAATATGAATGTGCTTCAATTAATTACTACTAATATGAATAGCTTATACTACAAGCTTATTTTCTGAATCAAGAGCAGTTGAGAAGTGGGTGCATATTTAAATTAACACCGTCTAGCACATGTAACTATCGATTTTAAGCCCACAAGGCCCGCAACAACATCAACGACCACGTTACCCAGTGTTAATGAAATGCAAGTAATTTGATTAGGCAGGCAACAACCCCAGAGGCAACCCTTCAAGCAGCGCAATACAAATAAAAAAAACCCACCCGCACAACCTGCTGGACGTGCAGAATTGCTTTGCAAATTTCAGTGCAAAACGATAGCTGGATGTGCGTAAATGGGCGTGGCAGGCTTTCGACTACAGTCAAAAGAATTTTCAGCTGAAAAGGTCTGTCAAAACAGTCCCTTAGCTAAGAGTATACCTTGAAAGAAACTAAACAAGGCAATCAACTCTCTAATAAAAATGCTTTTTACTTATATTATTTATGAATCTGTTTGCACTCGATGGCTTGCGCCCTGTCATCGTTTAGCACTAAAAGACTTTCCACACCCCCCTGACAACGCACTTTTATGTAAATCCATGAAAGTAAATGCGCCAACAATTTGTCCGCATATGCCACATATGGTCGCATTAGACCCGCAGACTTGCGACAACGCCAACCATTTATAAAGCTATATAAACTATCAGCGAAAAATGGGAAGCAAATACAACCAAGAACAAATATCTTCGGGCTGTCGAACATTTAATACTCTTGCAGGCATCGATTAAATTCATATTGTAAGCGAATCGGCAAGCAATCAAATTCACAGGGCAAACAATGTTATATAACATAAATTAGGAACCTCTCAAGCCTACTATATGTTATTTCTATTAACATGATAATAATTTTAAATAAATATAAGATGATAGACATATTTCTGATACTAGAGGGCCTTGACTGTGCCTCCAAACTCAGACATTAACTTTTTCTTCATATCCGGTCCGTAGCAAAATTGAATCTTGCCCTTACCCTACATATCTACTATATTATTAGATTGTATTTTCCACAATCGCTGAGCCCAGTTCCAAATTGCATTTTATAAAGAATTGAAACAACGTCCACAAAACCTTTGAACCCCTACACTTCTCACCCAAGAGGGATGCATTTAAGGGAAATTGAAACACATTTAAAAAAAAAGTAAATTTCCCTAGCCTGTCAGTCAGTCAGCTGACACAATTTTATATAGATACTTTATGGAATTGCAAATATATAAAATGCAATGCGTAACAAACTTAGTGTAAAAACTATAGTAGCCAATGTAAAAGTGTAAAAAGCAGGGAACAAATCAACTACTGACGATGTGGATGTCATTAATTAAACCTCAAATGGGCGGCAATGGGGCAATAGAGAATCCACTTCGATGTCGTCTTGTGCCTTTTGTCATCCATAAAGTATCATCTGGCCCCCCCACCCCAAGCTATGCCTGGCAGGAAGTCACGATTCCACGCACACACAGAAGTGTTTTTTATATCTATCCAGTTCTATGGACTGTCTGTGCTTCAGTTTGACATATGCCTCTTGCCATGTTATGAACTTGCCATACACGCGGACATGGATGTCATCATGGAACTGTCTGCCTGTCTGTCTGTCTGTCTGTCTTGGCATGTGTCTGCAGCTTATCCAGCGGATAGCTGAAGATTATGTATGAAATTTAGAGGCAATTTGTGCGCTTTTTAACGCTTAATTAAAACTTGAGTTCATTCCTCCATGGCAACAAATGCTTAAAGCTCTTTATTGTTTTATTTTTGTAGTTTTTAGATGCTCAGCTTTTTTTTATGGTTATCTAATGAATTGTATTTAACACGCCGAAGCTCTCCGTCCGACTATTTTCCACTCTATCTGCGATTTTAGATTTATGGTCTATTTTGATGGAGGGTTGCGCGGCGCAGGCGCAGCCGGCACGTGGCCAGCCACAAAGGGAGGATCAGACCGGCTGACGGCTGCCTTAACAAATGTTGGCCTACGAATTGGTTTAATGAACTTTGCCAGAGGGTGAACAGCGCAATTGACAAGTTTGTTGGCTTATGGCGCAGTTGCCCAGCTGCGCATTAGACTTAAGGGTGGAAAAGCAAAAATTAATCTCAAATTTTAATCAAGAACAGTCAAGCTCAAGTTAACTAGATTATTTGCCACAATTTCTCAATATGAAAAGCTCACTTATTTAGATAACTACAAATATTAAATCATAATTTCATTTATGATAAATTTAAAAGTTTTATAGAAAATTGAATAGAAGTTGTCTGAACTTTTAAGAACTTTTGTGTTAAGCCGAAGCATTGTTTTACGCCCTGTTTCAGAGCATTATCCATCTGTGACTAGTTCAGGCTAATGAACTTCTTGAGTACAATTTTAGGCCAACTCGTGTTTATTTTCGAATATTTAATGGAATAAGCATTAAGAGAAAACAAAAGCAATTGCTCATCCTGTGTTTGGTTATGAATGAAGCATCATTCGCTGCCTTGGGGCATGATTCAGCCAGTTATGGCCTCTACAGCAACGTTTGCGAGACGCGCCCATTTAAACGATACAATTATTAAACATATGCCGAAAAGTGCGCGCCTTAATTAAGAAAACATCTGGGAATCGTTCAACAACGAGGCATATCCACGCGCGGCACTGTATACAAAACCAAAAAGTATCTGAATATCAAAATTTTTAATCTTTTAAAACAAATAAAACACAAAGTTTATGGGTTATCCACAAATATTTGCCATACATATAATATAATGCCCATAACTTAGAAATAGTTGAAGGATTAGTGGCGATATTAAAGAAATCGATCCTACACAGAAAAGTTGGACGTGCTTGTATTATTTAATCATATGTGACCGACTAGAGATACCCCAAACTTTCTTTACAAACATTTAATCCTTCATTTGTCAAAAATATAAATACTCTGCGTAAAGTCTCAAAATTCACTTCAATCGATATAATTGAAATATGACGAGATTTCGATTAAATGGACTATTGGAGAACTCGTTCAGTGATAGGATTCTCTAACTCTTAAAGTTTCCGAGATCGAAGCGGGACGCAGATAGGCAGAGCTAGATCGATTCAGATCCCCAATCATGAATATATACACTTTATAGCATCGAAGATGCTTCCTTCTTTGCGTTACATACATTTCCACAAAATATTTATAGCATAGCAGAATGGACATTCATAGGATTCAGGTATAGAAAAAACTATAACAAATAGACTTCCCCGGATTTTGAGTTTTGAGAATTTGAGTCATTTTCTAAATAATAAATTTTGTTGTCAATTTAACGAAGCGGGCATTCGGGGCCTCAGTTAAATCTGGACAGATCCGGCGGTGCCCCAATCGCGTGGTAACATCAACGAATTACAAATTTTATTACTCATTCTTGTTTTTTTTTTTTTTTTGTTGCCTTTCCGTCGGATGGCAACTGTAATGTCTGTGCATTAGGGTGCTGGGCCAATAAATTTTGCAATTGCGGCAAAATGTGTTTTTTTTTTTTCGAAAAGTAAAAAATAAAATAAAAGAGGGAAAAACGGCTGTTGTCTGCTCCACAAAGTGCACTGGCCCATTGCAGGGTCAATCCGCATTCGGATCCAGCATTCGTCATCGAAACCGGAAAGGAACGAGTGTCCATTGTCCAGTTTGGCGCAGTCGCTGGTTTCATCTCTCATGTTCAGTGACCCATTGGACGCTGCAAGCGGCGCCTAATTGAGATTCGAGTCCACTTTGTGGCTGCACCAGCAGCAACAACAACAAAAGGAATAACTTTTGTTTGCTTGGTTCCCATTATTTGGTTAGCCTGTTTGTGTCCGTTGTTCACTTTACCCTTTGGCCATGTCCATTTACATTTGGTGCGACAGCCAAAATCAATATTTGCCAGATACTCAGCGTATAAGTATCTTCAACTAAAAACACATGCGTTTCACGAGACTACTTAAATGGCATTGTGTTAAAGGCCAAGACAAGAATGTATCTGGTTCAGTCCTAATGGACAATAAATACTTTTTGCCCTCCAGTTTTGAGATATTTCTAAATCAGCTCTATAGTTATATTAAAACTATGTAAATAGACTAGCAACAGGACGAATGCAAAGCATGCTGACCACGAAGAGAAGCGCAAGACAAGCATTTGGTTCATTCTAGTAGCCAGTGGATAATATTTTCCACGCATTCTTCAGATACTTTAAAATCGCTCTCTCTCACACATCTTTAAATCAAATCAATAGGCGCGGACGATGAACAAAAACAAATTCGAGAAGATGCCTGAAATGTTGGCAGTCGAAAAACTCTGCCTGGCAACAGGACGAGCGCAAAGGATGCTGTCACGACGAGCAAGAGATGAAGGACCTGCAGACAGTCGAGCCAGGGGGTCAAAGCAAAGCGCAACACTTGCAAAATCAAATAAAGGAAACTACAAAAATGGAAGAAAAAAAATACGTTCAGCGACAGCTGCACGGGATTTTGTTGAAGAGCTGACGGGCCCGGGATGGGTTTCTTATTTAACAGGGGTTGCTCTCACACAGATACACACACACACACACACGCACACACAGCTCACAATTATATGAGCACAATGAGGACTGCGTATGTGTGCCACATGGAAACTGCAAAGGATTTTAAAAGATTCTTAAAAGTAAAGTGGCCCTAGCCTGAGCCTGAGCCTCAGCCGCCTGCCTGCCTGGGAAGGGAAAAACTACCTGATAAAGACAAAGGCAGCTCAGGCAGGTTGCATACATACACACACACACACACACACACCCACAAGAGCACAGCCCAGAGTTGCTTTCAATGCTGTGTAAATTGCAAAGCGCATGCGCAAAAAATTGTGCTTGGCAAATGCATACACTGCGTCTTAGAAAAATGTCACATTCTGAATGAAAATGTTATAAACAAATGCCATAAATGCTCAAGAATATCTCTAAATATATTCGGTTTTATAATTTTAATAGATATTGATTGTTTTCAGCAGTTGAATGCGTTTGCCAGGACCTCAAACATTCGCATTGCAAGCAAGTCCAATTCCTGAGGCTCTCTATGCAGCACACACCCTTTTGCATGCTGGTGTGTGTGTGTGTGTATGTGTGTGTGTGAGGAAAGTAACAAAGTTGATTCGCTAAAGGGAAAACTTTAGTTTTTGGCGAAAAATCAATAGGAAGCTGTGCTAAACTCAACAATTTCGCATGGCAAAAATACTGCTCAAGATCAATTTATTGCAGAAAATCAAACTATAACCATGGGCAGTTAGTCTGAGAATGGTAGCTTGGCTGTGGGCGTGGGTGTAGATGTGGGCGTGGAAAACAGTAAATGCTACAACAACAGCAACCCGACGGAGACAAACACGCACAAAGAAGTTGCCAGACAGTTACAAAAACACGATATATTGTTGTTCTTGTTGTTGTTCTTGTTGTTGTTGTTGTTACCTACCACTTCGATAGTGTTTTGACGATGGCTAAATTGATCAATTGATTTAGTTAATGTTTATGCACAATACACAAACACACACTAACACTTGGAGTGTGAGCAAATTGTAACAGGGTGCCACTAATCCACTGGGGTGGCGACTCTGCACAACGACTGCTACACTATACGCACACACACACACGCTTTGCCTTTTTGGCGCTGTGCTCTGCTTTTTACAATTTGGTTGTATTATTTATTGCTTTTGCATTTTATTTAACTTTATTTAGCGTACACAACTCACGCACGCACACACACAAACCGCGCTTACGATAGAACCACCACCAGCTAACCGGTTTGCGGGGGTGTGAGTACCGTACCGTAACCGTAGCCCAAACAACTCACACACTCAGTCACACTCTAAAAACAGACAGACGTAAATTCCGACTACAATACGTTCGACGGTTATCGCTCGACGGTCCAAACCAGACTGAATTGTCTCTCTGCCAGACAGTTGCTCCGGAGCGGCCGGCCATTTTGCTTGATATTCTCTTGCCGTCTGCTGTCAGTGTGTGTGTGTGAAGGAGCATTTGTTTGGGAAATTTTCTGGGACATTTTCAGGGGACACCTGTTGATATTATGTTGTGAACGAGGCGGCTCGGCAAAGCAGACTTCATATTGACAGGTATAGATACATATTATGAACCCAAAATTAAATTATTGATCAGGACGAAAAGCTATTTTAGAAATGGCCTTCTATACCTCATACGCTTTGCGAAAGGGGAGGCTACATTTTTATATACTCAAACACATAGATTTTTTTTGTTAAAATACTTTTATTCGGAATATATGAATTTGATAAAAAGCATATGCAATATTTTTATGATTCTCGCTCTGTAAATTCAAACAAAATCAAACACAACCTAAAAGTTTTTAACATAGTCTTAAATTCAATACATACATGTAAGCTTATACTTATTTATATGGTATGAGTAATTGATAGAAACACGAATTTAAATATATATAACATAAAGATAACTACTTAATTATACACTGAGAATAAATGCATCGGGTAGGAAATCGGTTAGTTTGATATATCTAAGGATATTTGAGCTCGAGTCAGGCTGGGGGAAGACACAATTATAGTAAAACTAAAAAAGCAATTGCTGGGACAGAGTCTTAGAAAGAAACCTAAATGTAGAACCTATAACTAAAATTGATACATATTGTATATATGTACATAAAACAAGAGATTCGAAATATTACGTTAACAATATTAAGTTAACAATTTGAGCGAGTTAATTGCGATTTTCCATCTTATTGGGAAGTCTGAGTTGTGAGTATTTTAAGTAACAATTCTCAAGTCTTTACATTTGCCAGTCGCGGGACTTTTGTGGACATTTAAATGCGCCAGGAGTCAGAAGAAAACCATGGTTAAGTCTATTGATACATGTCTTTGTGTACGATTTGTAGAATACATCCATTTCGCGAGGCTTTTTTTTTTTGTTGAAAAATGAGTTGTTGAGAAAATCGGGTCTAAATGGAAACAGCGAATGGAAGGGGAACCATTCCGTCTGTCTCCGACTTTTTTGATCGGTACCCAAATCCCAATAGAGGCTCTTGCCCTAAATTCGTAGGATTTTTAGTTCTTGCGCGTAGCATCCTGTATGATGATCTTGTTCTTTTGCCGCGTCACCTTTGTGGACGTCGGTGCGGGCATCAGACGTTTTAGCTGATCCTGATTGATGTTGGCCAGCGCCTTCTCTTTGCCTTTAGCCGACGTGCTTGTGGTTGCCGTTGTGGTTGTTGTGGTCGTGGTTGTTGCCGCCGTGGTTGTTGTCTCAATCAGTGCTGTGGATTCGTCTGCCGTCGAGGATGAGCCTGCCGCGGCAGCGGCTGCGGAAGCATAGCGTGTGAGCACCTGGAACTTGGCAAAGATGTTGCGCCCGCTGCTGCGCTCCTTGTCCTTGTACTTATCCAAGACGGCGGGCGTGGGTTTAGGTTGTTGGGCCTTGAGCAGTGCCTTGTTACTGGCCGCCTTGTAAAAGTCCAGATCATAGTCAAACTCGCTGCTGGTTGCCTGCCCATTAGCAGGTGCTAGTGCGCGCTCTCCATAGCTGGCTGAGCTGGTCGAGGTCTCCTCAGCCAAATGTCGCAGCATCAGTGTGAGCTTTGTCTCGTGCTGGCGCTGGAGCAGCACCGCATTTCGTTCGCCTTCAAGTCGAGCCTGACGCACTGCGTTCGACAGAACACGTTCCTTCCACTCCCAGGCATCACGCTCGCGCTCCAATTGCACCAGCTGCTGCTCGAGTTTGCGGGACGAGTCCCTCAAGTCGATGACTTTCACAAAGTACTTGTAGAGCAGCGTGCGCATCTCTTCAGATGAGAGCTTATTTAGTCGCGCCATCAGCATTTGTTCGCCCTTTTCTCGCTGCTGTCGCTCGGTGGACAGATCGATAGACTTGTGGCCGCATATTAGCTCGTTTTTGAACTCGATGGCCTCGTCAATAGCCATGATGGCCTCATCGCACTCAAGTAGCTTCCGCTCCTCGCGCTGAGTCAGCATTTTGTCACGCTTGAGCTTGCGATCCAGCGTACAGCGCTGTTCCAGCAAATGATCGCGCGTGCGTCGCAGATTACGTATCTCGTGGCGCAGACCTTCCTGTTGGGCCGGAGACTTTTCACCACCGTCCCATTGCTCAAGATTTTCGGACTTTTCGCGTAGTATGTGATCCAAGTGAGTAATGCGAGCCTGCACCGCCTTGAGCTGATCTGGGTTCGGCTCCAGTTTGACTAGTGATGCCTCTTTTAAGCTTTTGAGTTCGGCTTCCAGCTGATCACGCAATTTGCATTCCTTCTTAAGCTTTTTCTGCACCTCTTCGATTTGTTTGCGCGACTCCGCAACAGATTGCTGCAGTTTTTTGAGCTTTTGTCCACTCTCGCCCGCAATATGCTTCATGGAGCTGAGATCCTGCAGGCGCTGCTCTATGTGCGCTACAATAGCGCCCCATCGTTCAATCTCCGACTTATCCTTGCCCTGCACCAGCGCCTTGGCTAGGTGCTTTTTGGCCTTGTCGCACTCAGCATCCAACTTGGCCTTTTTCTTGTGAAAACGCTGCTTGGCATGGCTGCGCGTCTCGCGGTTCTTTACCAGCTCACTGATAATGTTTTGCTTAAGCTGCATAGTCTGTTCGATTTCATTCAGCTGTCGCTGACGCGCCTCGATTTCGGCGTGCAGCTTTCGCACCTTTTTCTGCACCTGCTCAATGGGCGCATTTGCGCCAGCAGCGCCGGTCGCGCCCGACGCGCTGTTTAATTGATCGAGCTCCGGTGTAAGTTCAGTTCCCGTCGCCTGCTGTGAAGCAACGCGATTAAGCATTGCCAATTCCGCGCTGCTCAAGCTGGCGCCCGGCTGTATGCTGCGACGTCGACCTAGGAGGCATTAAATAGCAAAGATTATAAAAATAGGTGCATTTGTATACTTACCCCCAACGCTGACTTTGCGCTCGTCGCACTTTTCAAGTTGTGCGGGTGCATGTTGAGCGGCCTGTTCTCGATCTTTGTCCTGGCTTTGCATGACCGCTTTGGGCTGCTTAAGCATAAACTCTTCATGTTTGGCTTGGATAAGTGCATCCGTTTTCGAGCGAAACTCGTCCATGAGGCTGTCAAGCTTCTCGGCAAGGTCGGGACGCTGTGACTCATTGTCGGTGTCATTGTCCGAGTTTTGCTGACAGGAGGTTTCCGGCTCACTGATGGACTCCTCTGGCTCCTCCGCCTCCTGAATGGGCACAAGCGGCTTCTGGGTGCGCAGCACTTCACTGGAACTGAGGCATTCCTCACACTCTTGCTTCAAAAAGAGCCACTCCTCGATTTGTTCCTTTTCCAGCTCCGTAATTGCATTTGAGCCCATTAATCTGAGAGTGAAAATATGAAAAATTAAAACTAGTGAGCAAATTTCTGCAGACCCACTCACTTGGCAAAGAGTCCCTCAGCGTTGGACACCAGCTTAAACCACTGACTAGCCGCGAACTGCAGTCCAAAGTTGTCCCCGTTGGGCAAAGCCACGGCCGCCATAAGTGCCTCACTGCCAGCAGCTCCAGAATCGTTCGGCAAGGCCTCCGGCGATATCGGAGTATTGTCATCGGAAAAAGTATTCATGATGACATAATTGCGAACGCACTGAACTTTGAAGCCGAATTGCAGATTACCCAGCGTCTCGGCAAGATGCTGTTCCAGCGGCGACACGCACAGAATGACTAACGTCTGAGCACGACCACCAAAAGAGTCCTTAAGGAGGGTGGTCAGTGTAGTCTGACCGTAGGGAATATTGCCATTGACGCCGTACATTATGCTGGGATCAGTCAGTGTGTTAACCACCTGCTCCAACATCTGCAATCCGGCGTCTCGTGGATGTCCCGGAGGCGGCTCACCCCAGCGTTCGCTAGCGCACAGATCCGAGAAACTTGCCGTGGACAGACGATGCTGAATCAGTCCTTCCTTCGAAACCCATTGCTGCTCCAGAGTCAGTGTGAAGAGCGTGTGAGCGGGTGACTGCTGTTTGGTGCTCAAGCCCAACTGCAGCCAGTGGAAAACTTCTTCCACGGTTGTGCAGTGCACATTGCCCATGCCCAACAGATCGCGAATTTCGCCGTTGCAGATCTCCACAAATCCGACGTTAACGGCATATGTGCGATCTAAAAAAAAAAAAGAACATATTCGTAAATGTAAATGTTTAATTTCCGACTTGGAATGGAAAGCTTATAAGCACTCACCTGTATGCGCCGCAATGTGTGTAAAAATCTCGCGCACACAGCGCTGCACCACACCCTGGTCCGCCTCTCCATAGACGCAGTCGAAACCATGTCCATAGAGCGTGAAAGTTTTACCAGTAGAGCGTTGTCCATACGTAACCACCGACGCATCGAACCCCTCCAAGAATAGGCTGATCAATGGGAACACAGTCTGATGATAAACCTGGCTCTGCGTCGTGCTACTGGGCAGCGCGTGTGTCACGGGAACGGTGTGTGCGCCCACCTGTATAAGACCCGCAGCAATGCTGTCCAGAGCCGCGCCGCCGGGCAATGCGCTCGGCAAGCCTAGAGCCGATACAGCGATTGGTATGGCCTGCACGCAGCAGCCACTAGCACTGTCAAAATCTGGCGTTTCATTTGTATTCAATTGAGTGGCGTCTATCTCGTTATTGCCATTGGCATCTATTTCCGTGGTTTGCACAGGTCTAGACGGGGGAGGGGATGACGGCTCCGATTGCGGCTTGCCTGCTTCTGCGTCGCCATCCTCGGGCGCTTTCTGCTCCGCCTTCTTTTGGAGCTCTGTGTGGGGATAAATGCGAACAGCCACTTGTATCGGTATTTCCATGTTTTGTTGTCGCTTTGGCAACAGTTTTTCACTTTGATTTCTGCATTTTTATATACATTTCGCGCATCTCAAAAAATATTGCAAATACTGCTGAATCGATATTGCTGCGCACTGACAACAACTATCGACATGCGACAATGTTGATATATCGATAGCATTGGAAATAGAATGTTGGTATTTAATTAATTTTAATTTATATTTATTAAAATAATTCCCCCACTTTTGCTGGTATAACTTTTTTTACTACATTTCTCAAATTAAAGATATAAAGATCGCATAAGAGTTTCATGTAACAATTTTCCTTAATTTTACTAATCTTGCGTGGAGAATTATATTTAGAGGGATTTATATAACTGAAATAACTGATTTTAATTGAACTATTCTATCAACAGTCATCACAACTATTATTTTGCAGAGGGAAACAACTTACTATTTGAAACACCGAGAAATATCGAGATGTCGATATATCGATTAGTAGTGTTCAATGACTTTGTATATTGGTCGACTTACGATACTTTTTGCCATCCCTCGTTTTATTTATCGCTTTTCACGTTGCTTTTCAGCGCGTGTTTTTTTGTGCAAAAGTTTTTGCTAATTATTGTGAATTTAACAAACCGGAAAGATGTCGAAACGACGTATTGAAGTGGGTGAAACGTACTCCAGCAAGGCAAAGAAGTGAGTACATGCCTGAAGACCAATTTTATCCATCGCACATGTTTTAGTTCAACGCCGTGTGTCATTCGCAGAGAATTAGAGGCTTCTACATCGGCATCAGCAGCGGCAGCTTCTGCGGCCGGCACGGTCGCCCAAATATTGGGTGGCTTTGTGCCCAGCAAGCAGGTGAATACCCCAGAAGCCACATTACATGTGCAAGCACTCTTAACACCGCCTCCTATTCTGCATATTTCCTTTTGGTAGCCGCCGACAATCAATCCCTTCACAAGAAAGCCTTACTCAGCGCGCTATCAAAACTTGTACAAAAAGCGCATCACACTGCCGGTTTTTGAGTACCAGGCGGACTTTATGCGTCTGCTCAGTCAGCATCAGTGCATCGTCCTGGTGGGCGAGACGGGCTCTGGCAAAACAACACAGATACCTCAATGGTGCGTGGATTTTGCGGTCTCCAAAGGACGCAAGGGTGTCTCCTGCACACAGCCTCGACGTGTGGCTGCCATGTCTGTGGCTCAGCGCGTATCCGAAGAAATGGACGTTAATCTGGGCGAGGAAGTCGGCTACTCAATCCGTTTTGAGGATTGCTCTTCGCCCCAAACGCTGCTTAAGTATATGACAGATGGTATGCTGTTGCGTGAAGCTATGTCGGATCCCATGCTGGATCAATATCAGGTTATACTGCTTGATGAGGCGCACGAACGCACACTGGCTACCGATATACTGATGGGCGTACTAAAAGAGGTTATTCGCCAGCGTAATGATCTGAAATTAGTGGTCATGTCAGCCACTCTTGATGCAGGCAAATTCCAGCAGTACTTTGACAATGCGCCGCTCATGAACGTGCCCGGTCGCACACATCCCGTGGAGATTTTCTATACCCCTGAGCCCGAGAGAGACTATTTGGAGGCAGCAATACGCACAGTCATTCAGATTCATATGTGCGAGGAAATTGAAGGTGCGTATAAACCCTTACCATATCCTCTGGTTGACACTAATCTATATTGGTTGCGTGAACAGGCGACATTCTTATGTTCCTCACAGGCCAGGAAGAAATCGAGGAGGCATGCAAGCGCATAAAGCGCGAAATTGACAATCTAGGCTCCGAAATTGGCGAACTCAAGTGCATACCTTTGTACTCGACGCTGCCACCGAATCTGCAACAGCGCATTTTTGAAGCGGCGCCGCCACCAAATGCGAACGGTGCCATTGGTCGCAAGGTTGTGGTGTCTACAAACATTGCCGAAACTTCTCTCACTATTGATGGCGTTGTATTTGTCATTGATCCTGGCTTCGCCAAGCAGAAGGTCTATAACCCACGCATACGTGTCGAGAGTTTGCTCGTCTCGCCGATATCAAAGGCTTCAGCACAACAGCGTGCGGGTCGTGCAGGCCGCACACGTCCAGGCAAATGTTTCCGCCTCTACACGGAAAAGGCGTTCAAAAACGAAATGCAGGACAACACATATCCCGAGATTTTGCGGTCTAATTTGGGTAAGTCATATTTTGCGTACATATTATTTACATATATTAATTGATATTGAACTTTTAAATAGGTACTGTGGTGCTGCAGCTCAAGAAACTGGGCATTGATGACTTGGTGCACTTTGACTTTATGGACCCGCCAGCTCCCGAGACGCTCATGCGTGCCTTAGAGTTGCTCAACTACTTGGCCGCCCTCGACGATGATGGCAATCTGACAGACCTGGGTGCTGTCATGTCCGAGTTTCCACTGGACCCACAATTGGCCAAGATGCTGATAGCGAGTTGTCAACACAATTGTTCCAATGAGATACTCTCAATTACGGCTATGCTGTCGGGTGAGGCACAAACTACACAAAAACTCCATGCGTGTTTCAGTTGATTAATTTAATAAGGTGTAGAAATAAGCAAATGTTAATCTATTCCACTTTCTGAGCCACGAGCCGATCACATTGGACCTTGCCTAACTCATTTCAAATTTTATGGTAAAATGTTAACACGAAGTGGAATTTAATAACATTTTGCTCTCTACGGCGTAGCGCAGGCTTCAGTTTCGAGTGGGTTGTCCCTTAAATTGAAAAGTAGGTAGCGCTAGTATTGTGTGGGTCTCTCTTTTACTCATATCACAAAAACATTATCTTAAACTGGCACGTTGACATAAGTTGAATGTTATTCATATATGAATGTGCCATTTGAAGCTAATGTAATTGTGCATTTACCACTTAAGCCCCAAACCGACGACAACTTGAACGCACATTGACTGCACCCTTATGTATAATTCTATGTGCAAAGAAAAAAGTTTATCAATTTATTTGTTCTTTGCATTCAACACTGAAGCAAAGTTGCACGTGCGTTGCGCCCGATGCGCACATTTGCTTCAAATGTGTGACGCGGCACTCGTCCTAATAATTTATCTTTTTGTAACTGCCGCTGGCTTTGAACGCACATGCAACTCACAAATGCAATCAATCTTTGAATCAAACCTCTAGATTGCCTAGCTGACAAAAATGTAAGCACAATCTATTTGTTTATATAAAAAAAATGTTTTGAATTTGCGCTTAATCGAAAAAAAAAACCAATTCAAACATCAAACATCAACCAAAGTGCCACAATGTTTCGTGCGACCCAATGAGGCAAAGAAGGTGGCCGACGAGGCCAAGATGCGCTTCGCTCATATCGACGGGGATCATCTAACGTTGCTGAACGTCTACCACGCCTTCAAACAGAGTAAGTAAGCCCTCGGTCTTTGTTGCTTCTTTTTTGATATAAATTTGGCTTAAATTCTGTTTTGCAATAGGCAGCGAAGATCCGAACTGGTGCTACGAGAACTTTATCAACTTCAGGTCGCTGAAGAGCGCCGACAATGTGCGACAGCAGCTGGCGCGTATCATGGATCGCTTTAGCTTGAAGCGCACCAGTACAGATTTCACCTCTAAGGACTACTATGTCAATATACGCAAGGCCCTCGTACAGGGCTTTTTTATGCAGGTTGCGCATCTGGAGCGGATTGGACACTATCTGACCATCAAGGATAACCAGAACGTGCAGCTGCATCCTTCAACGTGTCTGGACCACAAGCCCGACTGGGTCATCTACAATGAGTTTGTGTTGACCACCAAGAACTACATACGCACTGTGACAGATGTGAAGCGTGAGTAACAGCAGTAATATCCAGATTCTCATCTATTAAGACTCTTTTGCATTCCAGCCGAATGGTTGCTCAGTCTGGCGCCCCAGTACTATGATCTGAACAACTTTCCACAATGCGAGGCCAAGCGCCAGCTGGAGCTGCTTCAGCAGCGCATGGAAACCAAGCAGTATCAGAAGGGTTTCTGAGCAGAGTATCGACTTTTTAATAAACTAGTTTAAACAATATTATGAAATCTAATTATAATGTGCGTTTAAGTAGGCATGAAGATTAATTTGCTTAATTGTTCAATTCAATTGGGTTTGGAATAATCACAAAAAAACACGTTTTCTTTTATTGTTTGCTAACGTTATTACAAACTTAAACACAGCTAAGAATTCCGTTTAGTGTTAATAAAAGCAACCTTTTGTATACCTAATAATACACGCTCCATCGAATAATCTCGGCAAGCTTCAACCGTTCGTCTTTTGAAATTGAAATAGTATAACCAAATAAGTAGCTATAGCTGAGGCGAACTGTAATGGAGAATTTTATATTGTAAAATTAATATTTTGATGTTATCATTTAAATATTTAATAATTTTCATGCTTATTTGAACTGCCTTAGAAATCGAATTGCTTAGTTTATTTTAAATAAGACAAATACTTTTAAGTAAGCATGGAAGAGGAACTCACCGATGTCAGGATGGTGCGATTGACCCGGCACAGTCCGCTGGCAGAGAATTCGGCATCGACGACAAGCAACTGCTGCCAAAACTTTTTTGTCTCTGCTGCCAAAACGGGCTCATAGACTTTGCGTTCAATTTCGCAAACAATTTGAATGGTTTTGCGCGACTCGCGGGCTGCGAGGTGACAAGGCTCCACGACCATTAGCAGGCGCAAAAAGTGAAAGATGATCCATAGCATTTGTACCCACACATAGGCGTTATCCTGTTTATTGAACATTTCCAAGAAAAGAAAGTACGCAGTTGCAACCAAGTGCAGCAAACAAGAGACGAGTATGAACAGCACAGCCATTCCATAGGAGCTGCAATGGACATGCGATTATAACTATAGCCACATTTCGATATGGGGAATATTCACCTGGAGAGCAAACGTACGCATTTGCCCAACGACTCGTGATTGTCGGCCATGGATCTAATTAGTTGACTCTTGCTTATAGCTAGAGAAAGAGTACAAAGATCTTTAGGCTATATAATTGATAGTCAGTTGTTAGTGATTCCATACCCGCAGCTTCATTGGGTAACGACTCGGGATTCAACTTGGTTAAGCTGGCGTGCAAGGCCATGGGCATCATCGGTTTGAAGCTAATCGCCTTAACAGCACTTACCTTCACCAGATTGGGTGTATTGGGATACTTGTTTTCTGAAAATGTGCAGGATAATGGTGATGTTAATTTAGTATCATATCTATTTACGGTGAAAATACCCCGGCTTTGCACGGCTTAAAGGTATATATCAGTATTAACAGGCGAGTCGCTAGGGTTATTTCTGTCATATAACTAATTGAAATTCTTTTATATAGGTACAGATAAGCTTACCACCCAGATAACTTGTACGGAGCATCAGATTGAGACGTCCATAGCGTCTGCCCAAGCCGTAAGCTGTGTTGGCGAAATTAATGTGCAATCCGGTCAATATGAAATAGAGGCTGTAGAAGGGTATGTACCACTGTATGTTGAGCTCTGGCAATTGGAATTTGTATGGCTTGAGATCCAGAAATCAGTTTCAATTGCATTACCCACCAGTATCAGATTTGTTGATGTTCATTTTCTGTGCCATGCGCACCCACGTCTGCACATCCAGGCCGAGCAGTATGCCAATCACCACAAGCGATATGCTGGCCATGCCGTACGCACGCCAGCGATCCCTCTTGAAATTGTTGTATGGACTAAGCGTGCTGTCGATCTGCAAGTGAATTGGAAATGGTTGTGGACATTTCTTTGGCCATGCCGCGTTTGGCTTTACCCTTTCTAGTCGTGTGTTCAGCTCCTGGGTGGCACGCAAACCGAACACGCCACAGTAAACACCCGCTACGATGGCCATCACCACAACCGATACATCCGAGGCGGTTACCACTTTAGAAGTCGCCGATTTCATTCTGAAAGATGCGCTTTCGATTTGTTGGATTTTATTCAAATTTAGATTCATTCAGCTGATTGAATTAAGCAACAAATTTGTTCAAACATTCAACTTTAAATGCCATCGACAAATAACAGGAGGACAAAACTTGGCAGAACGTTAAGCAACATGATGATGATTATGTGAACATATTTATGAAATTTTTATTTAAAAAACATAAACAACAACAAGTGCTCTACACGACCTAAAGATACCACTCCAAGCCTGGATACAAGGAAACTCAAGTGTACGTCGCAAGTTTCACATTGTACAGGGTATACATTCTTGTATAACTCCGGCGTTTTTCGACGGATCCTTATAAAAATTCCACGGCTTACGTTTGACATATAAAAGTGTATAAATACCAAAGCCCAAGGGATCAAACATAAAAGTGAATCAACATACCAGACTGTCTCCAGCTCTTATAATCTCCGAGGTAAGTGGAAAAACATTGTTTGATACGTAATTTCTCGATATTAAGTCTTAAGCATTGATTGCGCGATTATTCCGACAAAAATCCGTTAAATTAAGATAGTTGAAGTGAAGAAGATAGTTATAAGTGCCGACATTCCCATTCTTCAATTTTGGAAGGTAGCGAATCATTAAAAATTTGCTCATTTTCAAATGTGCTGAGCTGTGCTTGGCCTTGATACTTATGTCCTGTGCGTGTTTGAAAAGGTTTAAATCGTGTTCGTGTTAAGCCTCCCGACTAGACCACTTTCAGTTGCTTAGTTAATTACAATCCAAAAATCATTTATTTATTATTTGAGCTTAGAAACAACATGACAATACAAAAATATGTCTTGAAATTAATCAGCTAGATCCTCTAGATGTTGCATGCTCCATTAGAGCTGTTGGGCATCCACATTTGCTGGATCAGCTGCTGGCAACGCCTCTCGCACAACTCGTCCAATGGGCCTGAAGGTAGGGCGTGGCAGATAGGGAGGCCTCTCGTGCCCGGCCAGAGCCATTGCGCAGATCGAGAGCATAAGCAAAATAATTGTGAACTTCATTTTCCTTTGATTGACAATGCTTGATTGATGCTGTTCGATGCGATTGCAGCGCTTTTTATAGCCAAGCTTTGAATTGGGGGTTTTACTAAGGCGGTGATTTTTCGTAAGAACAAGTCTCGCATAATCTATACTTATTAATGAACTACGAGGCTATCGACAATTCTGATCTAACTGACGACTGCAGGAACTTGTTCGCTTTGGTCTTAAACAAAAATGGCCTGAAATCTGTGAAATCTATTAAAAATTTAAAGAAATACCTAGGCAGACACTACAAATCCTAAATTATCTTATTTTAAACATTTTGTTTCTACCTATAGAGTTTTAATAAGATCTATAAACCTCATCGGAACACTGTCAATATTTTGATATCATATTTGAAAAGAAAAAACAGAATCAATCTCAAGCAAACGCGTAAAAGTGCTCTAGTAGGGATTACATGACTCTGGGAGATACTCTGCAACTAACATTTATATTTGCATAAAACCAGTTTACTATTTAATGCACATTTTCAACGGACTCAGGAAATATGCTCATAATGCTTAAGGTCTAAAATATATGTCAATTTTTAAATGTTTCTGGGCAATCGAAAAAGAGTTCCCCTTTATTTGAGTTAACTCAGCTTTATACTGATAAGACCTCGACTTATCATACAAGGCGAACAAAATAAGTCAATTAGTTAGCCAGGTCACATATTTGCTTGTCGCAAAACCTCGCCCGATATGTAAAGCCCCCAAACGTACCAAAACAAAAAAAAAGTACCGGCAAAAACGCGTCGCTATAAAAGCTGCCTTCATTCAATCGAACAGCATCAATCAAGCATTGTCAATCAAAGGAAAATGAAGCTCACAATTATTTTGCTTCTGCTCTCGATCTGCGCAATGGCTCTGGCCGGGCACGAGAGGCCTCCCTATCTGCCACGCCCCACCTTCAGGCCCATTGGACGAGTTGTGCGAGAGGCGTTGCCAGCAGCTGAGCCAGCGAATGTGGAAGCCCAACAGCTCTAGACGAGGATGCAGGCTCTGAGAACACAGAGGACTAATCCAAATATTCGAGAACAGGACAATAACAAATAATATTATGTAAAGCTTACAAACTTAAAAGAATATTATGAAAATGTATAGCAGAAAAAGATGACTCGTAATTTAGTTTTCCTACAACATCAATTTTGATAGACAAATTTAACTTACCGAACTGGTATTTTCGAATTGGCATCGAACAAGAGTCCGCGATAGGTCAAGAAAACTAGCTCGAGGAAAAATATTTTGTGAGCTCCTTCCGAACGACAGCATCTCAGCATCTTAACTTACCCATGATCACACACAAGCAAACGGAGTAAATGGAAAATATCCAACTACGACGAATCTCTAGTTGGCCTTTGGAATTCCTTTTGGCTGAATATGGCGCTAGGGCCAGAATCCTACTGACATAGAATATGCCAACGCTGGGCTCAGAAATTTCCATGGTTTTTTTTTTGCAAACGGTTACTTCAAGCTCTCGATAGGTACTAAGTTCCTGGCCCCCGAAACAGGAAATAGCCCAACTGCAAAATGTGTGCTTTCCTTTCTTTTTTTTTTTTAATGCGCATTTGACACTGAACAAATAATGCGCTCCCGTGTTTGACTATTATTAGTCCAGACAGCCTAAGTGAACACCATAAGGCCCGCCAGCACCGCACATGGCACATATGAAGGAATTGTTTACTATAGTTCTGTCTGTCCGTCCGTACGAACCGTATAGCTGCTGTAAATAATAATTAGAGTCCGCGATGTCAATCAATTAAGGACATAGCAGCCAATTATTCGCTGACAGCTGGCCCGAGGCCGCGGCATCGAGTTTATGAATGAAAACTTGGGCACGTAGACAGTGTGGGATGCTATCGACAATTGTCACGCCATTCGCAAATACGGCTTGTGATTTTATTACAAACATTTACTGCGAAATTCAACTGCAATGCCTTTACGAAAAATAGAAAAAAACGAGCATAAACAAGTGTGTAAAAATTGGTTAAAAAAACAAATGTGCAAAAGAATTTAAAACTGAATATGGCCCTGCTCTAGTTCGGCACGGTATTGGCATTGAAAATCTCAATCCAGTAGCCATCCGGGTCCTTGATGAAAGCCAGACCCTTCATGCGGCCATCGTCGGGCTTCTTGACAAACTCCACGCCCTGCTCCTGGAAGCTATATGGAAGAGATGGTGGGTTTAATATGTATATACGTGTGAGAGCTGCGAGATGTGGACCAACCGTTTGCAGGCAGCATAGACATCGGGTACCATCAGACCGATGTGACCATAGCCGCGAGGCTCGCTGTTGCCCGTGTGATAGCTTTGATCCGGATCGTATTCAGTGCCCCAGTTGCTGCAATTAAGCTCAATGAATCAATCAAATCAATCAAGCAACTTAAGAGCACTCACTGCGTCAATTCAATGGTGGCCTTGCGGCTCATTGCCCAGCTTCGTCGCTCCTTGGGATCTTTGGGCACATCGGCGGGGTTTTCATAGCTGTGCGAAAGTTTCAGTTGCTTATTAATTTCCATATGTTTGTTGCTGCCACTTGAGCTTACCCCATGAAGTAGAGGGAAAACTTTGCCTCCGGAAAGTCCAATTTCACCAGCAGCGTCATGCCCAGAACTCCCGTATAAAAAGGCAGCGATTTGCGTGGATCCTTGATGCGGTACATGGTTTGTTGGAACAGAAAGTCCTGACGAAATGGTTTCCCATTTTTTTTATTTTCACTGTCTATATTCCTACGATTAATTACAATGAACTCACCTTGGTTGCAGCATCTGGTTTTTTGCACAGCTCGTCGGCTTCTGCATTGCTCAGACCCGTAACATCACCCATTTCTTTCGAAATCTACCGGTGGATACCTGTCGGATTGCCAAAAGTTCAATTTATTGCAAAAAAAAAGCACGCGTTGCTCGGCAAAGTACGCGTTCAGCTGTTTTCCATTGAACAGCTGTTCGCTCAGCTGGTCGCAGCGTATATTTCTAGAATATTTATGGGCTTGCACATTTTTTCAGTCTATAAATCTGTATTAAAATTTCTTTTTCAATTTGATCAAATATCTGTGTTGAACAACAAGTTGCTAATTTCGAATTGAGCATAAAAGCCGTTAAATTTAAATTCAACGATATCCAAGATATTTGATTTAGATTGAAAACTTAAATTAAATGAATAGCTAAGTTTTCACAATTGACCTGTTTTGCTGTTGGAAGGGATATGCAAGATTTTGTAAATATAAACATCAAAAATGTTCTGCCACACGAAGCAAGCGGCGAACTTTTTTTATTTAATCGATAACACATTATATACATCGATAGGCAGTGTGCACCACAACAAGTGTTGAAAAACGTTTTTGGACAAGCTTAAACAATAAACCGTTTCAAAATCAAATTCAAGTAGTAAAAAAGAAATATGTCTTATACTAATACGAGCTGGTCAAGGAGTATCAAATTAAGCTCGTTAGATATAAGGGATATCATAGAGAAGTTGTCGACCAACAAATCACCCCTGTCCGGCGTTACGTTTTCCGAGAGCACCCTAACTAGCTTGTGTATGGCAGCTCAAGGACTATTTCTGAATCAACCAATGCTATTGGAGCTGAATGCGCCCATTAACATTTGCGGCGACATACATGGACAGTATGAAGATTTATTACGCATATTCAAAAACTGCGGCTTTCCACCCCTTGCTAATTATCTCTTTCTTGGCGACTATGTAGATCGTGGACACCAGTCAATAGAGACCCTAACATTGCTGCTCGCCTACAAACTGCAATATCCGTATACATTTTTTTTGCTGCGCGGCAATCACGAATCCTCGGACGTGAATCGTATGTACGGCTTCTTTGACGAGTGCAAGCGACGCTACAGCATTAAGCTATGGCGCACCTTTGTCGACTGTTACAACTGCATGCCGGTGGCGGCAATTGTGGAGAACAAGTTGTTTTGCTGTCACGGCGGACTCAGTCCGGAACTGAAAGATCTGGAGGCGATACGCGCGCTGCCTCGACCCACTGAAGTACCGGTGTCGGGCCTGATGTGCGACCTACTCTGGTCGGATCCCGATAAAAACACCAAAAGCTGGGGAGTAAACGATCGCGGAGTCAGTGTCACCTTTGGTTCCAGCATCGTTGACTCATTTCTCACATCGCACGGCTTCAACTTGATAGTGCGAGCCCATCAGGTGGTCGAGGATGGTTACGAGTTTTTTGCCGGACGCAAACTGGTCACCATCTTCTCGGCGCCCAATTATTGCAATACGTTCGACAACGCTGGCGCTGTCTTGACTGTGGACAGCTCGTTAGTTTGTCGATTTGTAATCCTAAAGCCGCAAGCACGGGCCTCAACTGGCGTCCTGAAGTTCTCAGATGCGAATGCCTATGAGAAGCATCCCAAAAAAACAATCTAGCATATCAATACACGTTAAACTGCGTCAATTATATAATATAATTCGTTCACTTTATTTAATTGTTATCGGCATTCAAGCTGCATAACTCACTTCCGAATCCTCATCTATTTACATGGTAAAGGCATTTTCAAGGGCATGTTCTCTGTGTGAATGGTTTCTGCTCTTAACTATTTACATAACGTTGCTTTTGTCATTGTATTGATTTGTTGTTACTTCACTAAAACTAAGTCAACTGATACTCAGCTCCGAGTAGTTCGGTATCTGTATCGTTTGTGTGTATACGGTATGGATATATATATATATATGTGTGTGTATATCGTTATAATAAGTATATATAGCGTACATTTGCTTATCAATTAAACTACTTGCTTGATTTTCATTGTAATAGTATTTCCCTCTCGTGTGTATAAGTAATTATAATTAGTTCTAGGCTTGTGCTTATGATTATCAGAATCGTTTTGTTGTCTTTCAGTTTTTGGTGTCATAAAAATAATTTCCAAATGAAATTATCTATGGATTGGAAATCAATTAACATACTTTGTTACATTACACATTATATTTTATATTTTCGTATTAAAAAAATAATTTGTATTATTCTCTTCGTGTAGACGTTTCGGCTGTTGGTCGTTTTACTTCTGGATGGTTTTTTTACAAATGCATTTCATATTTCGTGATTGGCAAATTAAATGCTATTATTAAGTATAAATCCTAACAAAAACTTGTATGTGGACTTGATTGTGTGTGTGTTTTTTTTTTTTTTAAGTGCATTTCTCTATTGGAAGGAGTCGAATTATGAGTATTATTGCACCACAAAATTCTAAAAAACATTGCAATTTCTAAAGTGGCTGCTGCTTAATAAATCTGCAGTATAATGTACATAGGTTGGGAACATGAAACAATAAGTAAAATGATCGTTCTTTCAATGCATATTTATTTTTCCACATCGTTTCTTTGCTTTTAATTATTGCAAGCACATAACAAAAATCATAATAATAGTTATTACAAATTAATTAAAAAATTACAAATAAATTCAAATAAAACATGAGCTAAGAACATATGTAGATGTCTTCATACCGCACAATAGTTAACGTGAACTAATAAGAAGGCGCTAGCAATTAAATATTAAATACTTGTAATATCGGCTAACAAAATTACTGAAAATTAAACATACAGCTTTTTATTGCGTAACAATGACAAAAGAAATCGCATATATTAAATTAACTTGACTAAAACGAGCGAAGCAAAGAACAAAAATAAAATACAAATCATAAACTCAATGTACAATTTATATAAGCATGCGTTGTTTTTTCATGTTTTTTTTTTTTGTTTCTTTTTTTTTTATATAAGTATATATATTTTTGTTGTCCGTCTCTTTTGGTGTTTTGTTTGTTTGTCAAAAAGTGTTTTGTTACATCTAAATGTTAGCTGAAAATCGCTTAGACTAAAATGCGTAATTAATGGCAAAAATCCGCTGTGGTCATTTTTTGTTATCGTTCTTCTCACTTAACAATTACACGTGTATATATATATATATAATATGTGTGTGTGTGTATGTGTGTGTGTTTGTATATATATTTATATATTTATGTGGTTCTATTAGAAACTAAATAATTTTTGTTGTCATCTGTTTGTTTGTAAATCTATAAACATTGCGCGCACTCTTCAGGACTGCCAACAAATTTCACATAACCTTTGATTTAATTTTAAAATTAATGTACATTGAATTATTGGCAAACGTACGTTTAGCATTACAATTACAATTGTGTTTCGTGTTTTGTTATTTTCTTCTGTTTTTTTTTTTTTTTTTTTGCATTCAATGTTCTCCAGCACATTTGGAAATTGTAAAAATTATGTTAAAAATTATTTAGTATATTTATATGTATGTATGCGTAATCATAGAACTAAGAATTTATTTATAAAAATTTCACTAGCAATTAAATTCACCATTCAATAATTTCAACTTAAAAACGCAGAGAGAATGAATATCAATAATTAATAGTGTTTTTGCTATAGTTTTCTTCCTTTTGTTGTATGCTATTGCTATTGTATGTTAGTTTCTTGATTTGTTTGAAAGTACTCAAATGAAGGCATATAGATTACAACTAAATGGTTTACAATTAAAAAAGGCTAATCGTCATCATCATCGGAAGAATTTGAGGACAATTGCAGATCGTTTTGTAGCAAGTCATTGGGAAAGCCACCGTTTGATGCATAAATGCCGGACTGCTGATGTTGTTGTTGTTGCTGCTGCTGATGATGATGATGATGATGCGACTGTTGCTGTTGCTGATGATGATGATGACTGTTGTAGGCCGGCGATACAGAACCAAGTTCCAGATTGGGCAGCTGATGCATGTGTTGTTGCTGCTGATGCTGCATATGATGATGTTGTGGTTGCTGCGCTGGCGGCAGCTGCTGATTGGTATGATGATTGGGACGATCATCCTCGGTGCTGTCATCAGAATCACTACCACTATCGCTGTCGCTGGAATCAGACTCCGAACTTGAGCTGGATGCACTCAGTTCGCCACCAATTTGCTGCAAATTAAATCATAGGATTAGAAATGTTCGTTTACAGTATTTGAGGGGACAAACCTGTTCCAGCGCGGCAGCCGCCTGCGCCATAGACTGTGCGGTTTGCTCATTATGTGTGGGTGAATCCATATCCATGGGCATGCTGTTGCTATGATTGCTATGGCTAAAGGATGCGCGTTGTTGAAGCTGCTGCTGCTGCTGCTGCTGTTGTTGCTGTGCGTAGTTGTTGCTGCCTCGGCCATAATTTTGATGCTGCTGCTGCTGCATGGGAGGACTGGAGCGTTGAGTCAGTTGCTGACGTTTGGCGTGACCTTGCGGCGTCGCCTGCCTTTGCTTTCCTGAGTGCACTGACGCATAGTCCGGCTGGCCGGCTGAGGAGCCTGTGGAAGAGCCCGATATATTCGCTTGACTGCCATTGTGCAGGGCAGCACTGAGGCCAAAGTCGTCATCGTCCATTATCATTGGTATGCTAGGCAATGTCTGTTGGGCATTGTTGGCATGCCAACTAGATAAAATAGAAAAAACAATATAGCGCCTTACACCAAAGTTAGAAAGTAGAAAACCTACGCTGGCGCCGATTGCGGACTCCTGTGCGAGGCCACTGGACGTGATGGTGAGCTCTGCTGCATGGGCGAATTACGTGGCTTAAAATCAACTGAAAGACCATTCGATAAATGATTAGCTGGTATTATCAAAAGTTTTAGATACTGTGCTTACTTATGTTGTTCCGGCGACTGCCCGTGGACACTTTCGTTTTGGATGAAATGCGCATGGTGCTGTTTTCCAATTTTCCCGCCGATCCAGTTCCAGCTGCCGCCGAGGACGGAACGGGAGCACCATTAGACATGGGTGCATTTGTAGCAGACATCAAGCTTGGCTTGTTTGTCACTTCGCTTCTGTAAGTTGTGTGCAATATTGTGTTAGTGTTGGGCAACGTGCAAATGCCATCAAGTGTTGTTCAACTACCACTGACCTTGTCTTCTTCACTTGTATATTGTGGTTTAGCCTTTCTAACGTGATAGCACCCGTTTCCTTGTCGAAAATGATTAGGCATTCTTTTGTATATTTTTTGTGATTACCCTTATAAACTGTTTGAGGCACACCGGAACTTTCTGCAAAGAATATTTTAAGAAATATGTTTAGTCAAAATGCAAATTATTGATTCTCTGGCGAGTGACTGACTCAGCAAATATCTTCAAAAATCCTATATATAGCTTCCTATCACATATTTAAAGCACATGTGTATACCCTCTCTCTCTCTCTCTCTCTCTCTCTCTCTCTCGAACAACGAAGTTTTGTTCAACTTTGTCATTTGTTTATTTATTTTTTTTTGTTGCTGTACAAACGAGTTCGGAGCCAAATTAAGAGTGCTGCAAGTCACATTTGCTTCAAAAGTGAATGTAAATTTACGGCGGATATTAACACGATGCCTTAAATACAATATTTAGTGTAATACAATATCGCCATACACAAATGTGTGTGTTAAATGTACTCTGGAATTTGTACGCCACATTAAAAGATATCCAGAGACCGAATCGCACAAAAAGTAACATCAACAACTCTTCAGAGTCTAAGAAAAAATTTGAACAGTCACTTAAAAATTAATTTCTTTTCACGAAACTTTGGTGCTTAACCCAATCCGTTAAGCCAAATGCCCCAAGCAGTAATTGAAATGGGGGAAACTTTAATTATATACAATTTGTTATACCCTGTATTCAATGAAAATTGATAAGCATTGGAGAGTGTTTTGTTTAATTCGCAAAATCATTTTTTTGCCAAAATAGTGAACTGGCACCTACACTGAAAAAAATGGCAATTAATAAAGCGAACTTTGGTTAAAAAACGCAGCTTAAAGTAAGCAAAAATAAAGTATATCAATATTTTGCTCAGCTTTCTACATAGTAAATGCAATATTTTTGTTTGAATATTCTCATAATTTGCATATTATTTGTCATAAAATAATATGACAAAAATATAAGTTTTATTGAAACTAAAAACGACAAATTTTGTAAAGCTTTTGCATTTTAAAATAATATTTAAAATGTAATATTTAATTAAATGAATTCAAGAATTCTTTAGAATATATGAAACGGTAGATGAGTACAGGGTATCGCCTAGTGTGACATCTTTCACTGTTCGTATATAATTATGCTGCAGGGTTTAATCCAAAACACAAACAATTATTTTAAAATCCAATTCTGTGATATTTAACTAATATAAGAACAACAATCAAAAATAATAAAAGAGAAATAATGATTAACAGAACAATTAAATAAATAAATGTGCTGTGTAAATGTGTGTGTGTGCGTGTACATGAGTATTCATTTCTCGGTGTATTTGTATATGCAGATACGCACACACATACACTTGGCGTTGACGTTCACGGGAAACGCATCGTTGAATGACGAAGATTTAATACCCTTGCAAGCATACATCTATATATATATATATATAGATTGCCTTTCTTGGTTTGTCAGTTTATAAATTGTATTTTATTTTTATATCTGTAAAAGACAGTCGGACGAACATAAAGATCGTTGTGATCAAGGTTATTTGTTGACGTCTTCAATTGCGTGACAAAATAGTAATACCTTTCGCTAGGGTATCAATACCAAGGTTATTTGCGTGCCTGCAATTGTAGTTTTTCGCGATTTATTTTGTTTACTTATTTGACATGAACTCTGTGTCATTGTAACTGTTTATTTGTTCGGCTTGCTGCTTGGTGGTTAATCATTTTTTGTCTTCTTTTTTCTTTTTTGATTCGCCTTTCGCCTGTTGAATAATCGCGTTGTTGTTGCCCGGCTCTCACTTACAGTTTGAATGCACGGTGCAGTGACTGCCAAAACTCAGCGAAGCGACAACAACTACAACTACAATTACAATTACAGTGCACAAGTCAAAAAGCAAATAAAATGAAAGCGTGTGCCAGGCAGCAGCAGCAACAACAACAACAACAACAACAGAAGCTCAAACAAAAACAGAGCAGACAACAACAACAACACTCAACGAAATCGTATATCGAAATCCGGTTGTGCTTTTGGAATTTGCTTTGCCACAAGTAAATAGCATTAATGTGTGTACTTAGCTACGTGCTCAGCTGTGTAAGTTGAAAGGTAAGCATTGACAGTGCACCTAACACTAGTATAAGCTTAATGCCAGGCCTCATTCGCGTTGTGTGGGCGTAATTAAGTGAGTGTGTCAAGAGATAATAATGATAAGCAGAGCTAGATTTTTGCAATCGTATTTAATAGGGTATATATGTATGTTCTCAAAGGGCATATACATATATTCAGTGTACTTCCTTAGGGTCATTCTCTCCTTTTTCTATGCAATTGATAATGAACTTGCTTAACTCAAGTGCTTATCGCACAAGCTCGTATGTTTCACAAAAGCACAGAACGTTATGTGCGTGCCAGCAGTTCGTGAGAAAGAAAGAGAGCGCGCTCCCACGTAACATACACAATCACCCACACATATGTATGTACATATGTACTCCCCACACATACATATGCACTCCCCACACGTGTGGGGAAGTGCAATCGCAGAACAGCTGGCCGAAAACGAAGACTACCGTTAGTTTTCTTCTCTTTATATAGACACGCACACATACATGCACACCCATGTTAATATGCAGTTGTACATACATGTATGTATGTATAAGCACCCTAGACAGAAACAACTATTGAAAATTCCACAATAAAATGCAGAGCGCTTACACTGAGCGACGTGCCAAAAGCGCGAAAACAGAAAGAGATACGGCAAGTAAGATTGATCTAGTCCAGGGTAACTGACTGCCAGATACCTTGCACGCTGTTTCCAAACTGAATGTCACTCATTCGCACATTTTCTAAATACACTTATGTACATCAACACACACATTCATTCTTGAAAAACCTTTTTATAGCAACGATCTTTATAACAGTTTCGTTTCCAAAAAGTGATATTCCTTTTGCAAATAGGATAAGAATACATTTCTTTTGTGTGCTTGGGGTTGCACAAAATCAGTATACCCCCTTTTTACCCACACTCACACACACACACACACACACACACACACCAGTTGCAAATGTACTTATAAAATCAGTTGAACCGCAACAAAAGCGCATTGGCAAGGGCGGAGGTTTACTTGGAGTCCAGCTTTAGCATATTTTTCCAACTGTCCGTTTTATTGCCATAGCTTATAGCAAAGCGGTTCCGTTCTTAACAGCCTAATCTGTTAAAGTTAAAAGATGAAGAAGAGGCAGTGTATGCTTTAGAAACAACAACTCGACTAACAAACACTTCTTGTAGCATCCATGCTAAAAATAAGGAACTGCATTAAATTGGCAATCTGATAAACAGGTATATAAGGCACGTGCGCCTACAAAGCTTTAAAATAGCCGCCAGCGCTTGTTGAGAGTGATATTGGGTCAAAGTACACAATAAAGAAAATTTTCGAGAGCACGGAAATAATATGGAACAAAGACATAAATTCTTGCAAGAATCGTTTATGCATTCATACATAGCATACGTATGTCTTTCAAATAAAGAATATGCTAATTCTAAACAGAGCGGCGACAATGCCTGGTCTGGCCGTCAGGTGGAATGTGGACGTGTGCCCGTGTCTTTGCGGGTAGAGTATGCAGAAAAAAAAAAACGCCCACACGGTAGAGATCGACACAGATTTGAATATGTTGCATTTCATTTCTCTTTCAATCAGTTTAATACAAATATTTTTAAGCACACGATTATTTGGTGAATGTTGGTCCGTTTTGCTAGGTACATGGTAAATTTAACGTTCACTGCAAAGTTCATGTTAGCTGAAACAGCTATGCAGACTTGTTAATTTATAAATTCTTGGGTTGAAAACAAACAACTTTAAATGTATGCAGTTAAATTAGACGATTAATAATTTAATGCAATTAAATGCCATGATTATTAAATAATTGCATATTATTTAAGTGTCTCATATGTTGATGGCAACTCTGTGATAAAACGTTGCCAGCTGGTCGACGCAGCGTTGCCACAATTTTAAACAATTAAGAAGTTAGGAATTTCAGAGGAAAAAATAACTAAAACTCTATTGACAGTATACTTGGCTTTGGCAAGTTTTTTAAGCCCACAATAAATAGTTGTTTATTTTGGAATTTACTAGTGCTAAAGCCAAATAAATAACACATTAAAATGTGCAACTAGTTCGTAAAGTCAGTCGCGATTGTCGGCATTTTCAAGGGGGGGCATCTTAAACGATTCTTGCTTAAATTAACAAATAAGCAATTATATGATTATTTAAGCAATTAAATGCAATCATAATGCTAACAAATAACAGCTGATTGTGCAAAGTAGAAGCCAAGGACTGTTCCACTCTGTTGGTCGAGCAAATCTGCAACGCTGCAAAACCAACTGAGCAATCCAATATTTTGGAATTTGCGGACAGTCGCTCCAAAACTGTGAACTGCGTGCGGGAAATTAAAATCTTTGATTTTGAGAAATCTAGATTTTTAAGAGTTCTAGAGTTTTGCAATTGCAGCTTTAGGCAGGGCGATAATCAGAGGAGCTTAGTTCTAGATCTAGAATTATTAATCAAGCCAATGAAGGAAACTATGAAAGTTGCATGCGTAATAGTTGAATAGATTTGAGTGTTTGTTTGTCAACTAAGTACACTTGACCGACTGTCAATTGTCGTTGAATCATCAGCTAAGCCAACGGCAATCAACGAAGCGTTGCCTAAACCGAGTTAGTTGAAAAAAGGTAAAAATTTTAAATAAACATAATAACAACTGCGTCTGTCTGGACACAAAGAGCATAGCTAAATAAAAAAAAAACCTGAACGCTTCGTTGCATTTTGCCTGACTTGATGTAATTTCGTTTCTGTGCTTCAATCGACTGGGCTGTCGTTATACCCTGTACTAATAAAACTGGGTCGAACGGGTATTATGTTAACAAGCATAAGAAAGGAATATGCATATGGGCTGCATATCTAAGGTATAAATAGATAGACAATTCCCTTGCTGCACATTTATCGAATCTGATATTCGCGCAGACATCGAGCTCAGAGACCGCAAAGTACCTAGATATAAATATAAGCGATAACTGGCATATTGATTCTCTCCCTACACTCCCAATCCATTCTCATTAGCTCCCAGTAAAAACTTGTTAATCAAATAATACTTTTACATTGTAAATATCGTATAATACCTAGCGAATTTATGGTAATGGGTATCTCTTAGTTGAGCTCAGTCGTCGCATTCTCAGTTTTGTATGTTTGTCGTCGTTGCGAGCCAAGTAATGCATTAGGCAAACTATTAATTTGTGTGCTGTTCGTGTGAGCAGTTTGGCCGCAAAAAATTATGTCATCAGCAGGCAGACGACAAGAGGCAGAGAGAGGGAGAGGCAAGTCGAGCCAAAGTGCATGGATACATAAATGTATTTAGAGTTTGGGAGCACTCTTTTGCCGTTCCACGTTTATTTCACTTGCATTAGGTGAAATGCGCAGGAATTTATCGAGTGTGGCTCCATATATTTGGCTAGCTGCACAGCTGTGACTCATTTGGAATGCGAAGTCTTCCGAGCTTGTGATAATTAGTGAACGGGTCGATCAGCTGTGCTTGGGGTTAATGTGCACGCAGTCGATAAACGCAATTCCGCAGCTTGTCAGCATTCGGGGAACAAGTTCTGTTTATTAGCATACTTAGTATGTAATTTGATTTGAATATTAAAAGGCAGCTCTTGCGCTGATTTGATTTGATTGCGTGTCATTATCGTGGCAATTATTTAAATGCTTTTCCTGTTTAATTCTGCTCCTGAACGTTTTTTGGCGATTCATCAAACTGAGTTTCACTCAAACATGTTCGGCTCTTTCTGTTGCAAATAACACGTGCTGCCTTAATAGCATGCTAATTGCGTAAGTCTGTGACTCTACGGAGATTAAAAGTCATGGAATTACCAGCTAATTTTCCCACTATTCTAATGATATCAATATCATCTATAATAATGGGAATTAATCTATCGAAATTGCATCAATCGATATTTCATTAGGTTAAATTGACCGATAAATAGACATGGTTTCATAACATTTTAATACTCTGCGAAATACAATTGATAGTTGATAATTAAGTTTTAAATTCCGATAGAATAATTACATTCAATTATAATTAATCGGAATTCTACATTGTCTGGTGATCGATAAATCGAAACACGATTAAACTGCGATAACAGCAAACGATTATTAACTTATCTAATGCATCTCTAAAGGACTTGAACTCGCTTCCACACGCTATTTGGAGATGGTTGTGTGGAATTGTCTCGAAACTTACCTAAATTTGGCACGGTAACAGTAACTTGATTATTGGAGCCAACATCCACAGTTGCCATACGGCTCGTATCCACACTCGCTGGCTTAAAGTCATCTGGAAATCGTAGACGATTGCATAACACACGTAAGCAAGCGTTAACATTACAAGAATTTGTGTACAACTCACATTTGATTGTGTGAAATGCGGTCGATGTGTTTTTCGGATTGAATGTGGCGCCCAATTTAAGCTCGCGAACCTCGTCCCCGCCAATATTGAGGCGCTCGGTAAGCGTTGACTTCTGTTTGGTCATCATCATCGTTCCCCCGTTTCCGCTGCAGCTGTTGCTGTTGCTGCTGTTGTTGTTGTTGTTGTTGTTGTGGGAGGAGGAGTATGGTGTAGGCTGGTAAGGCAGGTGGTTTGTTTGGGTCTGATTATTATAATTGGCACTGGTGTAGTTTGACTTTTGATAATTGTTGTTGTTGCTAGTGCTAATGTTGTTGTTGTTGTTGTTGTTGTAGTGATATGACTTGTCGCCAACAGTGTCGGCAGCTGTAGACGCCAACGCCAACGCCGACGTCGCCGCTGTTGCAGCAAAGCTACGCTCCTCCGCAGCGCCACCGCGTTGATAGTTGTAGCCGCCTGTTGTTGTGAAATTAGTTAAGTCGCTGCCAGCGCCGCTGCCAGCGCCGCCGCCGCCGCTGCCGTTGCTGCCGCTGTTACCGGACTTACGATAACCGCCACCGTAGTGTTGACTTGCAGCTGCTTTGGCTTTGAGGCGCTGCAGTTTGGATGTTGCCACGGATTTGGGAATTTTTGCGGCCGTGCTTATCAACGTGTTGTTTTGTACGTTGCAAGACTTTCTCGCACACGCCGGGACACGGTGGAAAAAGTGATTGCACGCAAACAAACACGTTTTAATCGATGCAAACGAAATTAAAGTAAATCAAAATTATATTATATTGTCTTCTAGATGTGACGCTCCGTGGCCGGGGATGCGTGTGTGGATTCGAATTTGCTGTTGTTGTTGTTGTTGTTGTAGTGGCTCTTCTTGATTTACTCGTAATTTGATTTCTATTTCTGTTTGCTTCGTTTGCTACTCCTTCAGGGCGGCATTCACGCGTTCGCTTTGTCACATTTGGCATTGGTGCTGGAATCTCGTGCGAGTCGGCGTAATTGCTGGGAGCATAGTTACGTTTGCTTTGATCCCATCATTACAGTCAGTTTAAAGTCTTAGTTGCAGTTGTTGTTAGGCAACTGCGGGGCTGCGAAGAGAATGCAACAATTATTATTGAAGTTTTTCTTTTTCTGTCATTTTTTGCCATATGTTTGCACTGTTCACACACACACACACACGCACACACACACGCGCGCGCGAACACATAAATACAAGCATAGCATATGTATTCGTTTCGTTTTACAACACTGGCCAGCTGCACCTGCTGGTTTGACGCGTCGCTGTCTCACATATTGACACACATTTCGCAACAACTACGCATTATTTATGTAAATCGTAAGCGCATTCCACTAATATTTATCAATTGCAAAGACCCCACGATTGGTCGCCTTCGTAGTGCACATTGTCGCAAGTGTGCTTTCTTTATCGATATAACACACAATTAAATGCGAATGCAAATAAACATTCCATAAATACATATGAACGTAGCTATGTATGGCAAATTTGCTCTCGAGGCATACAATATGTATGTATGTACGAGCACAGCACTTTTGCGATAACACGCACAAACACACAGAACCAGCACATGCATATGCACACGCATACATAGGTAAAATATACACTTACACGTGCCGTGTAAGCGTTGCCAATTTCTTTATGTAAATTACAGCTGATCTCACATAGCAAGTCTTATACGAGCGAATATATACAACATGTACATGTGTGCATGTATGTACGTACGTACTTGAATACGCATCAAATTATGCCACTTTACAACCCATTTTAGTGCAAATTAGTGATAATTTCGCGAAACGCACGCACACTTCTACACGTAATACGTAAGCAAACGAAAAAAGTGAGCGGCTGGCAAAGGTAAATGAAAAAAAAAATGAGACTATGAAACAGACACAGCTGAAAAACAAGTTTGAAATAGCCGAAAACAGCAAAGCGAAGGTGAAATTTCCGAAAATCAAATTGAAACGTAGACGGAAAATATACATATGCATATGTATGGCTATATGTACGCGTATCTGTGTGTGTTGGTGTGCATTCTGCTGCTACTGTTGCCTTTGTCCGCATCATAACTCCTAGCTGAGCAATTTCATTTGTCGCATATAAACATGTGTCTAAATCAAATTTTTGCCACTTGTATTTTGGGTTTTTTTGCTCTTACAAAACTGCTAATTATTCTTACATTATTTACACGACCCACGAACGACTTGTTAAAGACTAAGACTGCAACTGCTTACGGAAAGCAAAAAAAAGCCACAATTTTGGTCAAATAAATATACAAAAAATACTGAAAACCAGCAAGTGATGGTTAATAATTTTCAATTTCAGCGCTTTGCAACACTGCGCGGCAGAGCTGCCAGACTGCCTAAAATATGTGCAAGTGAATGTGTGCTGCACTTATGAAAGTAGAATTACGTTAATATTTATTTAGTTTTAAATGTACAATTTAAAAATAATAGGGTTAAATACTCGATGCGTAAAGCTTCAAAACTTATTGCTTTTAATATAACTTAATGATTTGGATTAACTGTTTTGAAACATATTCGAGCAAATGTCATATGCGGGCCGTAATTAAAATCCCATCAGCATTTGGCAAATCTGCCTAAAACCAAAACAAACAACATGCCGCCCTCAGGATTAGCACCAGTGCAATGATTAAATACAAAAACAAACGACGGCGACGCGCACGCACACATACACACACATCATGAATATTCTCTCTCTCTCTCTCTCTCTCTCTCTCTCTGTCTCACACACTCACACAGTGACTGACAACTACCCTCTCCGTTTGAATGTGAACTGTAGGGATCATCATTAACATTTGGACAAATCCAGCAGGCGCCGCATCAGCTACCTTGGCATAGCTACTGTTTGGACCCGAATGCGGAATGCGGATGCTGTTGCCAATCCGAGCGCGTTCTTTTTATACGGCGTTAATTATGTTGAGCGATGTCTGCTGCTGCTGTCTGCTCTGCTCTGCTCTGCTCTGCCATTGATCTGCACTTTAAGATTGGCCGACATCGCCGACAGTTTGCTTGAACGCATTTCTTTGCTTTCTTTCGTTTTTCTTATCCTTTTCGATTATTATTTTAATCTCTAGCACTGCGATTGTTACCATTTGATAAAGTGAAATTGATACTTTTACCGTACTCAGTGCTTAGAGTATGCTGTGAATACTGTGTATACCCTTCGGTACGCGGGGGCGGCTCGTGGGCGTGGGTGGTCGCGGGAACATGATGGAGCCCAACGTTCGAAATAAAACTTTCTAACGGTATTTTGGCGTGACGCCAGCAATTTGTAGGCCGACTGGCAGCGGCTGCCTTTCCGTTAGTTAAGCGTTCTCTATTCGCTGTCGTCCTTCTTATACCCTCAGCCCATTGAAAGTAGGTAAAGAAAGGGTATAATGGTTTTGTGCAAATGTATGCAACAAGCAGAAGACTTCTTTGACTTGGCATTAAGTATACATATATATATATATTTAGTTCGTATTTGTAAGCGCGAAATTAGAGACACCTTTTGGTGCATAATATTTCCTAAGTATATGAAAAGTATTGTTTTATACATAAAAGTGCATTATATTAAGATACAGGGCAGCTGGTAGTCGGGTATAGCCAATTAAAGCACACTTGTTTTGTTTTCTAATCAAGCATATGAGTATAAGTTCTTATTGTTGTTGTGTTGTTCATTTTACAGTTTTCATTCGCAATATTCGCATTTCATATTCCATTTTGTGGCTAATTTGAAAACTTTTCTTATCAGTTGATGAAATCTAAAATTGCATTTTTATGGCACTTCCTCTTTAGCTACCGTTTGCTTTCTGCCTCTCTGTCTCTCCTTCGTTGTCTTGTTGTTGTTGTTGTTGTTGTTTGGATGTACGAACCGCCACCTATCGACACTTTCGTTTTGAAAAGTTGCTCATTTATTGCATTGTCAAAAACACACACACACACACATACACATACACGCATGCATGCATACGTGTGCATGTTTGAATTTGATTTTGTTATTGCTTTTTGTTTGCCCCTTGTAATTGGCTTCACCGTTAGTTACCCTCATTTTAAGGTTAGGTTGCTTGTTAGTTGGCCCACTTTGAGTATAACGTGTATATTTCTAGAAATTCAATCGAAAGCAATAAAAAAAAAATCGTCAGAAAATCGGCAAATGTCAAAATACAAATTCTTACCCACAGATACACGACATAGACAATGTTGCGCTGATTAAATTACAAATGTCCGGAAAAGCCTGAGAAACTAACGGAATGCAGGAGCAGACCGTTGACAAATGCCAAGATGTGAGCCCTTCATTAAACATCGCATTGTCTCCAGTGACCCCTTGACCCTACGCCTTGTTAGCGCTAGACTAGAATTGGGCCAAGGTCACGCACAAGGGTGCACAATTCCAAGTGCTACCTGAGATCGGTGGCAAGCAGCTGTAATAGGCGACCACGCCCACTGTCAAAAGTGCGCCCACTTATGCAAATTTAATTAGCAGAAAACTGGAAAGCAACTAGCCAGCACCAGGTCCGACTGCCAACTGCCGACGGCCTGACAAATGCGCCCGATCAGGCGCACATAAATCAATTTAAGTGGAAGCTCCTCTCGACTGAAACGTACGTACGGGCGGGGGGGGCGTGCGCCGACGGGGTGGCAACGCCGGCCCACCGGGCAGCTCATTCGCACGATCGTTCGAAATTGCCTCTAATTATGGTGCAAACACCAGCAGACTGCACCGTGTTGCAATCCCAATCCCCCATCCCAGGCACTCCTGCTCCCAGTTGCCATCCAACTAAATTGATTTTAAAACTCGCCTACGATGTGCACGGTCCCGGTGCGAGTCGGTTCGGCGGCAATAATTCAAAATTTATGTGTTTTGAAATTATTTTAATGTTTCTAATGTGACTTTGCCTCTGCCAGACTTTCCTTTGACCAGCGACAGCCCCGACACAAAGTCGGCGGCCATAAATAATGAATACTATGTGAAATGCATAAATGTTTGCCATCATTTCGTCGTGAGTGAAGGCAAATGGTTGTATTATATGAGTTGCAGGCATTTTATGGGCCTATAAGGAAGGTAAGTGCGCACTTTCTTTTACTAAATTTTATTAAATTTTATTAATTAAAAATTAAATTAATCATTTTCGCCTTTATTACTTCATTAATTCTTAATATAAATGGCGAGAATTTTGTATAAATTTGTTTAAAATTCAAAATTGCAAAGATTGAAGAACTTCGGTTCGGTTTTGATCTCTGTCTTTCTATAATTCTCAATGAGTTTAGGCTTTCACCAAATGGCAATTTGTATGAATATCTGGAGTCCACAACAAAGATTGTTAATCGTAGTATTTGTTAAAAGTAGCATACAACCTTTTAATCAGAGTTTATTTTGATTAGTATATATAAACTTCAATAGGGTGTCCTGAGGCTCGATTCCAAGTGCTCGCTTTTAATTTCCTTGGGACATGATATTCCCTGCGGGAATGGTAGAAAATGATACATTTTTACTAAAAATAAATAATATAAATTAAAAATATATAGATTGAATTCAATTCGATATACATTCAACAGACTAACTAATTGACAGGCTGATTGGTAATAAAAGAAATCACGCCAAAGTGTGGTAAATAGGTGGAAATGTTTGTACGAAAGTAATTTTTTCGGCTCGAAATTCATTTTCAAAGATCTTCGCAAAAACTTAATGTTTCCTACTTCTCGAAACATCCTTTGAAAATAAAAATAGATTTGCTTCATTGATTTCATTTTAAAAATATCTATTCTAATTTTGCGTGTCTCTATCTATGATATTCTCTTTGTTTTATTCATTTACTTTTGTTAATTATGTATAAAAGGTGTGCAACAATTAGAACTAATCACGGCCTAAGCTCAATCAGCGATCGTATGTCTTTACCACCTCCAACCCGCAGCCAATTGTTAGCGGAATACCCCCAACAATGATGATTCGCACAGTGTGCGTGTATCGAGTATGTGTCTACGAGCAACATTATGTTTCCAGCTCAGAGCAAGAGACGTGTATGTGGACCTCATGCGGCGATGCGGTACACGCACTGTGGAGTCGAAACACTTAAAAAAAATTATATTGAGTTTGGGTTTTTTTTAAATGAGGACAGGGAAGCGAATAAGGCGAAGGTTCAATCAGTTAGGGCTGCTCCTTTTAGTGCACCTGTTTATATATTTTTGAAAATTAAGAATCTGCCTTGACAGCTCATTCATTGAGCTTTATTTTATTTGAATGCTTTGCAGTTTGCAGTCAGACTTTTTTTTTTAGGCGATAAACATGAAACTTGCCCACTGTGCGAGCTCTGAGCACAGTCGACCCCACGGGTCTCAATCACAATATCGCCGATAAATATCGTCCAACTCCATCGCCAACTCGAGCTCGGCTCCGCTGAGAGCCGTCGCCTGTCCAGCACTCCTCGCGTGGAGCATGGTGTGTGCCGTCAATCGTTTCCATTTGCGGCTGTGGGTCCATTAAATCGATATCGTGCCGTGCCGTGGCATGGTGTAAGTACAACTGTCCGACTAAGTACAACATCGATTACAAGATCACACGCAGTGCGGGCCAACTGTGGCACGAGGCACTCGACCAATCGCAGCGGCGAAATGTGAACGGCTAATGTTCGCGTTTCGGATCGAAGTAGATTTGTTTACATTTGACATCTTGGCTTATTAGCGCTTCAATCTCTTCAATCTCTGACATGCACACACGAACCAGGGCTGCAGAACCAATTACACGCTGGTTCGGTTTACGAGCGGAACCAACTCCCTGTTTTGGTTCAAAGTTTCTCGAAATTCAATTAAAACAACCCCAAAATCATGCTCAAGTTGAGCGTCTATTAAATATGGTTAGATACTTTCAAAGTTTAGGCCTAAGTTATTCAAATCTTGGAGCTGGGCCTTCTATAGGATTTGTTTGTATTACTATGATTTGGTTTGGGCAACGATTCGATTTTTGTTTGAGAAACTAGCTAGGCTTAAGGCTCGACTCATTTAAAGAAAAATCCGAATAGGTTCGGTTCACAACTAGCTTGCAGCCCTAAGCTAACTTTTCATAAATGTAGCTTTGTTGTTTAATTTGATTTTCAGCCGAAATGTTTTGTGAGCAACTGCTTTGGCTTAAAGTTCTTGTGAGAACTTGTGAAGCGAACCGGTTCGCTTAAAAACTTTACTGCAACCGCTTAAATATTCATAGAGAATTCAACAATTTCATAATTGATTATAATTTTTATTAAGTTAAATTATTTATAAATGTAACTGGGTTTGGTTTAGGGAAAGGGTTTCAAGTTTTTTGGTGTTCCGGACTCGAACCGGTTCGGTTCAAAAATATATTTTTCTGTGAATGTGTGAAAAAATCACACCACTTTCATAAAGTCCAGCAACAACAACACGCCAGTCCATTGGAAATCTCAGCTCTGCCTTGTTCAGACTGCCAACCCTTGCCACCTGCGCAGCTCAATAAATAATGCAGCCGGTTTCGGGCATCCGCCGCCTCCTTCCAGTCGGAGCTGTCGGGGCACAGACGCAGAAAAGTGATACGAAAACAAATTGAAATTGGCAAGTCGCTTGTTGAGCGCTAATTTATTAGGCATTCGAGCTGTATCCCTAGAATTTTAATTGAATATTAACACCTTTGGCAGCCGGCTTGTTCGGACCGGCTCACTGCGTTCCGGGGGCAGCCGGTCAAGCGCCGCAAGCCATGGCCACAATTCAATTTTTGTGTATTTGTGGCGTTGATTTATTCAACGGCTTCGATTTGAATGCCCCTCAACGGGGCAACTGGGTTTGTGTGTGGGTTTTGCGTCCACCAACAAAATTCGGGTAGCCAATCGCAGGATTCAGTAAAGGAAATTGGTTATTTATAACTGCCAAAATGTTTATTAAATTGAACATCGGGAAAGTCATGTGAGCTGCTTTAAGCAATTGCTTTCCTTGACTTGACCCGAAATGGCCATCAACAAGTAGGAGGAGTTCTGTATTGCTGTCACAGAAACAAGCAAGATACTAGAATGGGCTTACGTGGGGAAAACACAAGAGTCGTTCCTTATCCCAGCTGGAATAGAAAAGATATGTAAATTTATCCTAAATCCAAGAAACATTCGATTGATGTTGGAGGAGGCTCAGGATTCAAATATTGTTCTTCGAAAAAAGAACGAAATCTTGAAGGCATTTGAAAATGAACTTTTAAAATTAATCGCAGTTTTCACACAAGAGAGCGGATTTTCCGAAAGGTGTGAAATACGCCGCACGTGATTTTCCACAAAGTTCGCTTTTAATGATGGTAAGGCGGATCGGATGGTATAAATAATATATATATATCTCATTATTAAAAAAAATAACTTAAGATAAATGAGAACGAAGAAAGTACAAAATTAATAAGGTAGACAAATCGAACCTTAAGACAAGACCTTTGCTCGAGCCATAAGCTGAAGTAACACAACTTTGTTGTTAGGTTAACAGCCTTGATTAGAATTTCCCACTCCCTTTTGGAAATTGAAGTCCAAGCATCGTCTGATACGTCCAGAGCTGGCTGCATAGTCTGGTCAAGTTGGACATTCGCCCGAGGCGCTACGCTTCAGCCTCGGCTTGTACGGCGTTCAATTAGGCGGCAGTGCAAATTGTTTTTAAAGTGTTTAATTAATTTGAAAATTATTTAAATTCGCTGAGCGCAGCGACGGCCCTGACACCGAGCCCAATCTAATCGCAACGAGATCAGCAAGTGCCGCGCCGCCTGCGACTACACGGCGCATTATTTATTGACACCTGAAACCAATGAGGAAAGAGCTGAAGCTGAAGCTGTAGCTGGAGCTGGAGCTGGAGCTGCTATTGCCAGACTGGAGCTGAGGCGTTGCCTCTGTGACAGCAGATGGTGTCGGTGTCGGAGCTGGCAGTCTGGCTGCTGGTGTAACATTCCATTCACCATCTCAGATCCTCATCGCGGCGTGCAACAGCAGCAACAGCAGCAGCAGCAACGGCAGCAACAACATTGCCAGTCAGTCCCGATGCCGACTCCTGGCGTCTCCTGGCGTCTCCTGCGTCCACAGGCTGAACGTCACGTCGCTCGGCTCGTAGCTGCACGCGACTCTCGCCTGGACCGCCCGCCTGGCCCGGCTCTCACTCTACTCGACTGTTTGATTTATGCTCGCGTAATTGTTGGTTTAAACGTTTCGCAAAGTGTCCAAGTTGGGGGGGCCCAGCCGCGACGCGGACTGCGACGACGTTTATGACACCAACCAACAGAATGTGAGGCAAGTCCAGAGTTGCCAAGCGCGCGCAAAGTGTACGCTACAGCGTGTTATTCATTGCTTTTTTAATTACTATTTTTAATCAATATTTGCATTTTATTTGATTCAAGTGAATATAAGTTGTTCCAACTACATTTTTAACAGCTTACTAACTAAAATTCACTATTAATCTAAAACATTGTATGAGTTATAAGAAAACATGATCATATACAGCCGGATTATACTAAGATCCTGAACATAGCCGAAGACCGCAAAAACTCTTAAACTATAGCAAAGTTTGAAGTAAACTATCCTATAAACTATCCTGTATAGTATCTGATAGATTGTCTTGGGTTAAGTGAATGTGCGGCAGCCCTGGCAACCCTAATCAGTACCTATCTCGATCGTATATTCATGTGCTGGCCTTAAATTTCAACTTCTCACGTCACACCTCCGGGACCACCTTGCAGCTGCCGCATGCGGCATGCGGCTTGGGGCTTGCGGCTTGGTGCATGCGCTTATTTTCGTTCGTTTGTCATCATTTTTTCAATAAATTTCAATTTCCCGACCCCGCCGCTTTGTATCCTTTTCGCCTAGCTCTGGCCGCCTGTGAAATCCGAAGTGTAAAATTGATTTAAATGGCTCGTGAGTGAAGCAGATAATTTTCAGTTGTCCGATGTGTGTAATATTTATGTGCCGGCGATTATTATGCCGTGCCCGTCTCCGTTTAAAGTTACCTGCGCGTGAATTTTCTTACCCGCTCGCCTGCCCCGCCGTGCCACCAGCCCCGCGTGCCGCCCCAACTGAAGAGCCTAACTCATTTTTAATATGAATAATTGTGGCAAATTACATGGCAATTGCATAATCAACCGGCCCCGTACACTGCGCCAGCCCCCCTCTCGTGCTCGTGCTAATTGAATTTGGCCGGAGCACATCTTAGGAGGAGGCGTGTCAGTGAACTTTTAGGTTTCCGGCCTCGTATCGTTGCTGGCACTGAGTACAACGGAATGGTATTGGATTTGGGTAGAGTAAAAAACTTGACTCCTTTTCCTTATAAAGTCAAAAGTATTTACAGGAAGAAAAAGTTGTCGCTGAATCCTTGCGAAAACCATAAAACATGTGTTAAATAGAGAGAGGTTTGATACCCTTACTAACAGGCAATCGGATGTAACCGACTATGTTATACTCTATCCAGCTTTTCAATGGCTGCCTGATCGTTGCGACATAAAACCGAATTGCTTTCCTTAAATAATAATATTTTATATGATGATATATGTGTAGGATTGATATTAATGAAATGCTTATTTCATTGATGTGATTCGTAACATAGAGTAAGGAGACGACGGCTCGTCTCTATCTGTGTGTATATCGGTTAGCTTATCAATGGATCGTAGATAGATGTATGTTAATTAACAGAATACTGTTAACTGCTGCCTTTAATATAAATATAAATATATTGAAAGCTTGCTTAATGTTAAACTCTTTTTGTACGTTGCGATCGTAAGAGAAATCGAGAAGTCCGAGTCCAAAATTGACATCTGTCTCTCTATACGGGCCTTATCTTTATCGACTACATTTAACTGACTTTTATCTCTGATGGCCCATTTCCCCGCAGGCACAACAATGCACGCAATTTGGTCAAGAGTCAGCTCAGGTATTCAAAGCTAATTACCCACACGTAGAGTTCGATTCTCTCTCCCTCTCTCTCTCTCTCTCTCGTGATCTCTGGGGCTGGGCTCAAGCAGCGTCTGGCTGGCCGAGATTTATGACGTAAAATTAATAATCATTTCAACTAAATTAATAACTCGATGCCCGACTATACAGTTCCAAATGATTTACAATGTGCGTATATTTTGGAATGGCTGCAAGACTATTAAAATTTATGAAACTCTTGAGTTTGTTTATCAATTCTAATAATTCCCCGACTCGATGCTTCACCAGTTGTGGGGGCGCTGCTTCATTAGAGCAGCAGGGAAGGAGAGAGCAGGGGCAGGCTTTGTTTAACCAACAGGCGGGTCGCGCAACGCCGAACTCTCGAGCGGCACAGCAGGTGACTTTCCTAGAGTTTGGCCGGCGCGTGCGCCACTCTCGTTATTATCTTCATTTTTAACACCCAGGGAATGGTATGGTAGTAGGGTCGGGGTCAGGCCCCCCCCCGATCAACCAGATGACGACGACTTACCGCATCTGCTCGCCGGACAGCAGATTAACCACAGAATGTGGTGTTGATCGCTGCTGCATCTCGTTTGCGTCATTTTCTCATTCATGTTGTACAAGATTTTTATCGGGCTATTTCATTAACATATTGCGGGATCGTTTTTTATTTAACGCTGTTGTTTTATGTCCCCTTGACTATTTTGACATTTCCAACTGTTGTCGCTGCCCGTTTTATTGGTGACCAAATGCCAGTTGCCCGTCTGGAAACACGATCTGTTATTATGTAAATTTGATGATTCCCTAATGCCCTGACACTTATTTTGGGCATTGTTATGATAGGGACTGGCGCCAAAAATTTTGTTGAATGGCCAATTTCATATATTTTCCAACAATCAAAAACCCTGGGCAATGTAATCGATATGCAATTTGTTGAGTCAAGTCTTGAAGATCTCGAAGATCGACTCCCACATACGTTAAACAAGCTGGCGCCTGTCGCCCATTCGTAAATCTAATCAACTATTTTCTTTTCTCAGTAATTTCATTTGTTTTTCCGTTTCGTCGATTTCTATTGCATGGGTGGTCCGTAATGATATATAAATGTCGGGCTGATCATCAAATTCATATCAAATAAGCTTTACATAATATATACATGCTTATCCGTTTGATGATGGACAATATATGAGGTACATTTAATTTAAATTCTACTTAAATTATTGAAGTTGTCATCATTATCGAAAAGATTACAAATTTGAATACAGTTGAATTATCATCCAGGCTACAATTGGATAAGTTAGAGTATAGTCAAGTTTGTGCAAAATGATTCAACGAGAGTCTAGTTTGTTCGTCTTTTCCTTTCTCCTCTCAGTTTATTAAGCTCTCCCAAACAAATATTTGAAGATGTTAGAAAACCCACCCGCCCGCGCCACCTTATCGATTGACATTTGTCGCTGAGGTTGAACCATCGACCTCTCGCCTGTTGATACGACGCGCAGACACCTTGGGCTTACCCTAGCAAAGGACACCCTTATTTGAGATGCTGTCCGTGTACTCTTTAACATTTTTACCTCAAATTATCAATGCAGCAAACTCATAATAGATGCCAAGTAATATTTAGCTTTCAGCTGTTGCAATTGGAATCTAGAATCTGTTTCTGTTACCTTTGCCGAACTGTCATATTGTTCTACAAGGTATAAAGCTGTGCTTGGTAGTATAAGATATTTGTCTATGTGTACAGGAGAGCCAAAGTACAAGATACGAGGGTTTTTCGGCTCATAATCGCAATCTGCTCAAATTAAAGAGGTGAAACAAAGCAAAAACAAAAAAACAAGGCAACATTTAAAGGTAGATCTACAAAAGTAATCCTCGAACATCCTTTTGCAATGACAACAACAAGTACAACGGAATGCAGATGCAATTATAGCAATGCGAGCAGCAATTGAAATGAAATACAAGGATGGGCCATAATTAAAAGGGAATTTCAACCGCAGCATAATTTCAAAAAGCATCCTTGCCGCAGGAGTGGCAAGGTGGCATTCAAGCCTACGGACGCACTGCAATTACATACCACTTACATGCACACATACATAGCTATATACTTGCATATACGAGTTGATTTATATGCATATATATGCACATAAATTCTCCCATTTATCAATATCAATATGGCGGCCATTGCGCATGACGAATGCCGAATGCGACGCGGCCGCTGGCCAATCAGCGCTTTGTTATTGCCAGCTCTCGTGCGTTTGTGTGTGTATGTGTGTAAACAGGTAGCTTGCAGTAGGCGGGCCCAGCAATAACAATGAGTATAATACGGAATATAACCTGTTTGCTTACCGTCTCTTTCGCACACAGCTGTCTCTTGAGCATTGAGTTTACAGTGGAGCTCAAACTGTTAAGAGCAACAGATGCTGTTGTCGCGTAAACTGAATAAAATTCACAGTCGCGGATAAAAAAACGTGCCATGCTGCACTGTCATGGTATATTGAACAATGACTGCTGGAGCATATATGTATGTGGTCTAACAGAATGATCAATATTTAAATAAAATAACTTTATTTGCTTTCATTTGAAATTGGACAGTTAACAAAACAATTTATTTAAAATAATTTGCTTAATACTTAATTAATATGTATTTTAGATTTGTGAGTGTGTAAGCTATTTGGGGCCGGCACTTTAGGTGCCGCTCTCTAATTGAGCAATTTGGGTGATTCGCTTCGTTTGCGTAGAATAACAGCAACAGTTTGACATTCACTGTGGCAACGTCTCAAGCAATTGCCTTCTCTCTCCCTGTAACGCCTAGCGGCAGCAACCACCAACAAACTCACGCACACACACACACTCCCATACACACATGCAAGCATGCACATGCACACCAACACATGCACAGCGCTCGCTTGGCTGGTTGGCCATCGCGTTTGGACTTGGCGGCCTTTTCTTTTCATTCCAATGTTCAGTCTCTCTCTTGCGTTGCTCGCGTGCGGTTCGTGCTGTTCGCAGTTCGCATCTCGATTATCGCTGCCCATTGTCGATGTCGCTCGTGCGACGAACGACGGCCCCGCCGGCACCGATCCTAATTCAACGGCAATAAACAAATGTCCGATGCATAAATCAAAAGTCAACGCGCGCACACAGTATTTTGCATTTTGCATTAGAAATTAGAAAATAGCAAATAGAAGCAAGCCGAACGCTAAAATACTCACATAAATCGAAAACGTGCGCACACATCATCAAAAAAAAAATAAAAAAAATATAACAAAAGTTGATATCAATTGTTCAAATTTAGCTCTAGTGTTTGTTGTTGTTTTTTAAGGCTTGTTCGCAATTAATAAAAGTCGCGAAAGCGGAAAATTTTTCTAAGAATTGCAACACGTGTTTCTGCTAACAGTGCGTATGAAAATTTGTTGCTTGTCTGCGCGTTCGCAGTTATTTTCGTTTATGCCCCACACACACACACTCACACACACATACACACGAGTGAGTGAATGTGCATGTGCATGCGAGTGTGTGCGTGTGCTCGTGTATCTTAAAATCTGCTGAAAAGTTGCGCCAATCGAAGGGTAAAACCAACAAAAAAAAAAAAAGAAACGAAACAAAAAAAAATTGCTGCTGCTAGCGGAAAGCAAAGCAAATGTGCAAAACAACCAAAACAGCAACAACAGCTAAAAGAACAACAACACGGATACGCATCTGCGACAGTGATATACATTCATAATAGATACAGATACAGGTGAGTTACCAAATGCCGACGGTGAAGCTCGAATTGAGCTTGGCTCAAAACAAGATTAGAAAAACTATCTTAAATATGTCGAAACCCTTACAGATCTGGCAGACGCTTGAGATGATATATCTCATCTATATCTCATGATATATCTGTCACATCGCAAACCAGTTAATCTTTCCACACAAGATCTCATCTTAATCCCATAGAGGTATATGATGTTGATAGGATTTAAGAATGAAAACATTATTCTTATGGCTTTTATATGTTATTATGATCCCATTCCGTCAGTTACGCTATGAAACCTTGCCAAAGTTTCATAGTGAAAGCTTCTAAAATGAAGAAATATTTTACATGGAAAAAACCATCCTTATTATATATAGACTATATATATTTGGCTGTTGATATTGACTGAGAATATGTATATACATATATTTAACGAGAAATTTTATGAGAAAATTATAACATACCCTGCAAAGGTTATGATACTAATAAATCTCAACAGTACTCTGCATTATTCTAATAATTAATCTATTTAATTATTGTAAATTGTAATTAATGGATATTCCATAAGATACACTTGTTTCTAGTTGATAAAGTGTAACAAGTTGCCGAGCTGGAATACCAGACTGAGGTGTTCGTGTGCAGTCCAAAGACTGAGTAGTATTTATGCATTTATTACAGTCAATTATGAATTATATAAGCTTATATATTGTAGGCAGGCATCTTGTAATACTTTCTTGCAATGCTCGCAAAGTAAATATGAACAAAGGAAATGTTTAAGGGGCACATCAAGAAACTGTCATTTGCTTACAAAACCGAGCGATACGCACATATATCTGGTCGTATGTCTTTAATATTTTGATATTCTATAGTTTATTTACCGTTTGCATGACTAATGCTCACATATCCATGTGGGAAACTGTGATTCACAAGCTGCAACCTGAGCGAGTCGCGAGTCGCGCCTCATTGTGGCAGCTCTGGCGATCTGCTTGACTATTTTTGGAGCCACTTCTGAATTGTCGAATGACACGGAAAACCAGCGAAATGTACATTTGGCAAATGCACATGAAAACTGGAAAATTGCAAACGCCTACCCCACCCTCTGGCCATCTGATTAGTCGATCTTATTTCCAGCTTGTTTCGCTTTAACAACAAACATGCGGCCATTCCAGTTGTCATTCATTCATCACATTTCAGAGAGAGCTTGCTTGCGGTATCCGTGAGATACTTTTCGCTTGGCTTTGTTTATTTATAATAACTTTTAGGCAAATCATATGGCTTTTATCATGCAAATTCTCTATAGAAATGCGCGAATTATTAACTTTTCACAGCCTCCATTTTCTCTGGAAAGTTTTTGCGGGTGGGCGTCGCGCAGATGTCGCATGTCGTCTTGTCTCGTTCGCATGCGAATAGTTTATTAATATGTATTTTTTGCCTCTTTTTTTCTTGATTTTCGATTTAGCATTCAAATCGAGAACGTTTAATAGATTAAGTGCGGAGCACACAACAGTTGTCGCCTCCAGATTTTCTTATAATCTATCGCATATAATTGAAAATCTTTCCTTTGCGCAGATAAATATAATGTATCCAACTTTTCTCAATTTCCTATTGCGAGACAATAAAACAGTTTTGGATCTTTTGACATTATGCAAATATAGTCTGTTGTTTAATCAAGGCGGCAATAAAACATAGAAAAAAAAAACTGTTGAACTTTGAACTTTCTGACTTTAGGTTCGGTTCGTGCACTTGATTTGCCAAAATACACACATATATTTTCAAGATTAAAATGTTATAATTCCATTAGTAATTAATAAATGCAAAAAAAAAATATTGTAGGAAATTGATCCATAAATCGGTTCAGACTCAAAGTTAATCAAAATTGAAATATTTTATTTCAGTTCGAATCAAAGCCTTGGATACAATATATATAATAGTGTAGATACATTTTCTATTGTAGTCAAATATTTTCTTTATTTGAACGGGTTTTATCATTAATCTTCAGATTTTATTCCTAAATGAGTTATCTTTAGATTTGCCAGAGGAAATATATAGAAGTCAGATAGAAATGCAAGTTTTCCGAGCAATATATTTGTTATTTTTAAGAAAATGTAATTCTGTCTTAACTTTTAGAATTGAGCACCTAAGCATTTTGTCAATTATTCAGCCTAAAGATACAATACTTCATAGATGCACAAATTGACCTGGCGTAAAGTTGTAAATATGTTTGGTTATTTTGCTAGCAGAATGAGCTGAATTCGTGCTGCAAATGCATAGCATTTGTGGCTTTGATGATTTTACGCATTTGCGTAGAAATTTCGTTTTAATTTGCGTACAAGTTTTTCATTGAAAAAGATGCGAAAAAGATGTTGGCCGGCACTCTGGCCAATTTAGAGAGACTGGGCCGCGGCACCCATGGACTGGCCGAGTCGGCGGCGAGTCCATACAGTCTCAAGAGTTGCGCAAATGTAGCGCAAAAATACGTGTGCCAGGCGCACAGCCAGAGATACATTTGGTCTGGCCACGCCCCAGCGAGCAGCACATTAAATTGACAAATTTCATTCATTGCATATTCGCGTTTAATCTGGTCCGGGCGAGTACAGCTGGCAATTAAATAGCAAATGCTATATAAACGTGTGCTAAATGCCGAGTTTTATCTCACAGATACAATTGCCCGGCCCGGCCCGGCCCGGCCCGGCCAGGCTCGGAACGTTAGCCAGACAGCGAGTTGGCGGTCAGTTGAAGTTTTCTTTTGTTTACTTCCAGGGAAACGGGGGAAATGTGCAATAACAGCTTCGAATTTGTTGAATTTGTCGATTACATTGTATAAACACAGACGCCATTGCAGATAATTCGCTTTCAGCGCAAAACAGTCCTCGTCTCTGGATTCGGATGGTACCGGAACCAGAGTGCGTTTGGTAACTGTAACGATGGCGTCTACATTTTATCGGGGCCCTGCCCTGGAATCCGCATCTGTTCCTTGGGCAGTTTAGTTTCACAGCTCGAACGTGTCGCAGTGAATTTTTAGATTAACAGTTCTTTGGCCAAGCTTCGACTCAATTCGAGCTGTTTAAACTTTAAGGAATTCCGAATTTATGATAAAACTGCAGCTCGGCCGAGCAACAGGTATACTAACGCATTCCAAATATATCGGCTTGGAAATATTTTACTATCTATTTCAACATTTCAACAAACATAAATCACAGCAGCTATGCAACTTAATTAAAACCGGTAAGAGTGCTCGACCGAAAGATACCCTATATGATATATACTTTCTTGAGGAACTTCGGTGTTTATAGTCCGATCTTTTTACAACTTTCAGCACTTAAGTATGGCATGCTAATATGAGTATATATCAAAGTTCAAGTTGGTTCTAGCAAATAATCTAGATTTGTGTACAATAACAGCAAGAGTCTTTAAACCAATTTTGTTGCCTCTAGCTCTCATAGTCTTCGAGATATGCTCAAATAACCGAAAATCGATTTTGTTCTCTATCGTTCCAACTAGGCTGGTTATCGATAACTTGAAATAATCTCGATCTGTTCGTGCATCCGGAGAAATTACTTTCAAATTCCAAGTCTATAGCTTTCAAACTCTCTGAGATCGAACAGGCGAGCAGACAGATATGGGTAGATCGACTCGGCTTTGATGAAATAATATAAAAATGTACAAATTTGCATTATACCCCTTTTATGCATTTACAATGTGTTGAGGGTATAAAAACATTAAAAACTTTTATTAGATTCAACTTTAATTAGAAACTAATGAGACGCTGGCAACAATAGAGTCGTTTGGCTGCGATTTGGTTAACAAAACAGCATACAACTCTATAAAAACTGAAACGGACAACAGATCCAACAGATCCAACAGAAATAGATCCAAGACACATACACAAGGTGTCCGCTTTCAGCTTTGGGGGGCTGGCAGCGAGACGCTCCCGCATGCAGTTAAATTGACAGGCGACCAAACAAGCGAAGACAATAACAATAATACTCAAATTAAAAGCTTATAAAAGTCAAGCACACACACACACACACACACACGCACAACATAAAAGCAAACAGCAGAAATCGGAAATCTGACAGATAACACGTTCGAATGGACGCGTTTGTAAAGTAAATTAAAAATGTGTAAGTCGAGCTGAAAATAAATGAAATTCATTTAGTTTTTATTCGAATGCTAGCCACAAGCAGCAGCCAGGCCCAGTTAAAGCATCTATCGGCAACATTTGAATAACTGCCGCAACGGCAGCCGGCAGCCGTTTCCCATCAGATAAAATATCTTTGAGGTTGCTGCTGCGACTAGCTGAGTGAATGCTCGCATAGATTTGTTGCCGTGTGGGGCATCTACTATATGCTATATGCCATAGGCCCCTTCTTCATGGCCACAGATCATATCGGAGTGCCATTAACTGAGCCATCATATGCATCAATGTGCTACTTGATTCTATAATTGTAATCGGGTCAAGAGGCAACATTCTAAAGATACTTTTCTAATCAAATTCAACCAAGATAAAATTAATTGACATGCGCATATTGTGAATATAATAATAATGCAGGCAAATATAATTTATTGATAGTATAATAGCTATTTCGGTTTCAGTCCGGAGTTACAACTGATTTTTGACTATGCACCGAAAAGTTTGAGCAGCAGCTAGTTGATTTGAACCGCTAACCGAAAAACCGCTAGTTCTATTCGCTGCAATTGAGTTGCCCTTGCAGTTCAGTTGCCTGTCAGAGGTCAGGTTCAGCCTTTAGAGCATACGTGAATGGAACAAAATGTGAAAATCCAAGAAAACAAGTAAATTATTGTAATTTCAATATTTTGAATAGCTTAGCGAATAGTCGAACGCTTGTGTATATCGTATGACTGTGTTGTACACAATTTCATCTATAAATTATGGCCAGCACACGAGCAGATTGTACATATACATATAAGTAGAACCTACTTATATAGCGTATTTCGTTTCACGCGTTTTGCTTGTTTACTTGCGTCAAACATAAAACAAGCCAAAAAATATCTGACGCTTGGCCAAATGTGGATCGGATCGGGCGGGAACGGGCGGGAACGGGCGGTCCCAGCGGATCGGCCGGCCTAGGCCGATGACTCAAGAGCAGGCAACCAACTTGGCGTTGGTATTTTCGTTACAGCAGCCAAATGAAATGCTTTGTATATATAATCTGCCTCACACACAGAGTGCGAGCGAGAGAGAGAGAGATAGAGAGAGAGAGAGAGAGGGCAAGCTGAAAATTGAAAACAGATCCAAGAATATCTCGAATCGCTGCGGCGCAGTTGCCTCAATTTGAAAACATATACGAGGTGCGAGCTGCTTAGACTTTAACCCGTAGCTAGGGAAAGGGGGGGGGGGGCTCTGCGGGCAGGGGAATGCCAACAGATCGGAAATCTTGGGCGCATCTCAAATCGAAATTTACGTATGTAAAACAGTCAGACGATGCGTGGGCCAGCGCGATCGATTGCAGTGCGACCTTTGCAGATATTCTATCTGATGGATACACTTGCAGCTCCTGCTCTTTGTATCTGTATCTGTATCTGTATCTGCTTCTTGTTCTCCTGCCTGTAAGCAGAGATGCGGCAGCGACGTGGTAATTTTAGAAAATTTTCTACATAAGCAATAACACAACACTGAAAACCATGCGCCCCATTTAATAATATTGTGTAAAAGTTTATTTTCGTTGTGGCTGTTCGCCGAGCTGACGTCGCCGTCTCCGTCGCCGTCGCCGTCGCCAGGCGGGGGGGCGCATATAGAAAACCATACTTTGATAATGGAAGCATTCGCATTACACGTGCGCACCTGCCACACACGCATTAGCTAATCTAAGCGATCGACTAATCGACTTTGACAACATGGGGTCCAGTTCGTTTGTTTGCTTTCTCTCTGGGCTAAAAGTGTTCTTTCTGGCCATATTTCATAACTTGTTTTGTTTAACATAAATGTGGAAAATGTGAAAATATTCACATATCCCTAATGCCAGTTTCAACAGTTTAATGTCTCGCAATTATCGTTTTTACAATCTTAAACAAAACATTCCAAATGTTGGCAATAAAAATATGAAAAATTGCCCCCAATTAGTATGGTAATTATTGGATCCAACAAATACGCCTAGCATAGCATTGATTAATCGAGGGACTTTATAAACACGCTGGGATCTGTGCTTCATTTCATAAGAGTCTGTCTTGAATATATATACATAAATATTCTCAATCAATATGATTAGTTGGGCTAATACAGCAGATTCTTTTCTATCCAAACTTGGCATTTATAAGTTTTTCAAGAATTGCTATCAACTTCGGAGTACTCAAAATGATCTTTTTGTACATAATATAATATCATAAAAAGAAAACTTATCAAGGGAATTTTATCTTCGACGCTTAAGATCGACTCATATTTATCTCTTTTCCTAAAATTACCTTCATTTCTGCAGCGCTCAAGAAACCAAAGACAAATTAAGCCTAAAACTCACTAGGCTATTGATAAAGTGAGCTATACGCGGGAGTTCATACACATCGATTCGCAGAGCTTGGATTCAGAGGGCCCAGCTGCCCGGTTTGGAGTGCAAGTGCCACTCACAGATTATGTTGCAACATCCCGCCACCGACTTCTACGATCTGGCCGCGGCCAATGCGGCTGCTGTGCTCACCGCCCGGCACACGCCCCCCTACAGCCCGACGGGGCTGAGCGGGTCGGTGGTCGCGCTGCACAATAATAACAATAATAGCACAAGCAATAATAACAATAATAATCTCGATATGCTCACGCACAACGGAGGCGGCGTGGGCGTCGGTCTGGGCGGAAGCGTGACTGCCACTGGACTGCACCTGAGCGGCGGCGGCGGCGGCAGCAGAAATGGCGGCCCAGGTGCCGGGGGCGGCGGCAGTGCTGCCACAGCCGGACGCGAAACTCTGCCCAGCTTCGGCTTTACGCAGGAGCAGGTGGCCTGCGTGTGCGAGGTGAGCTGCTGCTGGCGAGGATTACGGCCCGCTCAGCTGCCAACATTAAGTTATTTGTTTTGTGTTTTAGGTGCTGCAGCAGGCGGGCAATATCGAAAGACTGGGCCGCTTCCTTTGGTCGCTGCCACAATGTGATAAACTGCAACTGAACGAGTCTGTGCTGAAGGCCAAGGCGGTCGTCGCATTCCATCGTGGTCAGTACAAGGAGCTGTACCGGCTGCTCGAACATCATCACTTCTCGGCCCAGAATCATGCCAAGCTCCAGGCCCTGTGGTTGAAAGGTGACACGACATCCACCCTCCTCCCCCCCCATCTCTCTCTCTCTCTCTCTTGCTCTTCGATCACGTTTTTCCTCTCTCTCCCTGGCACTCTTTAGCCTCCAAGTGCTAACCCGAAATTCTTTTACTGTAGCGCATTACGTGGAAGCCGAAAAACTGCGCGGAAGACCTTTGGGTGCTGTGGGCAAATATCGTGTTCGCCGTAAATTTCCACTGCCCCGCACCATTTGGGATGGCGAGGAGACGAGCTACTGTTTTAAGGTGAGTACCGCAGACACCTTTCCCCATCAGTTGCCCCTGTCCCTGTCCCTGCCGCGCTCCTTTTTTGCCTTACCATCTTGGTTCGCCTTGCCACATTAATTGCGGCAACAAAGGGCACAAAATGAAATCGTAGAAATGTCCGCCACGTCCCAGCCCCTGCCCTGCCCGGCCCTGCCCTCGACTGCCGGGCAACGCCTACTTTCCTGTGCTCCTTGTGGCTCATCGTCGTTTCCTGACGGACACTGTTTGCACTTGGGCTTTATCTACGCGGGCTTTCAATTGATTAAAAACATTTGCATTCATGTCAAATATTTAAAGCTATTACAAAAGTTGGGTGGCCCAGGCAAAAGGGGAAAGGAACAAGATAATCTATAAGACATTCTCCAAAACATTCAAATGAATTTGAAGTGAAGCATTTGCAGAAATAAAAAACAAAAACAAGATTACAATAGAACCGAACCATGAAAAGTGCCCTTTTTGTATACCCTATACCCCATAATACTCTATATTATGATACACATATGTCGAATAGTAGGATCTTATACGAGAGAATATTCTGTTCTTCAAGCTCAGACTCGACATTTTCTAGCTTTAGGGCGAAATCTTACAATTCTGGTAGCACAAATTGTCGAAAGACAGGGAGAGCGTTAAGGGCTTTAAGGCAACAAAGCCTTGGCCTATTGAAAGCCGAACAATTGCAGACACTTTTTGTCTGATTAGTTCCGATAGCTGCTATTTAATTCGTGAATAATATCTAATAGTTATTGTTGCGTTTAACTCGTTCAGGAGAAATCCCGCTCGGTATTGAGAGACTGGTATGCGCACAATCCGTATCCATCGCCGCGCGAGAAGCGCGACTTGGCCGAGGCCACAGGACTGACCACGACGCAGGTGAGTGTTGAATCGTTGACAAATGGCATTTGTTATTTGTCATAAAGTTGATTTTGTATTTAAACACCTTTACAGGTATCCAATTGGTTCAAGAATCGACGACAACGAGATCGCGCTGCCGAGCACAAAGAGTAAGTTCTCTCTCACAAAAAATATTAATAATATATATGCATGCATTTATTATAAATAATTTTTGGTTAAGTGTCAACGCGTGCAAAATGAATTGGCATTTAAATTTCAATTACAAAAGCTGACGACGCGTCCGTTTACTTGGCTTTTACATGCTGATAACAAGGTCAATTTGAGGCTTTTTTCTGTGGGTGGGGCGGGCTAATTAGTGTCAAGGACACGGCCGTTTTTCACGTGAATCATATAAACTACATAGCATACCGAAAATATGAGCATTCATTTATATGGTAAATGTGAAAATGTGGCTGACAAATTCATGAACATGCCACACATATTCCACATATTCGTTATTTGTGTGGATCTTTGTTTTCATAGGCGCATTGTCATATGTTTGACAGACTGACTAAAACTAATGCAGCGGGTCCTTGCCAAGAAAGGACATTTGGATGCTTTTCACAAAAACATCTGCATTTCCGCTTAAGCAAATAGGCAAACATTCCCGAAACTCTTCTCTTTCTTTTTCGGCATGTTTCAGATGCTTGGCCGCCGATAGGCAACTTTTCAAATATTGAACATCCTTTCGGGCATCCTTTTGTTTGCCTTCCCTATCCTGCTCTCTCGCTCTCGCATTAGAAGTCATGTGAAGCGCAAACATGGAAATTGAAAATGTGAAATGGATTTTAAAGTGGCCGCAACAATGTTGAACTAACTAACACAAAGTTCGTTTCGCATCTGTGCCTAAAACACATATTCAAATGCATTAAACTAAACGGCCTATCAGTTTCCCAAAGTGCACAAAAGAGCTTCAATTTGCAATTTCCAAAAGAAAACAAAAAAAAAAACACAAATATTATAAAACAATAATAACAGCGAAAAATTGTCGCAATAAAAATAAAAATTGGCCGCCGTAGCAACCGCAGTGCACACACACACACGCTCAGATACATATGTATATGCAGCTGACAAAAGTATCTCACAGATACTTTTGCATATAGGCGGGCAATGCCTACGGTAGTTTGCACTACGTAGCGTCCTCATGGCTTTTTATTTTATTATTCATTTTGTTGTTGCTGCTGTTGTTGTTGTTGTTGTTGTTGTTACTGGTAACCTGATATATGTTTATGGCTGTGCCGCGTCGAGCAGCAGCAACGGCAACGGCAACGGCAACTCGGCGCTGCTACTTTAACTTTTCATATATATAGTTTTTGTTTTGAGTGTGCACTAAAGACTCTTCTACACACACACACACACACACGCACACATGCACAAATTTGTGTGCTCCATTGTAGTTGGACTTTAATGTGTTGCCCAAACGGTCCACCAAGCATAACGACGCCAAAGCCCACAATTCAACGAGCTGTCGAGTTGTTCTCGACCAACTGTCGTCATTTAACATAATTGCTGATAAAATCTAAAACTTTACATACAAAATTTACACCTGAAAATTACCTCAATTCAATTGCTTGTCGAATTAATATCAATTTTAGAAATTGATAAGTTTGTTAATCTTGAAAACAAAACTATTTCATATTTACTCAATTTCTAAATGATTCGTCGCATAAGCTGCGATCCAGACATATATATGGGCATAGCTAGATCAAGTCGGCTGTTGATATTGGTCGGGAATGTAGACAAATTGGGTTCGGATATATCCCTACAAAGGACTATTTTTTGAAAAACTTCCTTCAAATAAAATGTGGCACATCGTGAATCTTTTCTGATAGCTCAAATGTTTTTCTTTTGAGCATTATATTGTGATTTGAATACCCTTACACTTTATTAACAAAATTTGACATACATCTCTTATATGATGCGTTACGAAAATGAGTAAAAAAGTAGAGTTAATACTTGATTAAAATGTTGATTAGAAAGTTTTGTGTAGCAGTAAACGTAAAATACAACTAGAGAATTTATTGTTCCAAATGTTTATCTGCAACGAACGATTCGGGGACTTATGAAAGAACTGTCTGATTCGTGTTAACCAAATACAAAGCACAATGCCATTCGCATATAGTCAACAGTGGAGGATATAGCCGTTATAATGACCCGATATCGATCAATGTACATCGTTACGAACAGCATGTACTTCTTGTTGGTGACCTGGAAGTACCACAGATTCGTTGCGGCGCCAAGTAGATCCCAGTTTGGCGGGAAAACAAAATCCAAATGCTTTTCCCCAACGTACTGGAAAACGGCATAGTAGAGGCCCAGCACCATCATTGGGTACAGAACGGGTAGCAATATGAAGAAGAGCATGCCGCACGTATAAACGCATTTCAACAGCGTCGGAAAGGGCAGCTGCTGCAGCCAAATATCAAACAGGTGCTCCACCAGAGGCTGCATGTAATAGACCAAGCGACCCGGCCATGATATCTTCGCCCACTGCAAGCGAAACGCATGAATGCAAATAATCGGGGAGTGGGGTTGTGGGGGAGTCAGGGAGTGGGAAACTAGAAGAGTGTACGTGTGTGTGTGTGTGTGTGTGTGGAGCTTACGACTTTGCGCTTGTGCAGTGGCTTCTTCCAGGTCTTGTGCATTTCAACTGGCAAATTTTGTTTTTATTTTAATTTCTATTCTATTACATTAAGCAAAAATTTAGTTAATCGAACCTTTTTGTATTTTTAATGCCTACTACATATCCATACGACAAATCGGTTGGCATATCTCGTAAAAAGAAGGTTTATGTGAAGAAGTTTATTTGTTTTTTTTTTTTTTTTTCAATATTTATTGCCATTGCCAAAATATTGATTTTAAGACACAGCCGGAGAATAGAGTGAATCCAGAATGTTGGCAACGGCAGGTCTGCGATAGGTTTAGGGTATCTCCTAGTCAGGCCAACTCTTTTGACTGGAACTTATGGGTAAATTTGCAAGATCCGTTCGAACGGTTATAAACTTCTTGCCAAATCCCTACAGAAAGTACCTATTGAGCAAAATATCCCAATACACTGGAAGTGTGTCCAAGGGAAAGTAACTGTTGGAATGCCTAGAAAATATGTCAAATTCATATGAAAGTACATTTGAATATGTATGCAATTCGTTTTTCTGTTATACACGATTTCGTGATTTCAATTCAGGCTTCTTTGCTAGCCTTCACCTTCGTCATGGTTTGATTATGCTCCGAATCGTAGGACCTTTTTCAATTATTTACAATGCACACGCTCCACATTCCCAACAACAATAAGACGAGCAGCACCAGCAGCAGCCGCGTGCAGAGAAAAAAAAAAAAAACCAAACATAAAAAACCTTAATACTACTTCAAATGTGAGAAGAGTTCCAGTTCCAGTTCCAGTACCAGACCCCCAGTACCAGACCCGGCCCGTTGTCTTGATGTTCATTTTTCCAACTGTATGTGTTTGTAACTGTGTGCATTAGTGCGAGTGTATGTGTGTGTGTGTGTGTGTGTGTGTGTGTCGATCTCGGGCAGCTCAGGGCTCATCGTTTTGCGTTTGCGTTTGCGTTCGTCGAATGCCACGGTTGGCTGGAGGGTAGCTGGAAAGAGTATCAAGTTACCACAAAATGTGCGTGTGTTCTTTATTCGTTCGCCTCAGCGCCGTCGCCGTTGCCGTTGCCGTCGCCGTTGCCGTTGCCGTCGCCGACGTTGACGTTGACGTCGCCGACGTTGACGTTGACGTCGCCGCAGCGCGTTATTCATTTTTATTCGTTTTATTGTACATTCTGTTTTTATTATTATGTATTTTGCGCTTTTGCCCGTCTCTCTCTCTCTCTCTCTCTCTCTCGCTTTTGTGATTGTTTGCGTTTCTGCCTCTTCAGCACCATCCCTCTACACACACACACACACACACACACACACACACATGCACATGCAAACATATGTGTGTGCATACATTCTTATATGGGTCTGTTCGTCCCGTGCCCGTTCCCGTTGCCATTCCCGTCTCTGGAGTTCCGTGACGCATTTGGCAGTTGAGTTTTGCCGCCACTGATGGCGTTGATAATGATGTCGTTGGTGATGATGGACCGGTATGGAACTGAGACCTCAACCGAAGGCGCTTGCCAGAGGGGAACAGAACAGCTCAGCTCAGCTCATTCGGAGGGCGGCTGAGCATGTGGCGGGTACTCATCGGGTGGGCGCCTGTGTCAAGTAATTTACCCAACTATAATTGGAAAGCTGAGCACAGCTTATCGCCGTGATTGTGGCATTAAAAAGTCCACCAAGATTTTCATTTATTTGACCAATGTTCCAGCTGCCTCTTCTCTAGAGTTCGCACTGCGCTGCGGGCCTGACACATTTTTCAATGGCAATGTTTCCATTTCTAGGGTTTCATGCGCTTCTCCTTTTGCGCCCATGAAAACAAGTTGAAGTTCGCCCCGCCGCATAAATGCCGTAAGCTGCTTAGGGTCTTAAAAAGTGTTGGGAAATGTTGGAACTGCAAAAGTTCATTGGTCAAGTGGCAAACCTGGACATCTTATGTGATAACCAAGGGCAAATAGAACTATTCCAAGATGTAATTGTGCTCGCAACAAAGAACTGTGCGAGGTCCATCAATATTGGGTGTCTAACGAGCCCTAGAATCCTGCGCTGATCAGGGCAACTATTTACCTACAATTATGCCCTTCCGACTACCAAGATCCTTATCAACTTCCTGCCATGACTATCGTCCACTGATACTTATCTAGACTGTGCCAAGTTCAAGATCTAACGAGATCCAATCATCAGCTGTTCAGTTATCTTAACACAAGAACAAGAGTCAAAACAAATCAAAGGCACAAAACAGACGGTAGCCAGTGTAGGGGCTTGGGGAGGGGGGGCGGCTCTAGTCGGGTAGAGGGGTAGTCAGAACGACACATCATATGGTAGATCGTTGCAGGATTTCCAAGAAATTCCATTGCTAATAAAAATTATAAGCCAATAAATCGTAAAAACAAATAAACAGGCACACACACACACACACACACACACACACACATGCATGGCAGCAAGGCAGTTGGAAAAAATGAAACGCTGTTTCATAAACTGAAGCCCCCATTCGAAGAGCTGGGGATCACAATCGATCGAAGTGCAGGCCAGGGAATCAACGAACAGGTTGAGTTATCGCATTGCGAGATCGGTACACAAATCCCGAGACGTGTGCGCAGCAGGACACCCAACTAAACGGTGCCCGGCCTGGGCCTGGGTCCGAGTCAGAGTGAGGCCCATAAGAAGAATCTGAAAAGGTGTTGATCATAAATTATCATTTAATTTACGCATGTGTGTGGCGTGTTGTTGTTGTTGTTGGAGTTGGAGTTGAGACAACTCGAGTCTGGAGCCTGAGCTTGGACTCGATCTAGTAGTAGAGTTGTACCCAAGCATTGTCCCATTGTCTACAACTATGTTTCGCTTTCAGCTTTAGTTTCAGTTTCAGTTTCGGTTTCGGTTAGGGTCTCTCTCCCTCCATAATCCAGTATGTATGAGTTTCGTGTAGATCTTAACGATTAACCAAAAAGTCATCGTTGCCATCGTTATAAAGTATTTTATCTTATGGCCTGGCCCATTCCGTACGGTTGGCGTGTGGCGCATTTTATGCTGGCTGCGCTTTATTTTGACAGTTTTTTAATAATTTTGTTGCTTTTTAATTGCATGCCACACCAGATGCTTGCCCGATAAGATTTCAGTCTCCCGATTCTCATCTGTGTAAAGTGTTAAGCATCTGAATAATGTTTATAATAGAAGGGGCTAAGGCTCTACATGAATTCTAGCCAGGGCTGCAAGTCTAAAACGTATTCCGTCCCTGGTTCGGTTAACGGTTCGAACTAGTTCCATTTGTCTTTCTGATTCATTAATGCTTATTTGTCACACCTTTTCAGCATGTTAATAAAACAGTCGAAATTGTAACCAAGCCATTTATCAATCAAATTTAATTCTGTTCGGTTTTCGGTTGGTTCGTTATTCTATCAACTTTAAATTCCAATTCCGAACCGGTTCCGTCTAATCGAGACTCAAACGTAACTAAACCATTTATTGCCAAATTTTAGTTCAGTTCAGTTTTCAACTGGTTCTTTTTTCAGTGAACTTTAAATTCAAATTCCTACTTCATAGCCTTGCACTCGTGATCGCACTCGTTTTCGCAGTTCGGGTAACAGAGTTGGCCGAGCCACCCATAATCCGATCATCCATTATTGCCGAGCTAATGAATCTGCTTAAAGCAGCTCCAAAAGTGGCTTTAAACTACAGAAACCCAATTGAGCAAAACAAGTAAAAATTAATTCCTCATCACTGAGCAGCGCCAAGAAAAATGTCCCAAGAACTTTCAGCCGGGACCACACACACATTGCCCCAAACTCTTGGCCAGGCTTTGCCACTCACGCCTCTTGTTCTTGTCATATATTTTATATAAACTCTATGTGACAATTATGTATTGAGGGATTGTCCTTGGGACGCAGCTACCGCGAAGGCAGCTGACTTATAAGACTTGGATGTGTGTGTATTTATTTGATAATGCAATCAGTTGAATATACTCGAAAGTAGGCGCTGTCTCAAACGCCTGCGCTCTCGCTCTCGTTCTCCATCTCTCTCTCTCTCTCTCTCTCTCGCTCTCTCCTGTCCCTGGCCGTGTTAATAAGTGTTGCAGTAAGCCAGAGACAGCAGCGAGCAGGGCCAACAACTATGAAATTCTTGAAATTTGATATCATTGTTTATATGCTGGTGCCCTTTGTTTGCTCCCCACTTTTGCTCGGCTGACTGGTTGACTGGATGGCTGGCGGACTGGCTGGGGCCAGGGCTGGGCATGGATGGCTACTCCAGCATTTTAGCCATTTCTCATTTTGAGGTTGGCTTTATGTTTGCTCAGCCTGTTTGCGTGTAGATCTGTGTTTGTACTTTTCGGGTGGGTTCGCTTCCCTCCTCGCCACAATCGATTTTCTTCAGAAGCAGGCAAACACATTTTGCTGTCCTTTAAATGTTTTGCTAAAGTTCACTTTTATTGACTATTAAGAAATATTCCAAACTTTTTAAAGAGCATGTTTAAAGAGCCTGAGAAAAGTCTCTAATCTTGCCAATAATGTAGTTTCGTGCGATCTTATTATATTAAATAGTTTCCGGCTGGCATTTCATTTTCTAAAATCCGCCTATGTGCGTGGAATACAAGTGGAAATTGAAGTAAGAAATTCTTGTATGAAACTCATGTTTGATTGAAATTTCACGACATTTAGCTTTGAAAAATGTAAAACTCTGTTTAGCTTATTTTCTTAATTCTGTGAAATCGTTTGGATATAGGAGGATATACTCTATAGAGAGAAACTTTTGCAATTTCGAGAAAAGTATTCGAAGGAATCTGATTTCTGCTAGCTGAGCTAACTGATCTGTACTAAACGGACGAATCAATAATCAAAATAATATAAATTGTATTCGGAATAAATCGCATTATTTAGAATCTGATTGAGTATATAGTCATACATGTAGGGACCTAAGAGGATGATTGAGATGCCATGCCAGTTCTTAACTGCAACATAATCAAGAATTCGATGCCCAATTGTACATAAACAAGCCCACCCCCAACGAATCTGGCAAGTGTACAACAGGCACCCGATCCGCGTGTCTGGCTGGGAAAGATGCAAAATGGACAGCTTGGCAATTATCAAGCGCTGCAAGTGGCTGACTGCAAATGTAGATGGATGCGAGTGGAATCTACAATTACACTCCAATGCCGCCAATGCCGAACAGCGAACAGCTGGCTGCCCATTCGAGATGCCAGCTAGTCTGCGGATCTGCGTCTGCGACTGCGCCGTATGTGGCCGACGCGTCGGCGCAGCTCCAGGTCTGCAACTGGGTTTTTCAGGCTCGGCTCGAATTGCGCGCGAGTCAGCAAAAATAACTTGCATGGATTGTGCCAGGCGGGAAAAAAAGGAAGCAGGAGGGGGAGGAATGGTTGCAGGCTGTAGCTGATCTGGCAGATCGTTCCCAATGATCTCTGGCCACAAATTTGTCGAGTGTGCGCTTAAATGTTTTGCATGGCCCTGGACCCTTGTCGCCTCCTCCTCCGCCTCCGCCTCCGCCTCCGTCGCCGTTGCTTGTCGATGTTTGTTGTCATCAATTTTTTGAAACTGGTTCTGGGTACGTTTGCAATTGGGATTCGCGACAAGATTAAGATTAACACACCCGGCACTCGGCTGGCACTGGGCCGATAATGTCAGTTGCTCGAATTTCAAATGCGCCTTGTTATCGCTCTGCCAGTGAATTAGCCATTAAAATGTCAGGACAGTTTAGCACTAACAAATTGAACAACACGAACAACACATCAACAGAAGTGTGTGTGTGTGTGTGTGTGTGTGTGTGTGTTTTCAATTCCCAGCGGTGTCTGGAATTGGGCCAGCAAATGAGTGTCTCGCTTCCACCCTGGCAAACGGTGGCGATAAAAACGACACTTGAAAGTCATTTACAGAATCAGCCGCAAATAATAAAAGTCAAGCAGCTTAACTTTTGATCAAAGGTGCGAGCGAGAGCGATACATAAGCTATAGCCACGCTCTCTCACACACACACACACAGAGAGAGAACAGGCGCAGCTCAAATAACTGAAATCAGATGCGGCGGCGCTCTATGGGGGAATGCACTGAGAGCTGCCCCTCTCGTGTTTGTTTATATGAATGTGTGGGCGTGTTTGTGTGTGTGTGTGTGAGCCCCGCGACACCTTTCGTACTTGCTGTCCTGCTCTAGCGCACGCCTGCTGCTGCCCGAATGTGAAACTGAAACCATTTATAGAAATGCTCGCGTTGAGAGTAGAAATATTCAAGCAGACAATTTCCTTCCGGTTTTATTTTCAATTGCCCGCCCTGTCATTTGTCATTTGTTTATAAATATACACACTTAACTGATGTATGTATATGTAAGCGTGTGTTGTAATTGTTGCTGTTGCTTTTGCTGTTGAAAGCAGTAAATTAGTTACAGCAATTGACACATTTTAATTTAAACGATTGCTGACATCTGTTTTGAAGGCAAAGTTCAGCAGCCTTTCTGTTCGGCGGGAGGGGAAGCTGTAAGGATTATGCAACATTATGTCAGTTTCGTTGAGTTGTGACAGCACTCATTTTCAAATAAGAACAGCAAAACTTAAAAACATAATTTAAATAGCAAACATGTATTTTCACTTTTGACAATCTGGTCACACGTAAAGCATCTAATCAGGCTACTCTTACTTTTCGTATTTAATAAACAGCCACACGTGCGGCCAACTGTCAAAGCAAAGAAAAAAATACCGAATCCAATGTTAAGAAAAGCTATAAATAACTGAATTAGTTGCTGAGCACAAAAAGGCAATAAAAAGGCTTGTCATTGAGCTGCCACAAAGTAGCTTAATCCGTTTAAAATTTCAATTGTTTTCCAGAAAATGACTGAATTAGCAACATAAGAAATGCACTGTCCCTTAAATAACCAAAAACTAATACTAAAATACTGCCCCCGAAAATACTAATTGGCTGAACGACATTAAAGACTGGTAAATTTAAATGAATTTATAATTTTTATCTTTGCAGCGGCTCTACGGACAAACAACACCTGGACTCGTCCAGCGATTCAGAAATGGAGGGCAACATGCTGTCCAGTCAGAGCGCACAACAGCAACACGCAGCCGCCACGCATCACTCGCATCACTCGCAACAGCAGCAACAGCAGTCGCCGAGCAGCGGCAACAACAATAATATCAATAACAATAACAGCAACGGCAACAACAGCAACAGCTTGCATCAGCATCAGCAGCAACTGCAACATGTTGCTGCCGAGCAGAGCCTGCAACACCATCAGCATCAGCAACATGCTGCCAGTGCAGCGGCAGCGAGCAAAAGCAGCGCTGCAGCAGCAGCTGTGGCTGTCGCCGCCTCCCAAATGCCGCCGCTCTCCGCCGCCGTTGCCTACTCGCATCTGCACAGCGTCATGGGCGCCATGCCCATGTACGATATGGGCGAGTATCAGCACTTATGATTCTAGTTGGAGGCTGCTGCTGCTGCCAGCAGCAGCAACAACAGCAGCAGCAGCAACAACAACGGCAACGGCAACAGCAACAGCAACATGCACTGCGAATGGCCAGCTATGCTGCGTCAACGCCAGCAGCGCAGCCAGCTGCAGCAGCATCAGCATCCGGAAAGCTTTTACTTCTGAAGCAGCAATAATTGAGATCACATCCTCGAAGATGATTCGTGTATAGATCAAGTTCAAGATAGCAGCAGCAACAAGTTTTAATTAATCATGAAATAGTAGCACTTGCGCATAATATGGCATTTTTCAATATCACCAAGACACCAGACAGATAAACAGACAGAGAGGGGGATAGAGGGGAGTGGAAGCATAAGCTGTTGCCCTTCCTCGATTAGCAAAAGAATGGATTACTTAAACTTCATTGATCTGTGTAAATAGCTAGGCTTCAGTTTTAGAGCGGGCGGGCTGGGGAACGGAACAGAGTATCTGTTGTCCTGGTATGGCCCCGGATGGATGTAAGGATGAACGATTGATTGGCCGTTCTCTGCCCAACTGCAAATGCAAATCAAATTGAAATGTGCAAAAATTATACATAAATTCTATTAAATTATTTTCAATGTATTTATAATTATTATTATTTTTAAATATATATGAAAAATATAAATAATTACCTTTAATGCTCATTAAATATTATCTGTAAATATCGGATGATAACCGGCTTGAAGGTATCCGAGAAAATTCATTCATATTTTGTCAAAAATTGTTTAATCAAAATTAATTATTATTATTTAAGTACAATGATTCGAACCGCACCCTCTGTAAATAGTTGTAGAAAACGAGGCTCACGAATCGAAGCCGCAGCCGCAGCATTAAAGATTGTTGTGGGCCTGGATGAAGACACTCTCCGTCCACATTAGGAAAATCTGACCACAGACAGCACTAATCCGCGCCGACAGGTAAACCCGCTAATGCTAATAGCCATGGATAATGGGCTGTCAGCCGTCTGCGGGGCGCGCGTGCGTCTCGCGCACGTCCCACACGCGCCTCTTGCCCATCCGAAGTCGCGACACATGTAATGAGCATGTTAATGGCACCAACGTCTGCTTGTGCTGGTGACCCTTCCACGCCACCTGGCAACGGTCTCGACTGGAGGGCGGCGCTTGGCAACTGGCAACTGGCAACTGGCAGTCGACGCAATGTTACCATGACCGGAGCCAGGTTGCCTCTACCCCGGATGGATAGCCATTTGAGGGTGGCTGTCGCCTGACTGGCTGACTGGCTGGCTAGCTGACTTGCAAGCTCTCTCTCGCGATGATTTGCCGATTGACTGCTGCAGACTCCGTTGCCGCCACAACGCCCATCCACCCCCGTTGCCCGGAGAACAGCACACACGTGTCTGACTGGGACGGCGTCTCTGATTGACGCTGAGTATCGAGTATCCAGTTACAAAATATTTTGACTTCTTTTATCTTGCGGGCTACATTTTGCATAATTTAATTAACGCCCTTAAATTGTTATCTTTTTGTGTACAATTTAAAATAGTCTGCGGCATTAAATTCCATATAAAATATATAATACACAAATCCACTCGCAATTCTTAACGTATATTGCACGCATAATTATAATTTTATGTATGTGTATGTGTGTGTGTGTGTGTGTGTGTATGTGTGTATGTGTGTGTGTGTGTGTGTGCGTGCGTGTGTATGTGTTAGTGTATGTATGCATTAATGTATATACGCATGTATGGGTGTTCGTTTTCTAATACCAAACGCAGACCAACTTTATTTGTCGGTCTGCTACAATTTTAAATAAAACGAATTTTTACCAAGTGCCCTCCTCCTCGATTCTCAAAAATTCAAGTAGGCTCTGCTGTTTATCATGGAGTCTAGTATTTTTTTGGTGTTTTTTTTTTGGTGTTTTTTTTTGGTGGTTTTTTTTTGGTGGTTTTTTTTTGGTGGTTTTTTTTTGGTGTTTTTTTTTTGGTGGTTTTTTTTTGGTGGTTTTTTTTTTGGTGTGTGTATATGTGTTTACATATGTTCATACATATGTATGTACATACATACATATGTTCATCATATGTATGTACATACATACATATGTTCATCATATGTATGTACATACATACATATGTTCATCATATGTATGTACATACATACATATGTTCATCATATGTATGTACATACATACATATGTTCATCATATGTATGTACATACACACATATGCATATTTACATACATATGTGCATGCATGCATACATGTGTACATGCATATGTATATGTACATGCATATGTGCATACACATGTACATACATATGTACATGCATATGTACATACATATGTACATACATATGTACATGCATATGTACATACATATGTACATAAATGTGTACATGCATATGCATATGTACATGCATATCTGCATACATATGAGCATGCATATGTACGTAAATGTATACATGCATATGTACATACATATGTACATAATTGTGTACATGCTTTTGTACATAAATGCGTACATGCATATGTACATTCAAGTGTACGCATGTACATACATGTATGCATGCATATGTACATGCATGTGTGCATGCATATGTACATACATGTGTACATGCATATGTACATACACGTGTACATGTATATGAACATATATATGTACATGTATATGAACATACATATGTACATGCATATGTATATATACATATATTGTATATACGTATACATATGTATGCAATTATTTAGATGCAAGAGATGTTAACATTCATACATGCAAGTGAACACATGCGAGTACAATTTTCCGAAACCCTGTCTTCATCACATAAGGTAACTATTCAAATCAACTTCCTAGCTTGTATGTCAATTAGTCCAAATATTTTATATCTAGAGATAGGGGTTATAAATCAATGTTGGCAAATAAAGCCAGCTTCATCTTTAGTTTACCGTCCCCTGTTATTGAAAAGAAACATATTTTTGCTAATTCGAAGCCCTTTATAATTCATAAGGATCGACCGATAAGCACCAAAGTACTTTTAAGATATTATATTGATTGATTTTCGAAATGTTGACTTCAATAATAGCTGTGGGCAATACGAAAAAATCCTCTTTAAGGCTCACAAATCACTTTCCTTTTAAATGCCAAAGAATGCGCTGTGTACCTGCTCCAAGAGCCAAGCTACGTCTTCTAACACACACGCTGGACCAAATCCAGGGCGAAACATGCACCTCGACGGCTGCCGAGCTGCTTCCACGAAGGTGACAATATAAGGGGATTACAATTAAACGATGTTCAGAATAGAGAATAGAGCCACAGACAACGGGACTCAACGAACATTAATGAATTGCTACAAAGCAGATTAGTGCAGCACACATGAAATGAGTGTGTATGTGTGGGCGTGTATTCCTCGCATCTCCTAATCTGTCAGCGCCTGTCAACATTCTATCTTGTCAAAAAGTAGCTTAGATCCGGAGGTAAATGCAAACGCATGTATTTGAGAGCTCCAAGTGGCCACTTTATTGACATAGTATAAGTTAGGTCTGAAAATATAAAATAAGTATAAAAAGTTTGCACAAGTTGCAGATGATATCATTTACGCGCTCGCCGAGAGCTCTGATTTCTGTTGCGCTGGCTTATTTCCTGCTCGGAGTCTTCACTGGAGCCAGACGAAGGATCTGTGTTTTTTCCACGGTGTTGTTGATTTCTCTGCGCTTGCTGGCGAGGCGCTGGGGGCGCCTCATCACTGTCGGGTCCGTCCTCCTCGGAGCTGTCCTGCTCGGAGCTGCTCTCCTGCCGCGCATTGCGTCCACGCCTGTTGCTGCCTGGCGCTCGTCTACCCCGTCCGCGTTGTTTGGTTGTTGGCTTCGCGGTCCTGGTCTTGTTGGCACGCGTTTCGTTGGGACCCTTTTCGGATTGGGAACTCGTGCCTGGTTCGACGACCTGCAGGCATTCGTTAAGGCGCGTCTCAAACTCCGTGACTACGGCTTTGAGCTCCGGCTTGGCCAACTTGGAAGTATTGCTAATAATGAGCTTGAAGGACTGGTAGACTTCATCCACCTGCACCTTGTCACGGAAATGTTGCACGTTGTCGATAAGCTTCTTAATCGATCTTTCGTTGTAGCTCAGCAGACCCAGGCAGTAGGCAATGTCGCGCCACTGACGCTCTACGCGAGTGACCGGGAACCGCAGACACAGCTTCTCCACCAGCGTCTCGATCTGGCGATCCTTTTGAATGAGTCCCAGTATATAGCGCATAATTGTGCGATATTTATCCTCCTCCAGGTGAAGATTAATGTCCCCTAACTTGGAGATAATGTCGGGCAACACGTTGTACAGTATATTCGACTTGTTGGCAATCTCCTTGAAGAACTGTTGTGTAATATTCCTGATCTCATCGCTTTCGTCGACAATGCACAGTGCAAGATCGGCTATCTGTCCCTTGACGCGTATCATTTCATGCAGGATCAGATGGGAAAGCATCTTGACGGCGGTCAGGCGAAGCTCGGTGTCCTCCTCGTGCAGCTGAGAATAAAAGTGGCCTGTCCAGGGCTCGATTATGTTCGGGAAACGGAATGTCAGATCCGAGAGGCCCACCACAGTGTTACACTTGATCTTCAAATTTTTGGTCATATTAAGGATATTCATGAGGAAGGACATGTTCGACTCGCAGAACTTGGACGAGACCGTCATCAGGCGCGCCAGTGTTAGGGTGGCTGCCTGCTGCAGCTGCTGATCCCGATACTCGCCAGGCCGCTTGCATATATCAATTATAATTGGATAGATCTTGGACATGAGCGCATTCGGCTCATACAACAGCATGTCCTCACAGATGGCATTGATTTCCTCGGCAATGTTATCCTCTGCCGTGGCGCCCACTAAATCGTCGTCGGGCTCCTGCTGCGGCTCCGCGGCCACGCCAGACAAACGCTTTCGCACCTCCATTGCCGAGACATTCATGGTCTGGCGGCGGAGTGCGTTCACAGCGTCCTTTTTGTTCTTCTTCTCTTCGAGGGCGGTCAGCTCTTCGCGGTACTTCATGTTGTTGTAAACATCCATGTCCAGAAATATCATCTCCTTAATGGTCATGTAGCCAACGCAAAACACAAACCTTGAAACCAAATAAACGGGTATGCGGGCCTGTTGTTCTTCAACAGCTTTAGCCTGTGTCTGGGTCTGTGTTAGAGTCTGAGACATGGGCAGGGGCTGTGAGTATGGAATGTCCGTAGTCTGTGTTTGCGGTAGCTCCTCAGGCTCTGCTACTACCAGCCAGTGGTCATTGAAGCGCCCAATTAGCTCACTCACAA